ATTGACGCAATTAGTTCATGAGTCAGGGTGCAACATTTACTAGACACGTTCTAGTTTATACAATTTTTGTTTTGTTACAATCGTTACGATCGCAAAAATAGAATAACTAAAAAAAGACGTCGCAGCGATTCATATGGAAACAACTCTTCAACGATTGGACTTATCGTGGCTATCATTGGGATTGCCACAACTGACATTCCTGGTTCCATATAATCCCTACATCGACCGTATTTTTTTTCCAACAGTCATGCCGATGAATTGGAAACCAGAATTAACTAACACAAACTTGTTACTTCACAGAAAACCTTCAGATACAACTCCTCACTGTGGACAACGACAGATTCCTACAATGAAAATCAGGGAAAAGATCTTACTAAATCGGTAATATCAAATTAAAAGGAACCCCCAGAGAGCCTGCTCGAGGGCTACCTGGGATTAGGTTAAGACCCTGTTTACATGGAGTGGGAGACCCCGGTCTTGGGGGTAGGTTTCTTTTGTTTTGTGTCCCCCAGAGCGTGAAAACAAAAGAAACCAACCCCACTAGACCGGGGTCCGCCACTCCATGTAAACAGGCCCTAAATGAGCGCTTTCAAAATTACGTTGATTGGCAACCATTCAGATAAGGCGGAAAAAAGCAATCATTATAACAATGAATAAATAATAAGATGTAGTGTCATAGTTGTATACTTGAGGCTAAGAAAAGAGAATAATGGTGTATGATGACAAGAAAAGCATCAAGTGTGCGATGCTTAACACTAACTCGTTCGATTAATAACTGAACTTAACCTTAGAAAAAAACCCGAAAAGATTGAGCCCAAAAACAAGAGTTCAATCTTTGAAGAGATATTTCCTTACGATTTGTAAATGAAAGTTGAAATTGCAAATTCCTGGAAAGAAGTTTATTAATATTCTTTTTTACAGTTTCTCGCTTTAGCTCACTGTCGTCAAGGGACATATTTTTTGGTTAGTTTCTTTAGTCCAGGTGTAATTAAACAATTGGTATTGAAAAAATATTGACTGATTGCTAACAATTACGATCGACTTCGGCCTAGGCCAAACGCCGAACTTTTCATGAGACGAACTAAACTGTAATTTAGGTCGACCTAAAGTAAGTTTCCCGTCTGAAGCGGATGGAACGTCTAAACATCGTCTCCGGGACAAACGTCGATCTTCACTTGCGACGAACTAAACTCAATAAATTAAAAATTTGTGGGCATGAAAACGTATATTTAGCCTAGTTTGAAAGAGAATTTATTAAATGCAATTTGCTTTTTGATCTGATTTAGTTGATTGGTTTGACGCGTCCTAAGTTCGACCCAACGGATGATTAATTTAGGTCGACCCAAATTAGAGTTTAGTTCGTCTCATGAAAAGTTCGACGATTGGCTTATAGGCCTTAGCAGCTTGTTATACATAACTAGGTGTAGAGGTGAAGTCAAGGGAGAACGAGCTCTTCTTCTCAGGCTCTTGATATACAGTCGACTCCCGATAACTCGAACCCTCGCTAACTCGAACCTCGCGCTAACTCGAACCAATTTTCGTTTCCCCTCAGGTCATTTTCTATATAATTTAACCCTCGATAACTCGAACCATGTTTTGAGCCCTTAAAAAGTCGGGAAAAAAGCCGTGTACTGACGTCCGAAACATTGAATTTTGGATTTCCTATTAACGTGTTGTAGGAGTATAGTTTATTAATTGAGGCTGATGTTGATTATCACAGGCTAACGTGAAGCAACTTTACTTCTCAAAACAGTAAAACGCATGTTCTATTTAGGCTATGTTTTGTTACGTCACGTTCTTATTTATAATCTAGAAGTACCTTTTAATTTTCACTTGACATTTCTACAATTAAATGTGATTAAAATGTTCACTGTGCAGTAAAAACTGTTTTTTACCTTACTCTCGGCTATTTTCTTCGAGCTCCCGATAACTCGAACTCCCGATACCTCGAACTTTTTTCGATTTCCCTTGAAGGTTCGAGTTATCGGGAGTCGACTGTATATCCTAACTACAGTGAGTAACAGGACATCCTCTTCGAACTCTGATTTCATAACACAGCTCATAAAAAGAGAAGAGGCTATAAACTACTTAAATTGCGTTACTTGCTTTTTCTTCCCATAGGAAACAAAACTCGATGTCTTCAATTCTATCACCTTAAAAGAGGGCTTCTGTGTGGGAATGCAAGTAAACGGTGATACAAAATGGCTAAAAATAAAAAGGAGAGGAGTAACCCCGACGTCTGTCTTTTTAGAATCACAATTAATCAAAGTCCATATGGATCCCTCGAAATGGAAATCTTTATTAACCGGATCTTACTTACAGGTAAATTTACTGAAAAACGAAATGCACGAACAAATCCAGGCTAACTTATCTGCCAAATATTTTTGTACATCATTTCAAACAAAAGCACACTACGTAACCCTATATAAACGTTTGTACTTTTTAATAAAATTTTAAATAGATGGCATTCTTCTTTTTTCATCTCAGGGTACAGAACAGGGGTATAATGTTCACAGCGATTGTAGAAATGGGCCAAGAGCCCGAATAGGAATAGTCTCCCGGCAAATAGATTGTAACCAGACGGTGGTGTCCAGGATAGGGTTTGGAACCGATGGAGACGCTGGAGGAATGGACACCAATAACAGTTGTGGAAACGAGGCTGTTGATGCCCATGGCAATGGAACATCGATAAAAGCGTTTTGCTATATCTTTATAAAGTAGAATTCATTTGGGCGTTACTTAGGTTATATTTTATGAGAAAGAGAGCAAGTGCAAACCAGGATAACACGTAGAAGACCACTTCAAAAGATTAACTTGTAGTTTTTTGAAGGGCATTCGTTTAAAAAATCCTTGAAACAAGCAGCTTGAGATAATTGTAATTCACCACAAAGGAACAGTTGGTCTCAACCCACTATCGGCCGATATGTCGTTATCTAAGTAAGGACGACCCACGATAAATGTCGATTGAATTTGTCCCCGTTAAAGGAATAAACTTTGTTTTTGGGTCATACTGTAGATAGAATGTTGTTGGTCTATTCCGTGTGCTTTCGTGATAAATGTGAGGTTTACTCTAACCAGTATTAAGACACTAGTGTTACTTGTCAGTTACAGAGTTTATATATCGTTTAGATTTGTCTTAACAATATCAATACCTGAACAAGAAAACTGTATTAAGGAAATCTGGAAACATTTTTATGTGGACATTGAGGCTTACAATGTAAAGGGTTAATTTGAGCGTCACTAAGCGTTCTCTTTATCTTACTTCAAATAGCCAGTACCTGCGAGGATAAGAGAAATGTTCGTTAATTGGAGGAAAGAATAGTTAGGTCCTATAACACAATGTTGTAGTAAAAAAGAGCGAAATCAGTTTGAAATCTATAAAAACTGGTCTGTTCTCACGTGAGAGCACAGCCGCGGGTAGAGAATGCATACTGCCACCAAACTTGGTAGATGTTTAAACGCGAGATAAATAACTAAGTATCAAGCAATCTAATCAATTGACAAAACCTTTTTACTGATTGCCTTTAAACCTGCTTAATCATGACATGCACAGAACCATGTCATATGAAGCATCACGGATTGTAGCCATAGGCTTATTTGAAACAGAAAAACTCAAAAGAAATAAAGTAAGCCTGATCCCGAAGCAAGCCAAAGTGAGCCAAACATAGAAAATCCATGTAAGATTGGCTGAGATATAGATGGAGATTTTAACGCAGATCATAAAGCATTTCAGTACAACAGCTTTAAACAACTATGGTGGTGTTCTTTCGTCGGTTTCTCCTCGTTGTAAGGAGAACCTTTTACAACTCACGGGAGACATAAAACGAATAAAAACGGGATATTTGATCGTTTCTTTGATTAGGGCTGACATTTCAGTGATTTCAGTAGTATCGCTTGCAGAGCAACCGCATTTTTCGGGGAACAAGCGGTCATTAATTCCCGCCTGAGCAGTGGTCATTTTTGAACCAGAGAACAGTGGGAACTGGGAAGAGTTGGAATTGGGGAGGGGTGGAATAACTTTCCGCCCCCTTTGTTTAGTCTACAAAAACCCCCGTGTTCGAACTGTAATGCTAATGCATCCTCAGAGAACACCTACACCTGCAGGATATAGCTTGTATCGCAGGCTCACTGCGATTGAGTTTATTTATTCTCGTACCTGCTAACGGGTGGCGTAATTTCGCTTCAACAGAGTCACAACTAAAAATAACAAAACACACCATGCAGGGAGTTGCTCTCGGTAAAGCAAAAAGATTTTCTCTGGGTGGTGTCGCTGGATTTTAAAGATTTTTGCAGGAACCTTAGGAAAAGAAAAAATAAGATTGCTTGGTTTCAAGAAGCGTGCCCTTTGGAGAACTTGCGCTGGTTTTGTTTTGGTTTATTTTGCTTAATTTCACGCTAATTTGACCGTGGATTTAAGCTACTTGGTGACTACGCACTCTCGAGGCGTTTCAATACCTCAGAGCATTTTGGAGTAGATATCTGCAGCCCACCGACAGAGCGACAATTGAACTTGAAACGCTAGTTGCTTTACGTGACACTTTATGCACTTTACCAGGTATATGTTCATGGAAAAACGGCTTCGAGAAATACGACTCTTCGTTGATGGATTGTTCGAATATACAACGGACTCGCCATATTAACTGGCTGCACCGCGAGAGCACTTTCTTGTAAAAGCCGGCAAACTGTACACGCTTTCTTCTTACCTTATTTTGACGAAAGTTTTGTCGGTCACAACTGTGCTCATTTTGAAGGAAATTAGACTTATTGTTGTCTAATTGAATCAACAGCAAACAGACGGGCGGGGACGTTTTATACAGAGGACAGCAGAATTTGTCAATGTTCAAGATTTTTTCCTGCTAAAAACTTAAAAGATTGTTGATCAAGTATTTCTTTTAAACAAGGCTCGAAAAAGACTATTTGCAAGGCCAGGAAAAGCTGAATGGTTTTAAGTATTCGCTTGTTTATTGTTCAACCTATCCCACAATTCTTTATGGGTTTCTATGGGAGCAGCTCTGCAGACTCTGGGCTTAGCGGAAGTCGCGAGTGAGGTTGCTTGTTGCGCAGGCTCAGCAGCGTTCAGCTTATTTTGCAAGAAAAAGTTTGGCGGCACACGATCGAGGCTTTTCTTTACCGTGTTTTTACTAATGAGTTCGATTCTTTGTCTCGTTATGCTTACTCCGAACATGCGGACAAATCTTGATAAGATACCGTTACTGTGCACAAAACTTGCGCCCAAACGGGTTTGTGATAATCTGGTGGGATATGGTGCCGTTTACCGAGTTTCCTTCGCGATGTCTGCGTTCTTTCTGCTCTTTTCACTACTAACGTACAATGTACATTCAACAAAACAGTTTCGAGCAAGACTTCACAACGGATTCTGGTACATCAAGCTATCACTTCTGGTTTTAATAATGGGTGTTGTATTTTACCTTCCAAACCCTGGGCTTTTTGCTAAGATATGGATGTACATTGGTTTGACTGGCGGATTTATGTTTATATTGATTCAAGTGATTCTGGTGATCGACTTTGGACATTCATGGAGTGTTTCGTGGGCGGAGAAAATGGATACGCTCGACACGAAGTGTTGGTACTTCTCGCTGGCCTTTTCTACAGCTTTAGTGTATTCAATTTCCATCACAGCTGCCGTTATGTTCTATCTGTTTTTCACCAACCCAGACGACATATCACAGTGTAAAGCTAACACATTTTACATAAGTTTTAATGTTGGTCACTGTGCATTAGCCACTATCATCTCCGTACTTCCAAGAGTCCAGCAAGAAACAACGGGAGCGGGCCTCCTACAATCTTCAGTTATTACGATATACACCATGTATCTTACATGGAATACTCTTTCGTCTCAGCCAGACTCAAAGTGTAACCCGCTGGGCGCGGTTATACTAGAATACGATAAAGTTTCTGGTGTGAACGGTGAAGCTATATTTGGTACACTTTTAATGTTTGCATTGCTGGCATTTGCGTGTACCGTCCGCCCAAGCACGTCGCAGCTTGGGAAACTAGGGCTGTCATTATCTGACAATCCTGAGTATTTGCGAAAAAGCGCTCAAATAAACTATAAACGCCGCAAAGAGGACAAAACACCTAAAGAAGACGGCAAGGAGACAGACGAGCTTGCAGGCGAAGACGTCGCATATAGCTACTCGTTTTTTCATTTTGTACTTTTTCTTGCTTCGTTACATGTAATGATGGTAATGACTAATTGGCATAGCCCAGACGAGAATGTTGATTTTAAGAAAATGATAAAGAACTGGGCGGCAGTCTGGGTACAAATGGCTTCAAGTTATATTTGCTGTCTAGTGTATATATGGACACTTGTGGCACCGTTAATACGAAGTACATGGGGCTATTATTTGGGACTCGATATAGAACCCATGAGGCATCCAAGTGCAAGACGAACTAGCGCGGCGCAGTTAAAGGAAGATTTTGAAAAAGCTAGAAAGATTTTGAAAAAGGCTGAAACTACAGTTGACAGGACTAAATCTAGACAAAGTGTTGAGAATGAGACCAAAGCGAGGAAGAGTAGTTCACCAGAAACGGCAAAAAATTCTCGAAAACAAGAAAATACTGAAACACACACTACTGAGCCTGCAGCAAAGGCGTTAGATCAAAACAGAACTGATGCTGAAAACGTCAGCGATGATTATAAACAAAAGAGAGAAACTGGCCAGCACGATGTTCCAATCTGCGGGAAGCCGGTTGAAAGATTAAAGGATAAGATCGAAGAAACACCGACTTCGACAAGCGATACATGTTCGCCTTCGCCTAAAATTGACATTCGTAATAGTAAGGGTTGTCATTCTTTAGAGAGGAGTTCGGAAGAATATGTGAAACAACTCGGGCCTTCACAACAAGTAAGAATACAGATCGATCATCCATTTGAAAAAATAACACAAGAAAGCGAGGTAAATAACAGTGTAAAAGAACCTGAAGTTTCCAAAGAAATTCTTAGACTACAAGAGAGAATTCTCAGATTTCAAGCGAAAATCGTCAGAATACAGCATAAGATTTTATCAATACAAGAAACGGGCGAAGATGTTTTCACAAGGCCAGAATCAAGAACAAAGCGAGGATAACAACACATTTAGCAGAATAAAATATAGGTGTTACAGGGGAAAGCCGTTGCTTCAGTGTCTTTCATGAAAAGAACAAAAATCAAACAGCGCCACTACTCACTAGCTTTAATTTGTCAGCAAACTCATATGTATAGAGGCTGTTATTCGCATCAACGTAAGTCCAGTAGTTATTCAACATACAGCCTAAAGCACACAGATTGTTCTCGTCGCTTTTGCAGTTTCACCCCATATTCAGGTCCTTTGTCGCCATTTCATCTGTCTTATGTCGCTATACACATAATTGCCGTTTATTAGAGTGGTATTCAACTGGATGTCCCATGTAAAGCCAAAATCAAGTTTATTTCATCGTTAACTAACGCTCAATGCGCCAATCAAATCTCAAACAGCCGGTAATTTGATTTAATTTTCAAAATGGCATCCGACAAAATGACGTTTAGTTGGAAACCACTCTAAGAGCTTTCATTGAGCACCCAAGTTTTAGAGAGAAGGCGAAGGTTGAAGAGAAAACCAGGCACTTCTTTGGCATCGCCGGCATTTTCTTGTTGCTCTAAATATTGTTATCATTTGTAACTAACTTTATACTTTTGTATTGTAAACAACGAACGTTTTTATAAAGATTTGTATCAAAATAATTTTAATATATTCAAAACTATGCATTCGCTAAGGCTATGTACCAAAAAATAAATATAGTGGAAACTTTGGCTTAACTCAACTGCGTCCCGGATCTTCTGTTGAATAAAAAGATCTTTCTAAGGTATTGTTATTAGTTAATAAATTGCACTCGCTATAATCCAGATCAATTTTTCACAATTTATCAACTGGTCAACGTATTTCGTCCCTTCGTCACGCCGGTAGCACTATGTATTGACATGAAGTCATATTTTCCCAAAAGATAATAAGGCAAAACGAAAACTGACAGTTCCCACTAAAACACATCTGTACCCCCCAGTTTTCGAGTTCACTTGACTACGATTAAATTTCAGTTTCTTATAAAAAGAGTATTTATTATGATATAATTAGACCACGCAAACTTTCGCTTTGGTGACAAGAAGGATGGTCTCTGGTCGAACGAAGAGGAATATCGGATTCTTCTGTCCACACATTTAACGCGATTTTAATATCGGCAATTATTATATGGCTACAATAGTACCCGCTCTGATTGGCTGCTGAGCAGGCAAGAGGTTTTTTGTAAGACCGGGCATTATACCCTTGGTTCCAGAGGATATCTTTTTCTCATCCATACTAATCGTTGGTGGCGAAGCCGCGTCAACGAAGCGCGAAGCGCCGAGAGAAAAAAATAACCGGGAGCCTCATCAAACCGCAAGCACTGTTTATTTCACATTAGGTATTTTGAGAACGGACCTCTGAAGCCAGGGTACTGAGCAGCCTGAGATGTGAGTAAAACCTACGAGCGCGAGGGCGAAAAAATCCAAAAAATCCCGACAAAATATAACTTTATAAAACATATCTTTCAATAACTGAAAGAAAATATTAGCAGTTGGTACTTCTTTAGTCAAAGCGATGAAGAGAGCCACAGCGAGTTTTATTATCCAGAGAGGGAAGAACAGCGCTTTTAAAAAGCCATTTATTATAATAAATAACTTGTTAACCTCGTCTGTTCGGTCATTACAGAGAAATCTCAGACCTCGACCAGCTCGGTCAATTCATCAAGGCCTCGGTCTGAGATTTCATTGTAATGACCTCACTCTCGGGTAATAAGTGGTATGTATTTTCGCAACAAAACGCAACAAAGTCTTGAGAACTAGGTTTGATAAACTTGCGTAAGTAAGTAAGTCAGTAATCAAGTATAAAAGTACGATGACCTACTATCAACAATAAAATTAGCCAAGTGAACTGGGTCGAGAGATCGTGTAAGGCCATCGGTTCAATCGTTTCTCAATGAAGCACTTTGCGCAAAGAGAAGACTGTTGATTAAAGAGTCACGATATCGATCGATAAAAACGTTTCGAAAGTTATCGTTAAATTTTTTAGTACGAAAAACGACAATTGAAAAACCATTTATCATTTTGTTTCTCATTTTATTGAGCTTTATATTGATCACGACGATAGAGTTTTCTACTTTTCCTCTATGGCATCACCATACCGCCATATTTACATCGCAAATTTGATATTTCGCTTGAGAAATACGATCCTTGATTTTTCATTTCACAACTGAACTAATTTACCAAGTGACGTGACATCACTTAAATGGTACCACCAGAACTACAAACACATCAACTACAAACATCTTCTCTACGATCCACAGCGATAAAAAAGGAAAAAAAACAGTTTACTGACATGAATGACGATTCTGAAAATGGAGTTAAATCCGACCGAGATGTTTCCTGTTTGTGCGGTAATTGTGGTAAAATCAGGAGAGCTACCGTCACGCGCACAACCTACGTTATATTCCTTTTACTTGTCACGCTCCTATGCTTTGTGCTGTCAGCCCCGCAAACAAGACAAAAGATATACGCTATTCCACATTTCTGCAACGAGATCGTGGATTCAAAAACCTGTGAAAGTTTGGTTGGATACACGGCAGTGTATCGAGTGTGTTTTGGGATGGCCATGTTTTATCTTGTTTTCTCCTGTGTTTTAGTTGGAGTTAAAAGCCTCGGAGACATTCGCGCACGGATCCATAATGAATTCTGTTACATCAAATTGTTGCTATTGATAGGTTCGTAATTGAACAACTGCGCATGACTTGATTATTGCATGCTTAAGAGAATCATCGTATTGTAATGTTTTCACTTCGGTTCATGCCTTCTTTATTTTTCATCACATTAGCACGATATAATAATTGTTATTGGCATGTACGAATCGACTCAATCGCTCTAATCGCGCAAAATCGCTAAGAAAATTAACTTACTAAACGTTTTTGAAATGGACTAAAACCAGGAGACAAGTCTTGTAAGAGGTTCATGATCGTCCGGGTGATAGTAGTCTTGAGTGAGCCAGGATAGTTTTTAACAATGATAAGTCCTGCTGATGATGACACTCACTTAGATGACCATCAACATGATTATAAGGCAGCATAATTAGTTATTACTGATTTCAATTTATTAATTATCAAATCAAATTATCATACTTAGCATTCCAGTTTTCTAAAAAACATACTCTAGTGTGTTTGGTCTGAAAGGCCAAAAAAACAACACGTAAAATGATATTTGGGCACACCTTTCGCCTGAATACTAATGCAGTGCGAAACAAAAAATAATTAAGCAATAGACCACACTTTCTACGGGTTACCGGCGTGATAACCCATGCGGGATGTTGGGAGAACACGAGAAAAGCTTGTAAATCACGAGCCGAAGGCGAGTGATTTACAAGCTTTTCTCGTGTTCTCCCAACATTCCAAGTGGGTTATCACTCCGGTAACCCGTAGAAAGTGTGGTCTATTGCTTTTATAAAATAACTTTGAGTAAAACGGAGTTGTTTAGGTTTTCTATGAGTTTACCGGCACAATAAACCAGGGGTTTTTAACCAATCAGAACGCGCGCACTATCTTAGTTATTTTGTAACATACTACTATACAATTTGTTTCTATTTCAGCACTAATCGTAAGTTCGTTGCTTATACCCCCGTCTGTCTCCTTTAATCGTATTTGGATGTACTGTGGGCTGGTGGGAGGTTTCCTCTTTATTCTAATACAACTCGTTTTGCTGGTCGACATGTCTCACACCTGGAGCGAGACCTGGGTCGAGAAGATGGAAAAAGCCTCAAGCACGTGCCTTTCAAAATGCTGGTGGGTAAAAATTGTTGTTCCCAATTCTATTTTCCAGCACAGAGAGATTACGGAAGTTACTTCGCCGTTTCAAAATTCAAGGATCGTACTCTTTTGAGCTATTCAAATTTCATGACTTTTTCCTGGTGACTTTAGGTTTAGCTGTCACTTTGCAAAACTTTCCTAGTTTTAGGGTATTTTTTGACCTCAAACAGTTCACACTAAAATGCATGCCGTTCGCGCTTTTTAATTACTTCTCTGTATCTTACTTTGTCCTTGCCTTGTCATCTGCAGTAACTAATCTACCAAAAAAAACTTTAACTTTTCACAACGACCAACTATTAAATTCCATGACTTTCTGGACCTGGAAAATGAAATTCGTAAATTCCATGACTTTTACAGTTTTCCATGACCTGCACGAACCCCGTAATTAGTGTCAATTTTTCTACACAGACCGTTTACTATTTCTTCGGTTACAACAAAATTACATTCTATCTTCGACATACTAATAAAGCGCGATTTATTTTCAGGTACTTAACGTTTTTGTCGTGTACTGGTTTGATGTTTATCATCTCCATGGTGGCTGTGATATTATTCTACAAATTTTTCGTCCGTTCCGCTGATTGTAAAACGAATCTATTTTTCGTCTCGTTCAGCCTGTGCCAGTCTGTCGCGGTAACTGTGGTCAGCGTTCTTCCCAAGGTGCAGGAAGCACAGTCAGGTACAGGTGAGTGACATATGGTTAAAAAGGTACGCGGACAAACAGCCTGTGACCAACAGCAAAGAAGTGACAAACAAAGGCAGTGACTATGCCTTATAAAACTAGCTGTTGTATATGTAAGTATGGTGTTAATATCCATTTATACACGTGGGTATCGGTGTAAGAATAAAAAAGCGGAGGTTTTTGGGTTAGGGGTTAACTGCTAATTTTCCAGCATGTGACAGTCAATAACCTTCCACGTTGTATAACGAGAGACTATCCAATTCCTGGAAAAAAGATGTTATAGAGCCAAAAATTTAAGCGTTTGAGCATCAGCACGCTGGCCCCGTCGATACCGTTTCCATAACTATGCATTGAATAGAATAGAGTAGAATTTTAATAGAATCATGCTCAAGAGGTTTTTCAGACACTTTTTACAATGACATGAATACATGAAATACTAAACTACTTAAATTGTGAATAATAAATATAAGAAAATAAGAGTTCTTAAAAAAAACCTATGAAAAAAAAACCTATGAAAAGACTTGCTCTAAAAGTTGCCCTATTATTGCTTGCTTGAATGACTGCAAGGAAACGCATTGCTTTACGTCATTATCTAAATCGTTCCAAATACAAGTTCCTCTATATGTGAATTTTCGTCGGCCAGAAGCAGTTCTATACAACGGTATATGTAATAAATCATGCTTGAGGGTGTGGCGAGCATGGATGCTGGAGCGTTTAGTAAGTTTATCTATCAGATGTTTGGGTGCGAAGCCCTTGAAACATTAGTAAGTTAACACAGAGCATTCATTCCCAAGAGCATCGACACTTGCAATTCGTGAAGCACTGAAACGTTAGTGGTGTCCTACGAAAGGTGTTTTACTAGCATGATATATAACACCATTATAAACTGCATTTTAGCATTTCACCAGCATGTGACAAAGTCCCGACGAAATAGGATCCATGACTCCGTGCAGCCTTTGAGACGCTATAATCAATGCGGCTTTCGGAAGAGTCGGGACAAGTTAACTTGGCTGTTTGCCTTGCCTGAATGTGTGTCTTGTTCTTTAGGTTTGTTCCAGGCTGCAGTGGTAATATCATACACGACATATCTGACGTGGTCTGCACTTTCACACGAGCCAGATGACTTATGTAATCCACCCGGCTATGTTATTTCCGGTTACGATCAAAACACTGGCTTGAGTCTGCAGACAATTGTCAGCGGAGTGTTCGTTTTTGTCACGCTCATCTACGCTAGCTTCAGTACAGCAATGAGTGCTTCAAAGCTAAGTAAGTTTTCTGTCTTGATTGATTATCGATTGATTTATTTTGTCACATACAGTCGAGCTCAACCCCCGGCAAAGAACCCGAAAAAAAGAACTCAGTAAAACTTTGGTTCGTTTGGCTGCTCCCGTTCTGACGACAGCTTCTAGAGTATTCTGGTCGGATAATTCAATCAACTAACTGACAAGAGACGGTAGCCTAGCCTATTTTACAGCAAAGAGCCCAAAGACCTCCTTTAATTAACTCACATTCTTTTATGCCGACGTTAACCAATTAGAAGTCGAGGACAGTTTCCAGCTGGCTTCTGATTGGATTAAATCTGTACGAGAGAATTTGAATAAAATCAAAAGAGGTCACACTTTTGGGCTCCTTGCTGTAAACAACAACAACAACTACAACAACTACTTTATTTGCCAAATTTACAAGAATAAAATAAGTTAATTAGATCAAGCAAAAATTATTCAGATTAGCAAAAACTAAACGAGTTTACAATAATCAACTTGGATTCTCTAGGGCTGTAACACATGAAAGATAAAGAGGAAAAAAAGAAAGAAAATACAGTACACCTAGAATATTAAATTCAAAAATGAATACGTGAATAAAAAAAACCTTTTATAAAATCCCTTATGTTATTGAATTCATATAGACAGATGGCGTATTCGCATCCAAAATGGCATTAACGCAGATACATCTGCTTTACAATCTAGCGATGTGGAATCTGCTGAAGAAAAGGAGAATGAAGTAGCATACAACTATTCTTTGCTCCATTTCATCATGTTCCTTGCCTCCTTTCACATTATGATGACGTTAACAAACTGGTACAGTCCTACGCAGGACTCCAACATTACGAAGCTTGAAAGGTCGTGGCCAGCGGTTTGGATAAAAATGGGATCAAGTAGCGCATGCTCGTGTCTCTATATTTGGTCACTGCTCGCACCGATTCTTCGACCGATGTTCCAGAATAATGTCGACATTAACAAGGCTGAAAGCCACGAGGTCAGCGCGTGCTCAAATCAAGACCAGGGTTCACAGAATTCTCAAAAAGCGGCTAACATTGAGAAAAAACCTCATCAGGCAGTAAGCCAGGAAAAGGAACGTTCACAAGACGACTCAGAGGTTAAAAATGATAAAGAAACGCAGATAAGGAATAACGTGGACAAAGAAAAGGAAACTAGCACAAAACAAACTGAGAAAGCTATAAAAACTTCAAAAAAGCCTCTATCTGAAGCAGACAAAGAGGTTTTAAGACTTCAAGGAAAAGTATTAAGATTACAAGAGAAAATAGCCAAGTTACAGCATAAAGTCGCTGAGCTTCAAGGACTCAATATATAATGCGTGAATGAGATATTTTTTTAACATAATAATAATAATAATAATAATAATAATAATAATAATAATAATAAAAAGTTGATGTTCCACCCACATTGCCGTTTCTTTTACGGAAAACTTCATGTACAACGAGATTTATATAAAAAAAAGCATTGTCTCCATTATAGTGAACCTCGCGGTTAGAAAGACAGAAAATCACCAACTTACAAGAACGAGTAAGAAGTTTCACCACACAAAGATCCCGCTAATGCAGCCATAAAATCAAGGAGTGCACTGTTTCTTTGATTAGGTAACATCTACAAAGCGACATGTCAAAAGATAATTATATTTCAAAAGAAATGGGACGTTCCAGTTAACTTTTTGTTGAGTGCTCGTGCAGGGATGACGTCATTCAAGTGAGAACAGAAACCATAGCAACAACGTTTAACAAAATCCTGACAAAATATCGCGCGAAAAAATAGGAATTCTTCAAATGTTGTAAACAGCATTTACTTCAAACGCGAGAATATTTCCAGACTGCACTTACATGAATTAAAATAAACACCAAATGGAAACGACATCATGCCTTAAAATCTAAGCTAGAGAAAATCTTGGGTTAAGTTTTAAAAAACGGCTTTTCGCCTCTCCTACGAGCCGTTGCCACCACCACAGTAATGAAAAACATACAATGGGCATAACGATCTTACCTTCCAGTGGGTATTTCCTGAACACGTTTTTGCTCCCTAACAATGTTAAAAGACGACATAAAATGCGTTTTGCTCTTGATACGACTGAGACTTCGCCTTTCCTTAACGTTACACGACTGACCGCCTTCGCAACGCAAAACTGTTTCGAACCGATAAAAGGCTGACGTCATAGAGGTCATATCGAACTTTCACATTGAAGCGCGAGCAATTCGATCGAAGATCGCAGAAGGTGAGGAATGAAAAGTTTTGGCGTTTACTTCGTGAACCGGACACAGATGAAGTAAAAAGAAGAACAAAAACCATGAAACAGTACTGAGCAGATTTTTCCCTGAACAGAAAACAAAGAGGTCTTTTCTTCTACGTCATCTGTGTCCGGTTTCTCTTTATAGTCTTCGGACTATAGACCTGCGTCGACGATATACCGATACTTCTTTCAGTTACAAGGGAGCATTCGGACAAGAGAAAATTCAAATTAACGTTTTCCTAACGCGAACCCTGCTTTTTAAGAATCCGAGAACCATTCAGTCACTGTTGGCAAAAGACATTAGAGTATGAAAATAGTACACGTAACTCATATTCTCGTAGGGCGAGTGACATTCATCATAATGGCAACAAAAAAGGGATGAAAGAAACTTCTTAACAAAAACACTACAGCCGAAGAACAACAACAACTAAAAACTACCACATTTAAAAAGATTCGTTCCCTTTTTATTTAGTTACCCCATTCCACTGATAAATAAGTTCAACACGTGAGCTTGCAAAGTATATCCTCGAAACTTAAAATTTAAGCCACTTATTTAAATATGTTTTAGTCTTTTTAAAAGAAACTATAATTTCCACAATTTCACGCGATCATAGGTGGTTTTAAGCTAGCTAAAAGTGACTAAAAAATAATCGCCTCAGTCCTGTGACTCAAAAGTCTTCACAGCTATTTCTCATTTTTCAGTTTAAACGTCATTATTGAGAAGGTTACCATTTTCGCTATCTGATGTTTATAATCGCCATCCTTCAGTGAGTAACGGCTCGTACAAGGTCTGAAAAATGAATGGGTGGAAGGATATAAGATACTGATGCGTTATCCTGTTAGATGATCTTCTACAAATTTAAGACAATTTTCCGAACGAAGCATTTGCAGAGTATGGTCCATTTACCAAAGACTTGGCTCCAATTTCTGATGTTTGTCTGAAGTCAGTTTATTTTGAATTACCTTGACCTTTTTCCGTTATTCTAAAAAGTTAATCGAGAAGCCGAAGATTATCGAAGGTGATGACAGAGAAAGTCGATCAAGTTCGGAGAGGAAAGGGAACGAAAGGGGAGTGGTTCCTGTGTCCCCCGCTTGAACACGTTCCCCGATATTACTTTGGCTTTTCCTATTCCTGGAGCCTGTTCGTAGGTTAGTCATAATTCCTACTGCGACTTAGATGGTTTCATTGGTTTGTCCATCTGGAGTACTTCTCTAGAAGTAATTGAGGATAGAGTTTAATTTATTTTACATTTTAAGGCAAGGTTTTGTGCTCACCTGTGTAACGGATATTAGACGCCTGGGACAAGCCAAGATCTTTTAACATTTGCTCAACTGCAACGGTATAGAAAAACATACATCATGCTAACATCATAATCGTTTTTGCAAAGTACCTTTACAACATTATATACCCCCTTATTGCATGTCCTTTACAGTCCACAGAATTGAGTTCATGCCTAAAAATCATTACCATTGCAACGTTAATAATGTCTTCAAATTTAATTAAAGAGCTCTGCAACATGGTACAAAAATTCGCGTCGCTTATTTTAGCGGTAACACTTTTTTCCCCGTCCGTATGTTTCGCCATAATTTTTTTTTAAATCCCGAAAACCGAGGGAACCACGTCCAGACCAGCGAAAGGCATCTGGGAGTATTGTTTTCTTGTGGAAAAACAAACTCCACTAAGGTAGTCCAAAACACTGCCGAAACTGACTTAACTAACTGTGCTTCATTGGTTTGTTATCTCCTTTCAGAGAATTGGACGGTACTCTGAATACTCAAATTTACTGCAACAAGAAAAAAGCTAAGAGCTCTTGAGATAGCCTGCGTGTAGACGTCTTCTATTTAGATGTTGTTGTCGTTGTTGCTGTTTCTCGCGGAAAAGGGATATCTGCGTAACCCTAGTCTGCCTTGTAGCCGTTTTTTGGATGTCAAACAACGCTCCCCCAAAAGAACGTTGCGTGACATCCAAAAAATGGCTGCGAGGGAGACTAGCGTAACCCCCGTCACTAATTGAGTCCCTTTCCCGCGCAGGTTATTCTTGAGAAAAATACATGAACTGCAATAGGAATAAATAAGCGTACAAGCTGCAAAGACAGATAAGCATGCAGCAATCCGAGTTTAAACTGAGGATTGATTCAACAAAAGTGCAATATTGAGCTTTATCTTGACTTACATTCGCTGGTAGTAAGTTTATCCCCTGTGCCTGTCATTAGCTGTTGCAGCTGTTTGCGACTCACGGTGCCTGATTTTTCTCTGTCAAGGGCTGTGAAAGCTGCCAAAATTTCTTTCTCAGTGTTAATATTTTTACTACATTGTTCTGCCATCATCTTCAAAAACTCTGGGAATCGCACCTTTTGTTTTCCTGAAAAGTATTTCAATTAAATGTATAACGTTAATCTTCATCCAAATTTACTTGAAAAAAGAAAAAAACTAAAAGAAAAAATCATATTTCAGCCAATATTTTTCTTGATTTCAGTCTAGATGTTTTAGGTGTATTATGAGTTAAAAAATATTTTATGCACTGAACAAGCCAACTGCCTGTAAAGTATACAGTTAAGCCTTTACAACTTAATTATACAATTCATATTAGAAGGCAAAGTAAAAGACACGGGGCATGTACAGCCTCAAGTAAACTTGGTTGTAATTCTGACATAACTTGAGAGGGCGCCTTTTATTATAAATTGCTTTTAAATTATTCAATAAAAATCTACTAAAAAGTATTCTTTGCAAATAAAAGCACTTTCTGACCTTTCTGATACCAGCTTGTATTAATTTTGTTGGTCAAAATTAAATCCTTTTTCAAACTTACTAATAACTAAGAGCTGATAAGTATAGCAAGTAAGTAAGTCAAAAAATCAGAAGACAAGCCTGTGAGCAAACTCTCTTTCCCACCCATAAGGCCCCCCGCACAATTTCATTGGAAACCATATGAAAAAAATGACCCATATGAGGGCCATGCAGTTCAAGCGATAGGCCCAGAAAAAGGCTTATGTTTGGCTCTCAGACGGGATGCATGGACCCCAAGCCAATTATTCCCCCCGAGCCCTCGACGCACTCAGTCAATAAGTAAATAATCTGTAACCAAGGATGTCATATGCACTAACCAGCTTTTTTCATCAATGCAGCTATTTCTACATGGGTTATGTTTTCTCCTAATGACCTCATAATCAGTCCTAATTCATTCTCTGTTACCATTCCATCACTATCACCATCAAACAAGCTGAAACACTCCTTGAATTCTGTTGCATAAGAAGAAGTATAAATGTTAACCAATACTTTGAACTTGTCAGTGTAATGACGATATATATGGAAAAACTATAACCTATTCCATATAATAAACAATGTTTATAGCATAGAAAAACCACCAACACATATAATTATGCATGTAGTTCCACATCCTTTAATAGCAGAATGCCATAAAAAAATATTTCCAAAATTTTATTTTGCAAATACAGCTAAAAACTCTCATAGGCAGGATTACATCCAGTAATGGCTTTCAATGAAGGTTTCGACTCCACAAGGTTTTTTGAGATCCTTGGTTTCCCTTATTTGAGAGCCAAGATTCAGAGCTTTAAAGCAAAATTTGGGGGCGAGATTCAGGATTAACAGTATGCAAGGGATGTAGCAAGCTGAAAATAACCATTGGGATTATAGGATTGAGAGAAAATTTGGATCAGGATGAAAGGATTGGAGAACCTTATCGGGAACTTTCATCAATATTTGGAACTGACAGTTTGAAATTTGGCAGTGCTTTAATTAACAACGTGGATACATAACTCCATCTGATTTTAACTTGTTTTCTTTGTTTAACAGTACTCCATCACTCAATCTAACTTTGACAATTTAGATAAATGTGATGTTTTGCAGTCTAACTGTAAGTCTTCGCTTAAACACTTGATAAAATTTGGGGTTGAATGGTCAATCAGAGGAGGTTCAGCCACAAATAAAAATACCCGATAAGGGTACATGACATATCTTTTAAAATTTGTTAATAAAAGTAAAGGTGAATTTGAGTAAGGATAGAATACAATGAAATCCATACCATCAATTTGACTCTCTGTAAATCTTTCCACCTGAAATCACAAAATATTAATAAGTAACATAAGGTACATGTCTGCATTGTCTATAATCACTAGAAAGTATAGTATCAAGCTATGCAGGGCCATAGGTATGTACAATTGGCAACAAAAAAGTTCAGACATCAGCACTCAAATAGGGTAACTTCAGAGAACAAAACAATCCACACCTCTTTCCCCTACCAAACCTTCCACTCAAAGTTGGCATGTTTGTTGTTTTCTGCAAGTAGCTCCAACAGCAGCACAACATTGCATGGAGGGAATGGGGGAAGGAAAGCTTTATTTTCCCCTTTTGAAGTCGTGAAACTACAGAAAGACCCTTTAGGCCAAAGTGTCTCAACTTACTTTGTCACTGATAGTCTGAATCGAAATCTAAGCCCTGTTGCCCTATCAGCACAGGTTAAGAGCGATAACTTTTTTTCGGTTTCAATATTTACCAGATCATTTTTTATGAAAGTAGAAAGGATAACCATTTAATCGCGTGTTTTTCGAGGGAAAACTTTTTGCCAATCAATAATCGGTACTGTTTTCTAGTAATTACAAAGCAAAACCAAGGCATGCACTGAACAATTAATTTTCTAGTGGTATCTAAGCATGGTTGTCAGGAATTGACAACAGATGATGTATTGCTTAGCAATATCTCGCTAGGAAGTTTGAAGTGTTTATTCAGTGAAGGGTCTGATCAATGATAAAATAGCCATGATTGCCATCATGTACTTAACTAATTTTGTCACCCATTGTAGCTTTTGTACTTTTTGTAGGCCTGATCCCTAAAGGCTGCATTAATTGGACTGGTAATATACAATCATGTTCTTCAGGCTACCAAGATTTCATCTACTCTGCTACAACCAGTTGCAAAAATATTGGGACACTCACACGATTCAAAAACTGACCTTCTTCACTTCAAATCGCTGCTAGTACATCACACATCTGTGAGATATGATACTCATCTCCCTCCTCCCCTCCATTCAAAGATGTTCCTCCAAGTTTTGAGCATGGTCTTGTATTGCTAGCAACTTTGATAAGGGGAGAAGGGGGGATCACAAGCACAAGATCATAAACCGGGCCAGTCAAGCCAAAAAAAGGTACAGTGTCTCAAGTATTTTTACAAGTAGTTGTAGCAAAAAGTTTCTGGCAACGTTTTTACCATGTATGAAATTGTTTGTGCCTCTACTGAAAATTTCATAATTTGATTACCCACGAAGCACTTAGGTGTTCTTATGAAATCGTTTAAACGTGTCTGTGCGTCCCAGATCGAATAGATCATTTTCACTGTCATGCAACAAAAAAAATATATTGAAAACCGTCTGGTGGAAGAAGCCAAGAAAATGAAATGTTATAAAACACCAAAAGTAGTTTTGAGTTTTGCAATTAGCCTATTAAAAACGCTAATATTAGTTTATTTGGAAGTTCTTATCTTTATTTACAAAATGTTAAGAAACGTTTTCTTGGCTTCGCCGAAAAAAATTTCACATAATTGTAATGAAAGCTTATATGAAGCCCAAACATGACGAATATAATTATTTAATAAATCAAAGAAATGTTCTTTCACATATCTGCAAATGACAACACTACCAACAATTTTTAAAACATACTACAGAGTCTAATAAGACTAAAGACGACTAATAGTCTTAAATGAAGGCTTTAAGGCCACAACTGTGATCTACTCACCATTTTGAAAGCTCTTTGGAACCACAATATAACATCAATTCGACAACTTCAGCTCAGCTTGCTCAGATGAAAACAAACATCAAGTACCCAGTCTTTCTCGAGTGTGAAACGTGGAGGAATGCTGAGCCTGCGATGCGATGACGATGCTATTATGATAATCATGATGATGATGATGACGATAACAATAATAATAATAATAATAATAATAATTGCAATAATAAAAAACAACAACAAACTAAAACATGCAAACTCTATCGATGTTTAAAGCTAGAGCTCCCATCATTTGGCCTTTGTACATTATGCTTTTTTTCCCCCACTAAAATGCTCTACTTTAATGCTCTATTTTTCCCACTAAAATGCTTGGTCTCCACCAAAATGTCACTAAAATGCTCGATAATGCTCATCAGAGACAGCATTTTTTTAAAAATTAATTGCAATTGTTTGAAGTAAAGGGGGCTTAAAACTAAAATGTATAAGCCATGACATCAATGTATATTTTGTTACCTCAGGTAATTTTTGATTTTATTTTGTTTGGGGGTATGGTAATGTATGCTAATGAAGTTGAGACAAGAAAAAATGAAAATTACCTGAGATAAAAAAATTAACTACAACAGTAAATAGTTTTAATACAGCACAAACATATCTTCCACACGACTTTATAAAGGTGAAATTTGAATATACATATTTTTTAATTTGTAGTTTAGGTCATAGTTTCTCTTTAAAAATGTTTGAATTTTTATTTTCTGTGAGAAAAAATAATTTTGGGGGTAAATGCCAATAAAAAGCTCGAATAATGCTTTTGCCTCATTTAAATGCTTAAAAAAATGCGATGAGTCATAGTCTAGTATAGCCGATAGAATGTTTTTTTTTTTGCATTTCTTGCTATGTTTTTTTAGAAGCTCGGCTATTTCCTCTTTTTGCAAAAGTGTGAAATTCTCCTTCATTTTCCCTGGTATTACGTACCAAAACAGCTGAGCAACGCATCGTATTAATTCCTTATAGGGCTTCTGGGTTGCCTTGGCCTTTTCTTTTGGCGGTAGCCTGTTCACAGACCCTCTATTTTCTCTTTAAAGTCCGTCGAGCGCGCGTGATAAAATATAAACCGCGGGTCAACCGCGGAAGATTTATTGACCTTCAGCGCAAGGGGGTAGCGGGTAGGGGTGGAGGAAGAAGAAAATAGACTTTATTTTTCTTTCTCGCGCTCTGCGCTCGTTCTCGCGCGCTCGCCAGCTCGCCGATGTTTTTGAAAAGAACGAAAAGAAAAATAAAACAACGTCTGTTTACAGGCTCAGTTTTGGCGGTTACCTTGCAACTTTCTGAAGTCACTTTCTTGGCGGATTTCAAATTTGTCAACATTTAGACTACGAGTAGTCCCCCATTTTTTCTCAGGGATAGTTATGCTACGCCAAAAGTGGCAAAATATCAAAGATGCAACTTTATAATTCAAATCCACCAAATTACTATCAAGATCGATAAAATTAACATCAATTTGCTTTTTGAATGTGTCAAGATTGTAGAATTTAATTTCAATTCCCACGTGTTTCATGTCATGAAACACGTGGGAATTGAAATTAAATTCTACAATCTTGACACATTCAAAAAGCAAATTGATGTTAATTTTATCGATCTTGATAGTAATTTGGTGGATTTGAATTATAATGTTGCATCTTTGATATTTTGTCACTTTTGGCGTAGCATAGATATATAGTAGAGCGAGCGAAACGCGAGCGCGCGTGAAAATGCGTTTCGCTCGCTCTACTATCCCTGAGGAAAAATGAGGGACTACTCGTAGTCTAGTCAACATTCGCTGATTACAAAGAATTCACTGAGGAATTTGAGCCAATCAGAACAGAGAACCTTATTTTATTGCAATAGACTGCATATTGATCCATTTTCCAGAGGGTAAAGTCCAATCCAAACTGCCTCGAGGCTTTTGGAGGAAGGTGGTATCCGTGAGGAAAATGGCGCGCGGCTTAGTTGTGCTGTTCTCGCTTTTGTCAGTAGGCTTATTTTGCCACTCGAACAGCGAAGAAGTAACCAAATGCATCGATGGCCCTTATCATAAGGATATACCTTCCCCAGAAGGACCCGATTATGTTGAATGCCACTCTTGGCGAGAAAAGAGCTGTTGTACGGCCAATTTCACTGCAGAATTGCAACGCAACAGGGTAGAGGTCCTGTATAACTTCTCATGGAATCATTGCAAGAATTTGTCTCAGGTAAGGTTTACTATCAGAGAAACCTTTTGGTTTCTTACGGAGGTTTGGAGCTGGCGCCCGGAGCTGACGTAACTAAACAACTCGATTACCCACGTGTATCTTGCAGGGACTTGATATCCGCGTTGATCGCGTATGCGTACGCAACAACAGCTCGATGACCTCGTTAACTAAAAAAGAGATAGGGAATTTTGAATTTTTTTTTTCGTTTTTTATCTTGAAAGGCGCTCTTGACCTGGTCGGATTTGTAGTAGAATGACATAGGCTGCGATAGGAACGGCAATGCAAGCGACTACCATTCACTTGTCAGGTGATCTGCAAACAATTCGTCTAAGAATCTACCCTGACAGAGCACTTATTTAAAGCAGGCTCTGTCTAAATAGGTTTGGTGATTATGTAATTGTATTGGAGTAGTTTTAGTATAGAAATAGTGTATTTTAAGGCCTGATGAATTGTCAGTGTTTAGATAAAGTTATTAATTCATTCGTTCAACCTGAGCGGTTTTGGTCTCTTCAGAGTAGAAAATGGCATCCTTTATACGGGCCTTTATAGCTCTTGTTATGCATATTTTAATTACCCTGCAGAGGCTGCCATTTGCCTTTGTCGCACGCGAAAAAAGAAACTCTTTAGAGGCGTAAGCGCGTAGTCTATTACTATTCTCGAGAACCATCGTTCAGATTAACCCATGGACCTTTCAAGTTATTTTACACAGTTAGAGAGAGTCGCGTCTTCGCGTCATGACGTGCACCCATGCACTAAACAGATTCTTTTTATTATCTTTAACCTACTTTAAGTATTTTTATTGCACGAATGTAAACAAATATTGAATGAGGTTCTTGTGATATGCGGAAAAATCAAGGTCGGGGAGACCGCGACCTTGATTATTCCGGATATCACAAGAACCGAATCCAATAATTGTTTTTATTATACAATGTTTTGAAGAAAATAACGACGAAAACACCGAGCCATGTTTTAATGGCTGTGTACCAAATGCCCCTGCAATCTTGGACAAAATAAAATGGAACAGCAAACCCCATCCCCCCCCGCCAAGGCAAGGATGAAGGCGCGCGAAGGGCAAAAACGCACCATTTTCCCATCCTTGATTTGGGGGGGGGGGGGGGTCTAGGTTTTCCATTGATTTTGTCCAAGATTGTGGCTCTCGTGATTCTGTCATTGCTCTTGGAAATCATGCTTTGGGCTAGCAACCTGTCTTATCTGTAGGTTGTGCTGATTTCGAAAATTTACTTAAGGCTCTCATCTTATGAGAAGATGGATATTGAGTACAGTGTACTATAAAAACGAATTTTTGGCCTCCAGCCAAGCTATTACCATTATAAAAAACGGGCGTGATTTGCGGTCACGACTTAATGAACTCTTTTTCAAAGATCGTTTTGCATCGCACACTGATATGTATAAATTCTAACGTTCCCGAACATTCTGTATAATAACAGTCAAGAGCCTACGAAGGAGAATAACCTTTCAGACGTTACTTCAAAGAATTTTTCCAGCCCAGAGTATTTTTGTACCCACCCCCACCCCCTTGCTCTTGTGGTCAATAAATCCCCCTCGTTTTTTATTTTCTTATGAGCGCTCAGTGATCTCTAAAGAGAAAATAAATACTATAATAGAGGGACTGTAAACAGGCTCCTAGGGTTTTAGAGGCTTTTCTTGGGTGGGTAGACCTGTCCTCCAGGACATGTCAAAAATGCGCTATTCTACTTTGATCGTGAGACTTGTCTCTTGCTCGTTTATACTGTAAACTTCCACTTAAAATCCACCCATTTATATTCCCACCCCCACCCCCCAGTTATAGGCTCATTTACCAGTAAACAGAAAAGGTACATCCCTCTCGAGCTCTAGCTTGTATTGGATTCGATTTTTTACGAGGTTTTGAAGCTCAAAAAGCGAGTAAATTCAAAAAGTATTTTCATTTTGATTAGCATAGCCTGGGAGCAAGCTCTCCCATATGGGCAAGCGAAACTAGCCGCGCGAGAACGCTCGAGCGAAGGGGCTTTCTAGCCTGCGAGCAAGCTCTCCTGTTTGGGCGAACGAAGCGAGCCTCGCGAGAGCGCGCTTTCCTCTGCCCCTCGCGGCTTGGCCGCTCGCTCGCGCGTTCTCGCGAGACTCGCTTCGCTCGCCCAAATAGGAGTGCTTGCTGGTAGGCTAGGGGCTTCCCCCGCCCCATACTTTTGCGTCTCCTCTCGCGTGTCTACTTTTCACGATATCCTCCAAATGTAGAGCTTGCTCGCAGGTTAGATTAGCACTGCTTTGTAGCCCCCACCATTTATAAACCCTCTTAAAGTTGTGTAAGCTCAGGGCTTATAAGCGAAAGTTTCAGTCGTGATCTTCCCTTTTAAGGATCGGTTTGCGGCTATTTTAATCTATAATAATTTAATTGTAACTAAGACACACAATTATATTTGTTATTTCCGCATGATGACATATTCAACAGGATTGCGTGCATTTGAATGAGGGATTACGACTAGCTAGGGGACACTTTGTAATGTCTATCCTAAAGGCCGGGCGGAAATCCCATTTGCGTGCATTTCATTTACATTGTAATTATGCTTACATTTGTTTAAAATCCCGTAGAGGTGAAATGTTTGTTAAGAATACTGTCACAGCCGGTTTATTTTTCTTTCTGTTAGGAATGTGAGAAGTTTATTAAAAATCAAGAATGCTTCTGGTCTTGTGAACCCAACCTTATTAAGTGGCACGTTGGTGAGGGAGTCCTGAAGATGGTGCCTATATGCGCCAAATACTGTGATGAATGGTTTGACGCCTGCAAATCGGACTACACATGCGTCCAAGACTGGTTAAGGGGTTTTAATTATACCAACAGTATCTACAGTTGTCCAACCAATTCCTCCTGCCGCACTTTTCAAGAGGTCAGTGATGATTTTGTGTTCGTCAGGGGCAGGCAAATTTATTACGTTTCTGCCAAAGCAGTGCAAGCCCAGTGCGTTACATTGGATTTATCGTGAAACTTATGTATCTTCAGCCTGCGGAGAAAACATCCGGCATTTCGCGACCCTACCACTGGTTTCGGAAACCAGTGGTGGCGTTGGCCGTCTCTGGCTAATGCTACTTTAAAAGTTGACGCAGATTAAAGTAATAATAATATAATAATAATTAAAAATTTATAACGCGCCTTTTCCATGCATATATGATCAAAAGCGCGTGACAACACGTAAATGTTAAAAGAAAATAAAAGCTAAAATGAGCAAAATAATTAGGGCTAAGAATAAACAACGCTAAAAATTAAATAAAGATAAAAAAACACTAAATATATTACATAGTAGGTTAAAGAACACCTCTTCAAAGTAATTATCGAAAGAAATCACTTGTGAGTTAATCTTGATGCTGATCGGAGTTTTGTCAAAGAGAGCTGTTTTGGCTTGATTTCACAACCGAAGTCGAGATATGATAAGAGTTAACTAAAGATGATTCGCGCGTTTTTTCGACCGCCAAGTTTTAGAATTTTTGAGAACACTTAAAAGTTCTGCGCCTCTACAGTGTAACAGACACAAAGTCTCCAAGGTGAAAATTAAGAAGAACAAGACGCCTAAAGTCGTTTCCGTGGGGTTCGTGAAGCATAATGGCGTTCTATCTTGGTTGATGGAACAGAACAAAACAAAAGAAAACATCCGCTTGCTTTATCCAGGGTCGAACCGAGGGTTACAAAGTTCGATAAAGTTCCAATGTCTTAATCCAATTCCAAGATGAAAGTTTAATATTCCAAGATGCTCTTGATACGGTTAAAAATTAATTGCAATGTGTTTCCCAGGTCTCAAAGTTAACATAGTTCCAATGATTATCCCTGATTCCAAGGTATAATAAGTTTACTCATATCCTGATCCGTGTCCCATCCAGAAGTCCAATCCATGCCGAAACTGAGTCGTCGATCGACGAGGACAATATTTTCGCGATTTCAACGCCAATCGTCAAGGGTGCGAGTTGAAATTTACGCGATTTAACCTCCCATCGTCAAGGTGTTTTCGATAAGAAAAGAAAAAAACTGAACTCTAGCTGTGCTCGGCAAAAACTGGCGAACTCCGAATAGAAAAATCTATCGGAAATCACGGCCCGCAAGCAGACGCTACTAAGCACACATACATACACACTTTATTTACTAAAACCTTAATGCTGCGGCCTTCTGAACTAAAGCTAATCGAAAATGACATTGAATGTCCCAAATGTTGGAAAGTACTAAAAATTACTATCAATCTATAGAGAGAACTCGCGGGAACGTTGTTTAAAAATGAAATAAACTTGGTTTTCCCAGTAAATTGTAGTAGGTAGAAATTCAGATTGTTTATCGATATATTTAGTATACGGTGTACTATCTTTTCTCTGAAACACGATACTTTCCTTGCTGTTTATTGTTTATTAAGTAACAGTTATATAGCTATATTTTATAGAAAACAACAACACAAAAAACGGAAAAAAAAGAAAGAAGGATTTTGGCTCGACGATTAACAACCACTATCCCAAACCAACAGGTAAGTTTGGGAAAAGTCTTTAGTTTAATCCTTTTCCATGAAACTTCCGCCGGCAGATGATCGCCAATTTGGCAATGTAAACGTTTCCACGGCAATTAAATGAAAGAACATAATTATGCGTTCTTCAACGAGGACACAAAACATATGTTTTGTTGTCTCGAATTTTGAAGCGAATTAAAAATCGATCCACAGATTTTTCTTACGAATAGCAATCTGACATTTTCTTACTTTCACATCACCTTCTAGCAAGCTGGAATTTGTATATCCCCCGTGTTGCAGAGTCGAAGAGCAAATGCTCATCTTCTCGTCAGGTTTAACACCTCAGTGACCTGGATTCAAAGGCTCTTGAATTAAAAAGGGGTGGGTTAACCATTACTCATCTCAACTCCTGCGAAATTTTTTTTTTTCTAACAGTGCTGTAGAAAATTTGCTACAAAGAAAACTCTGAGTTTGGGCAGGAACGATTTTTTTATTTTTGTCCCCAATGCATAAATACAATGCATTGTGGTAAAAGTGTTTAAGTGCAATGCATTTGTGCTGCATTCGAGAATTCATCGCCCCTTTTTTTCTTCCGACAAGCGCTTGCCTGGAAAACTTTTTTATGAAAATCATCCAAAAAAGAATCCTTAGGTCGCCTTTCCCCAGTATCAAGAGTCCTAAAAATGGTTCTGGTTCTTCCATCGATTAAAAATCGATTCAATTTTGTAGATTTTAAGAAGAATAATCGATAAAGATTTTACGCAATCATATTGGCTGGCTTTGCAATTTTGGGTACAACCGAACCGGATTTTTACCGTGGGAGTGCCACAGGCATCCCACGGAAATAACATTTACACTCTCTTTGGTTATCTTGTCTTGCTCGTAGATACTTTTATGTATCTCATCTGCCTTGAAGATATTTTACACGCATTTGTTTCCTGCTTAGCTGTTCTCATCTCAGTTGACTGTAAATTGTTTTCCATTTTGTCTTCATAGTTCTACAAGAATGGCGAAGGCTTGTGTAACACAATGTGGGCGCAATCCTTTTACTACGAAAAAAGTGACAACTGCATGGTGATGGAGTTCGCTCCCGGCAAAAACCCTAACGATGCTGTGACCGCTTCAGCGCCGCGCTTCTCCACATTTATTCATCCTGTGCTGATGTTTGCTCTGCTGAAGATTTTCTAGTAAAGCTTATCAAGTCAATGCGAATTCTAGAAGCTAGTGCGTTTTGCGAATTTATTTGGTTTTGTAATTTTCCCAGTAATAACACGCTTTCATGTCTGCACCCTGACCAGAATCAGATGAATGGTTGTATTTATGCACCAATTGAATTATTTTCTTACTAATAAATTGAAACGCTTTTTCTAGACTGTTTGACGCCCTTTTGAAATCATACGACTGATCGATCGGCAAAGACGTGGCTTATTTGATCTTAGATCATGATATTTTTCACTAAGCCAAACCTGTAGCCACGGTAACCTGAAATAAGCAACCAAGAGCTTTCCAACAGTTCACAGCCAAAGAATGAAAATTAGGCCCCGTCCACAAGTATCCGTTTTGGTTTGAAAACGGAATATATTTTTTCTCCGGTTTGGCCTACCGTCCAGACGTATTCGGTGAAAACGGTCACCGAAAACCCATGTATGTCCATTGTTTAGTGTTTTTGAATGGACGGACGAAAACGATTCCAATACGCTGTGTGGAGGCGTATTTTTTTGAAAACGGAGGGGGAAAAAATCTCCGTTTTCAAAAATATCCGAATACGTGTAGGCGGGGCCTCAATATCTGTCTTCTCATTGGCTAAGAGCCTACAGTTAATTTTGGAATTCAGCGCAACTTACAAATTAATTAGTTAAGTTACCTGCTAGCCGATTACTAACTAATCTGAGCTAATCTGTAGGCGCAATGTATGATTTCCACCAGCAATGCGGTCAAACTGTGTCTCGTGCGCTCGATGGTGCGTTTGTCGTTATTCTCTTCAAAGAATGTATAATTTTAAAACAATAATCACTGCCTCAGCCTCGCTCGGCTGATAACACTTACTTCCACAACCTTCATTATCAATTGCAGATATTGGGTAAACCTCTTCCAATAATTATTTATTAGAAAATAGGCGTCATCTTCCCTCGTTATTTTTGCTCACTGCTTTTTGCCAACGTTTCCAGTGCGGATTATAGTTTTTTGGCCCAGTGGTGTACGAATTCTTGCCGCGTCGGAAATCAGATTGGTTGGCCGTCCTGGTCTGGTTGTTCACGATAAGCTTAAGCAACGCGCCCCGGGGTACTCCCTATGATGGCCTAAAAGGTGGACGCTCCACCTGAAAGGGGAAACTTTATCAGGCTTCAGGTATATCAAAGAGTTGTCACAAGACACTGAGTTTCCCTAGCTCCGTTGTCGTCAGCTTCAGCAAACGATGCTGATCGTTTCTAATGAACCACTATGAAGGGCCGCATGTATTTGCGTGATCTCTTTTCAAACGTCATCAATATCAGCCGATAGGTTTAGTTACCATTGTGGTTTGTGGTGTTCTTTGTCCCATGAGAAGTTTTAGGCGGGAAGCTTTTTGGGATCGTTTCGGTGGGCAAAGCAGTGGCGGATTCAGACCTTAAGATAAGGGGGTGGGGGGGAGCCATCCAGAAGGGGGAGGCCCGGTCACACAAAAAATTTTTTTTCGGCCTTTCGGGCCTCAGTTTGGTCTAAAATTAAGGGGGGCGCCCCCCCTGGATCCGCCACTGCAAAGTTATCCCTTGAGTAACACCGAACGAGCCCCAAGTAAGGTAATCTTGGATTCGGAATTCCACGGCATGGATTCCAGATTCCAGGTGCTGGGTTTCGTATTCTTTGTCAGTGGAACTTGGATTTCGGTTTCCAAAGCTGAAAATCTGGATCGCGCAAGCACAAAGATTCCGGTCCTCTTCCGGGAGTCCGGTATCCAGATTCCCTTATATTGACGAACCGAACCTGAATCATAATCAACCCTAGTCCATACAAACCAATCAGATCGTTATACCCCCGCCACACCTTGCATCCATTCCCCTCGTAGTTCATGGAGCGCCGAAATTTTGAAATGGTGTTCAAAGAAAAGAGGAAATTTATTTCCACTTTTAATGATAACGACCAGCTAAAAAAGTTGCCACATTAATAACAACACCCTGCATGAGTTATACAACAACGTACCAATAAACCATTTTCGCATTCCTGCAAACAAAGGCCCGAACTCGAACTCGCCGAGGCTTGGGCCAAGAAAATACAGTGATTTAAATGAAAGTGTCCACTAAAGCCTTGATCTCATACATTCTCTTGTGTATAAGAGAGGGTATGAGGATATTTAGCAATTATTCCTCGAGCCCGAATGAGCTCTGAGTCAGTAGCCCATGAGGCCGAAAGCCGAAAAACAGTTTACAGCTTGGATTAGCAACGATGAAAAAGCGCCAGCGCGGGTTGTTTGTCTCGGATGGAATGCAATTAAGAACCGACGGTCGTTTGGTTTTCTTTAAGGCATGAGGATCTACATTGCGAAAGAGATGTTTCGCTTTTTTTAAAACATCGTAATAAACTTATACAGCATCAGATGATTTAATTTCAGCACTAACCAAACCATCACAGAATGAACAAAAGTATCAAAATAATTACTTCAAACTATAGAAGAACATAAGAAAAATAAAAACAAAAACCAAAAGCAAGGATGGGAAAAACTGAAAAATATTAAAATGAATTACGTTAAGATAGACGTGAACAAGGTATTTCTTCAACCAATTTGTAGTTGAAAGCTCGTAGGCAAAATCAATGGTAGCAACTTGCCCCTTTAATATCAGCTTCCATATTATTCCCATATCGAAGGCTAAGCGATTAACGTTGTTATGATACGGAGGCCCGGGGGAACTCACAAATGGCCAATTATTCATGTTTTTTTTTTTCCAAAAATGACATGTAGAGTCGATCTCCTGCTGCTCCCTGGTAATTTTTTTTCACTTTCTACCCGGTGGTCCTCTCTCTAATACGAACTATAATTGATAGCGGCTTCACGGTGTCTTCGTTACAGAGAGTTCATGTTTTACATATTACATAATACGTACATAATCTAATGACTACCGCACAGGTTGTCGAAACGTCAGTCACTGTCAACGACAACAGTCCTATTCAGGACCACGTTCACCCGAACGATCAAACTCAACCTACTTTTGATAATCTACACTGTATGTATTGATCCTTTTTAGCATGGGACAAAGGTAAAATTTACTACAAACCTTCCGACAACATTTGCTATGAATTTATCCCTTCAAAGCCGTGTTTTTTTGTTTTTTTCAATCAGTAAAATTAACAGGAGCAGAAAAAAATTACTAATTAACGCCATGGTACATATATTTATTCATTATTCATTCAAAATATTTCTTCGTTTCTGATTGGCTAAAAGCACACCCATAATTCACCACGACCACCCACTGATGACCAAATTTGGAAGAATTTTGCGATTAATCAACCGATAACGTCAAAAGTGCAGCTTTCTTGCAGGTTAATACACCGTTAACCAAGAAGACCTGGGGACTAGGTTGAGTTGTTTTGGTTGTGACAACAAAAATGGCGGACATTTCACTCGTTTCAAGAGTAAGAACTAGGAGAAATAATAGTTAAAAGACAACTGGAAGGGCGACATCTGCTAATTGGAGAATATTTGCGGAGCTGAACAACCCTAAATCGACCTAAACGTGCACTATCGAAGATGAACTTAACATCGATGGAGGTAAGCATGTTTAGCCATGTTTTTAACCTAGGAATTATTTTAAATGAATAATAAAACAATTATTGAATTCGGCTTTCGTATGATATGAAGAATTATGGAGATTTCGGAAACACCCTCCTCGATCTGCATAATTCTTCATATGATACTCAGCCTCATTCATTAATTGGTAATTAAGTACATGCCTCTATTCTAATTATTTATAGAACTAATTGTGCAAAAGATTATACAATAATAAGAATGCATTTAGCTTAATTAAAAGATTTACAGTCTTCGAAAAAATAGTACTTGAGTGACAATTTCATTCACATCTTTAGGTTACTTATTTCACTGAACGATAATCTGTTAGCAAGGATTAGAAGCCAGCTTTGTGGCAGTTGAAAACTGCGATCCTTGATGAATTATTTCTACTGAATTGAAATCAGTTACTCGTATCACACTTCTTTCTTATCACTACCACAATCCTTTTTAATCGAATACTATTGTTATAATTTCAAACTTACTAGTTTTAATTCTCAAAAGATAATGTTCTTTCATTGATTTAAAACTACAAGACAAGATGTAACAAGTAATTATTAATTTCATTCATCTTCAGAAAGGATACAGTGTATGAAGATATAAATGTATGTGATTTTGTATTAATTTGTTCTTATAGTGTGACAAGGTCAATTTAAAGTTTTACACTACCATACTATTGTTATTACAATGTAATATAAAATCAATTATTCTTTATTATCAATATTACTATTACCATTATCACCATTACTGGTTCTATGGCGGAGAATCTGAATGCAGTATGAGTCAGTTCACTGATCCAACATAAACTACAACTTCTAGCAATTTGTCACAATCTAAACACAGCTTTAAATAAAACCATGCCAAAAAAATTACACCAAAAAACATAATAAACAAAATATAGTTTCATCCTCTAAACCCCGTAAGTCTACTGTATCTCTGTCACGTAATCTAATCTTTAAGTCTGAGAAGAAATGATGATTTTGGCTGATGCATACCGTAAAATTCCGAAAATAAGCCCCTCCATGTATAAGCCGCTCCAAATAAAAGCCCCCCAAACTGGTAACGCAAAAAACCCTCCGTTAAATCACCCCTCCAAATATAAGCCCCCTGGGGGCTTGTACTTGGAAAATTGCCCTCAAATACTAAGTAAAACAAAGCTAAAACCGTAAATTTACTTCCAACTATAAGGCTAGCCCAATCGATTTTGAAACGCAAATTTCCCTCCCTAGATAAGCCCCTCCAAAAATAAGCCCCTCAGAAAGGGCCTTGAAAAATATAAGCCCCGGGGCTTATTTTCGGAATTTTACAGTATTCTCATAAGGTGACCGTAAGTTAGTGAGTACATAGCCACCATGAAGGATGGCTGTCTTCACATTGCGAGACCTGTCATGAAATTATTTTAGCCAAATTATTTCAGCCGCTAGGAACAGGACAAAAAGGGAGAATTATTTAACTCTGCGCAGCTTGAGAAAGAGATTCAATAATTTTTTTTTGCACAGTTCTAAAAATTATTCTCCTTCAACCCTTGTACTTACTAGTATTAAAGTACGTTCCAACTTAGCTTTAAATCTCAAAAATTAATTACAGTAGTGGGGAAATAATTTTGCACGTCTAATAATCAACAAGGAATAATATTTCATAAATATCATAAATTCAGACAGAAAACAAGTATAAACATTTGAAGCAAGAATTAATAATATTATTATTACCCATTAAAAAAGGTGCAAACTGGAGCTTGCTCAAGGAAACTATTAATTTGTGGAAACTAGTTACCAGTGTGGAACACTGCGTATTTGAAGTATTTATATTGACCCACTTTTACTATTAAAATAGTATTGTAGGTAAAAAATTATTAATTATTAAAAAATAGCTGCTAAGGCCAGGGACACAACCACCTTTGTCAAACTCGAAAAACGTTTTTTTTTTGGCCTGAAGGAGAATAATGGTTTAGATAAATTTTATCATCTATGACTACATGTTTTTCTTAAAAAGGATTCATTCCTAAAATTCAACACAAAGTGGTTATGTGCTAAGTCAGGTATTAAATATTACCAGCTCATTTGAGTAACCAGAATGGTCTTGATTTTCAGTAAACTCAGCCAGCTTTGAGATTATTCTGACTCCTGTCCTATATGGAACTACAGGATGTACAATCGGTCTCTTGTTCAATCCTGGTAAGATTTGTGCTGGTATGTGAAGCCCAGTGATAAACTAATGATCAAAAGGAGATGGATTACCGATATATATTTTATTTTACATGAAAACACAAGAGGCCTGGTAACCTGGCAGTGGTTTACTACATGCAAGACTTCAGAGGAGCAGGCCTGTTGTATCCTCTCAATACATAAATCCGTTAGATAATTGCTAGTTGTGAAATCACTACTGCAACTATCTAGTTGACCATGTGCTTCATTTATTCTCTAGTGTGATGTAAGTCTACACGAAATGCATCACGCTCTACACTATATCATGTCACAACCTACCGTGTGGCACAAAATTTTTGCCGGTTCTAATTTTTTTTTATTTTTCCAGCAATCCGCTAAATAAGTTTCTGCAAATAAATATTACCACAAAAATTTTTCCCACAAAAATTTACTGCAGAGTAAATATTCTCTAACCTAAATTCGCTACACAAAAATATAGTATTAGAAACCGTGTCTGTTCAATTGCAACTTGTCTCTTTCACCCAGAAACAAAACGGTGTTCAAAGAAATACTGGTTTATTGTTTAAAAATATGTATTTCTATTGCATTTACTCAATAAAAACAAAAATATTATCAATGCTCGGTACTGGGTACTTTCTGAAAATCGCAAAAATCAATTCCCAGCAAGAAAAACCCTCCTGTCCTTATCGCAAAAATTAGTTCCTGCAAAACACATGAAATCGCCAATCTGCAAAAATGAACTCCCGTAAAAATTTTGTGCCACACCGTAGGTTTAATTCCAAGCTGGACCAACAGCTGTACTGTTACAGTAACTAAGAAGGTAAATGTTGTCTTAGTTTCACATTTGCAAAATAATTAATGGTTAGACCTTCTTGAGTTCTACATGTAGGATAAGTATGAAAAACATAAGGCCTTGTCTCCCAACACTTTGACTTAACCTTACTCTGTAAAATGTAAAAGAACACCCTAGGGGCTGGAATACAGCTGGAACAAATACCAGACAGTTGACTAGCTCTGGGTGCTGGGGTCATCTGTAGCAAAAACCTTAATGTACAGAAACTCTTAGTCCAGAAATCTTTGCTTGACAATGCAAAACAGCACAAATAGCAATAACTAAAATACATACCATTAGGACAATACTAACTGCTCATCATTTTTCTAATGTTTTGCAGGCCCTGTGTGTAGTTGTCTTTGTCGGAATTGATCTCTAGTTGCCTTTCTTTTGGCATCAACATGTTCATCTCTTAGCTTAGTATCCTTGCTGTTGCTACTGCTATAGCTGGCTGAAAAATCAAATAAAGTTAGATGGGTAAGAAGCCTGTTATATTACACTTTTTCCCCTTTTCATAATGTTATTGTTATTCCAGCTTAGGTTGAGTGTTTATGTGAAAAACATGCATTAATGAACACACACAACTGAACATGTCTCAAAATGGATGACCCTATAATGCTTTGCAAGCATTGCAAAATGGAAACTGATAAAAATCAAGGTCCTTGCACAAAAAATAATATTTTCACTATTTCAGCTTATGATAATTTGGGTGGTGATTACAGCAACTTTCAAAACTTTTTTACATTATCAGTGCAGTTTAGGCAAAAAAAAAAAACTAACGATAATGTTTAATAACGTAACAGCTTCGTGACACATTACCAATATACATGAAGCACCAACAGTCAGTTGACAGTTGGCCTAAATTTACTGGCCACTGTTGGAGGTTGATTGTTGGCAGTGTGTTGGCCATTTGTTCACAATTACAGAAGTTTTTTTACCCATCTTCAGTAACCTTTGAAAGTCATAATAACACTGTTGGTATTGCTTACAAGTTTTGGACTCCCATACATGTTATCTTGAAGATATTTTAAAATTTTACCATCAATCAAGGACATTACAATCATCAAGGGATCATTTGCACCTTGAAGAACCAAATTTTAACATGAAAACTTATGGCCAGCGAGCGTTTTCTGTTGCTGCCCCCCAACTATGGAACAAGCTCCCCTTTGAAATTCGAGCTTGTTCTGATGTTAATCTTTTTAAATCTAAGTTGAAAACATTTCTTTTTTAAGATACACTGCATAAGGCCGGGTGAAGATTCTTCTTTAACACCAACAATTTGCTGTAAGGTTAGCAGAGCTTAACAACTAACATCATCACTGACAAAGGGACCTGGACGGATTCCGAAAGCTCTTCTAAACTGTTAACAAATTGTTGGTGTTGAAAAATATTTTTTCTGTAATACACTGTACATATTTTTTATGACCTTACCATGAATGTCATTGCCCACTGAAACATCACCATTTTCTACTAGCTTTCCATTGGCTGTTGTGCTTTTTGGAATTTCTCGTGTGTCTTCTACCCCATGACTAATCCCTGTTACTATTCGAACCAAGAGCCAGACCATGTACTGAAACCACCATAAATTCATGCCAAATAACATCCACAACATGGGATTAAAAAAGAAGTAAAACGGAGCTGTAGGAACATATGGACGGCCACCACAGCCACAAGGGTACAGCACTTTTATTGGGTACAGGTAGAGACGGCAATAAAACCTGAAAATAAATGAATTAAGTAAATAAGGACATACAGGCAGAATTAAAACACCTTCTTGGGTTTTTTTAGAATCAATGTATCGTTAGAATAATTACATGTAAAGGTGCCATGTAATGGCTGTTTAGTTAATTTTGTTGACATCACCATTAACATGTCCTAACTTGCTATGGAACTCAACTTTAACAATTAACAGCTATGAACTTTAAGAACATTTTATTTTATCTACAGTGTTCCTTTTTTTTTGTCTTTCTTTATTCTCTTTTGTTGCATTTACTTGGTAATTAATGTAACTAGCGTAATTAGTGTCTACTACTGTTGTTAATTGTTACTGTTTGTGGAGTTATTAATAAAGATTCAATTAAAAAAAACCTTCGCAAAGAAATCAATTTTTGTACATGCAAAATTGGCCCATTGCAGTCGCAAGTATTTCTTCCATACATGGAAACTCATGCTTACCATGATGAAACAAATGAAACAAAACCAACAGCACTAAGTATATCTGATGTGCGACAGTACTTTCCATTGCGTGTTTTGAAGGCCACACAGAGTTTTGAAAATTCTAGGAAAACATCATTGAGGTCGTGAAGAAACAACACTACAAGTCCAATTCTGTGGTATCTGAAATGACAGAAAGAACACATGAATAGAATGAGGGACCTCAAAATTAAATGATGCTACAATAATATTATTTTTTACAACTGAGTGGCTGATTTCCTGCGTGCTCACTGTTCGCGGGCTTTGGTCTATCACAGTATACAAAATATTAGTATATATAAAAAATTGGACAGTGAAACTTGCTTTTCTCTCATCTCTTGCATGTGATTTTCAAGCGACTTTGCCCTGGATGGTCCTTTGAGACTTAAATAACAAATTGAAAGTCATAGTGTAAGATACAAAATTTAATTAACAGAAGTGCCTGGAAAAAGTCTAACAGTGCTGTTGTACATGACTTCTGATGGGGTACTAAACTTTCTAAGTGTATATTAAACCTAGTATTTTCTTGAGAAAGAAAAGAGAACACTCAAAGCACCTTTTCAATTTTCCATTGTCTGGACTCTTACAGGCTATGATACCCTGACATTGAAAACTTTGCGGTAAAACCACCCGCCACTCACAAAGCATTTATTTACCATTTTTAGTCTGTTAAATTACAGATGAATAATCACACATCTTACCTGACAGCAAATGAGAAAAATATGAGTGCATTAGTTAAAATGTGATGCATGATCATAAGATGGGAATCTCTTCTCCACTGATCCATAAACAATGTGGCATATATCGAATGAAAATAAAATCCTGCTTCTACTACATAAAGTGTGTAAATATCTTGAGGAATTGGCATCCCTTTGTACCATCCTAAGTTGAAAGAAAAGACGTACAAACAATTAATTTTTTGCAATACTTTTAAGCAATGTGACATTTAAATACAAGTAAAACAAAATGTATATGCTGTGATACAAATGTACATTCCACCTTAATCTTAATTGGGCCATCCCTTTTAAAAGGGCTCTTCTGACTCAAATCACAATACACAAGTTACTAATATTATTTTATATATTGCATGTCTTTATTTTGTATACTAAGAGAAAAGGAATCATAAGCCTTAAAATTGACCTTCCCTATAACCTCACCTTTCCAACAATTGTTTGTGTCACGAAATAAATCATATTTCCCGCCAAACAAAATATACGAGCAATATGCATATGCAGAAGAGTAAAATATAAGCTTGAATGCACTCTCGGGACCCTTCTTCTGCTCTTTCTCAAGGAGTTTACACCACTTGAAAAAAGGCTGCAATTCAAAAGCAAGAATGATGCTGTTAAAATATGTACTTAAACCTGTACAAGATACCCACTTAAGGTTACCGGATGGATACCTTCTTGGGGTGTCTCACGAGCAAGTGACATACAATGTACATGAAGCCTGTTCCAGTTAAATTGCAGATACCTACATGTAAATCTGTCAACGGAAAGCTTACTGACGCTAGCTATCTTAATAAACCAACAACCTTCATGACTACCAGAAACCTGACGTGTAACTGCATTGAAGTAACATTATAACAAAACTAACTGAAACCTAATACAGTGACAAGGGTGTGTGTGTCGCAAGGGGGATAACAATAATCTTTATGTGCAATAGTACTCAAAGAGAGGATTTTTTTTGAAGCAAAGTTGGATAACACTTTTTAAGGTGACTCATTTGACCATTGTTTTTCCCAATGAAAAAAGGGTACAAAATAGCTACAAACAAAGTAAAACAAGTTCCAGTAATTAAACATTAAACTTTGAGCTACAGAAATTTTGGCAGATACACTGTCTCCCTGGAGGATTACTATTCTCCCCTGCAAAAAAAAAAAAAAAAGGAAAAACCTCTTGCTAAATGCAGTGCAAAGGTGTAATAGATAATAATTAAAAAAATCCTGATTAGAACTTTAAATTCATACATGTGAATTTCATCATATCCACTGATAAAATTGAAACTAAAAATAAATTTGCAACCATGAAGACATTTACTAGTGATTCCATGAATGTGACTAGCTCCATCAATGCAAAACATGTTCTGACATTCGCAGGCTAGAAGGTGCAGAATTTTTTTTTGTACAAGAAAAATGAAGAGCAATTATTATTATAATAACCATGCCAACCATAAATTGGCTAAGGAGAATCTGGCTATATTGATTACTAATGTGGATCAAAGTTTACCGGTATGCTAATTTGAAACAATATGGCACACATCATTATTTTACACATGTAGCTTAAATTTCTATTATTATTCTTTGTATATTGCAAGTTCAACAGATAAATGCTCTTTAGACAAATGTTTTCTCTTTCAAGTTATCTGAACTAAAAGATACCCAACTGAGTAGTGCTAGGAATCAGCTGAGATTTCATAATCAATGATCAGAAGTACTTGGATTGACCCCAACCAATCCATCATCAATATTACAATGGGAAAAATCTCCATACCAATTACATTTACGTTTCACCTGAATACAAGTCAAAAAAATATATATTAACCTTTTGTGCTTTTGACTGTGGACCACTACTAATTAGGCAGGTCTGATGTGCCATGTTATCACGAGTGAGCAAAGAAAGTTGTGTCTGATAGCCTAGGGCTAGTGAATTCTGTTCTGAAATTACCTGAGAGGCAAGTGAAGTTTTTGGGAGGTATTCAAATTACAGAAAAACCGTAATCAATCCTACTCGTCAAAAATGTTTTTCAGGCTAGTTTAAATGACTCTTGGGCTAGTACATGCTAGCTACAGCTTGCCTGACAGACAAGTTGTAAAAGTGACTTGCACCCTGGTTATAAAACATGACAAAAACATACAGTATGAAAATTAATCTATCAGCAAAGAGTCATCAATGGATTAAAACAACATAGAAGTTTTTGGTGACAAGTATTTCTTTATATTTTCCCATAATAATCTATTGAACCTGTTCCATAATTATCACAAGTCTTCAGTAACAATCAATTATAATTGGGGTGGCCAATGTCATTTGTTTAACATGGAGGTGTTAAGGTGTTAGGGTTTCAGTACCTGTAGCATAAATGTTTAAGCTACAGTATTTGATTAATTATGTCTTTAACTATAACTGTGATTCAGGTGGCCCTGTTATCAGAATTGCCAAGTCTCAAGGCTCTGTCATGAGACTCACAATTTCACGACCTATCTCGCGCTCTCACGAGTTGGCAACTGATTTCTCCAAAAAAGTTTGGAGTTGTATGGTTCGTTTCCAAGTTAGATATCAATAGATAGCCAGCTCAAACCAAAGAAAACGCTTAATTAGCAGTTCACGTTTGATTGCATTCTTCTAGCCTTACGCTACTTGCTGCTGCCACCAAATGTGAAGCTGTTTCTCTCAAGATGGCCACTAACAAAACATAGAAATTACAAAACCTAATTTGTAAAATTGATCATGATGTTTGCTACTCCAGCTTTAAAGTGATATGTGACTTCCAATACCCATATTCTCCAGTGAAAGTCCTTCCAACAGAAAATTTGGGACATCTCATGGCTTTTTACCCATTTCTCTCTACTTTTTTCAGCTCTATAAGGCTCAGAGTCTCACATTTTTTGCCTTTAATTTTGAAGGTTGGCAAGTCTGCATGGTATGGTAGAGTCATATTCGACTTCTCCTTTTTATTGATCTGCACATGAAAGTAATATCAAGAGAGGAGAACAAAGCTATTGATCATTTTGCAGCTTTGAACGAGATTATCGATGATTATTACCAATGAACGAATGCTATCTAGAGGGAACAGAGAGGATTAACTATTAAACATGGGCTGAATTCTTCTACACTCAAACACGTATTTCCAGAAAGGAGTTGATTGTCTTGAACTTTTAAAAACTGAATAACTTATCAAGACATTTCCATAAAACACACGTGGGCCAACATCACACAACGTAAACAAATTAAACTGAAAAATTCCAAACATTTCACAAAGACTCGACGTCCCAATGAAACATACTCAAACCCAATTCAGTGAACCTATAAGTAGCATTTTGCTTCAACTGAAAAACTAGAACTATATTCCTTTTAACGTTAACGACACCGGCGCTGAAACATTATAATATGTCAAGAAGCCGACATGTTGATTTCGCAAACTAGTAAAATGAATTAAAAATACTATTAACATATTCACAAAACACAACTTAAAACTCTATAAGCTTACTGGAAAATCAATTTGAAAGCCGAGAAGACCACTAAAAATATAAATAAGGCAAAGACTGTTGAAAATACTTCTAACACAAAATTCGCAAGTGATAGTGCGACATATAAATCTAGAATGGAAGCGGAGGAGTGCATGACCTCTGAGCATGAGTTTTAGTAACAGTAAATAGCAATTGATGACTTCAGTGTAGGAGTAGTTCGGTTTTCGTGGTTCAAGTAAACTATTTCCACAATGGGTTTATGTTTAACAACAAAACAAAACAAGTCGAAACGGGTCGCTGATCTTCCTGCACGTTGTGACGATCTTTGCTCACTTGTTTGCGTGCAAAACCTGTGTAGTTTACTTTCACTAAAACAAAACGAATACCGCTCGTAACACAAATATAGACTAAACCAGTGTAAATTTTTAATGACATGGACTAGTGGCAGCCCATCTCTCAGTAAAACTTGCGATCAAAATAAGCTTAAATAATCTTGCAAAACACCCACCTTGAACACAGCTACCGTCAAGAAATAACGCAAGATCGTGATCAAAACGCCAAGACACAGACATAGAAGAATGTCATTAACTGATATAAAGCCATAGATGGAGAGCTCCTTAAAGAAATCTGTTAGAAATGTTTTGTTTGGACCTCGTTCCTCCCATTCAATAAAACAATGGTCCCATATTTTGATGAAGGCTTCGAAGAATCCCACCGCCATTTTGGAACCACCTTTTTGCACGAAGGAGCGGAATGCCTTATGGGAGGGGAGGCTCAGGTTCAGCATAACCTTCGTCACGTGACTTAAAAACGGAGACCGGAGCGGAAAGAATACTGCTTGGAAAAAATTGTTGCTTGGAAAGTATTTTACACTAGAAATATGTTTATAGCAGCACCTCGCGACGGTGTGAGAGGCAGAAGTATGAATAAATTGAAACAAGCCAATATGTGAAAAATGTTTCTTCTCGGGGATTGGGGGGGGGGGGATGTTAAAAGGAAGAAGGAACCATGAACGTGATATTAACTAAAACGTAATGGAAAACGTTTTTTTCTGTAACAAACGTTTGCCGTATTTTGTTTGCCCTGTTTCAAGAGTAGTCACACTGAAGCGCAAAATCCCTGACTATACTACACTGCCGCACGGCCATGTGATCACAGCTTGAGACAATGCAGTGTTTTTTCGTTTCACTTTTAGCGTATGAGAGAATGTATGAATGTTACTAAAATTGGGCCTGATCTCAGATCACCGTGACTTTCGCGTGCGCGTGACCTCTCACGTGACCTCGCCCTAGTTCTTGTAAGCCATAAATATGTCTTCCAAAAGTTCTTTAATTTAACCCATTCGCTCCTGGAGATTTTGCCGAAAAACGCGTTTTGAAGCTAGTCGAGTAGTTTTCTGGTCACTGTCGTGCTATAAAGAGCTAAAACTTACCACAAACCGGTTTACAGGTGGTACACTTGGCGGCCTTCTGATCCAGATGCAAAATATCAGCTTGCGAAGTTCGGGCATGCGCAGAAAGCCAAATTTCGCTTTTTCTCCTCCCTTCTTTTTTCGCTTTTCTTGCCTCATTTTTTTTCTCTTGCTGGGCATTTAGTAGGCTTCATTTTGGTGGGAAGAGTTTTTAGGAAAGCTTTTAGGATCTTAGGATTAGGTGAAAGGAAAGGTAGGTGGGTAATGGAACAAGATTTTCATGGTGATTTTCAGGTCCTTGTCACGTGGTTTTTTGCTTCTTTCTCCGGTGTCCTTGACTGAATTGTGCTCATTCTGGTATGGTTTGAAAGATCTCTTCACTCTGCACAAGTTAGCGAAGAAAGTTGTCCTTGACCGTTAAAACTGATGACGTCACAAAGGGTAGAAAGGACCTGGATCTGCACGGGCGGTTACGGGCGGTTCAGGGGCGAATGGGTTAATAGATAAGTTTTCTAATCGTACGAATACAACCGTCTGTCCTCGCTCTTCGACGCAAGGGACTTTTCACAGGATTGAAACTTCTCCTCTGCGAAACGTCCCTAGGTTGCAGGCTTTGTGTGTTTTTGATACTAGAAAAAATTTCTGGTGATTAATCAAAAATAATACACAAACAGCGGTGATAAACATTGTGAACCGCTGTTTTTGTTTTATTTTTATTAAGCGACGATGGCCTAAGAAAAGAAGTCTTTATGATACGTTTTCTGGTGTTTCCTTAGCCCACCAGCAGTCGTAAAAATGAAGAAACTAACAGGGAAGAGAGTTGTTACAGGGGCACCCAACGGCAATTTTCGGGAAAATATCTGTTCGGAAGACGATTTGAGATCTAGAACTTTCGGAGCATTTGTTGTAAAATTTCTTGCTTTCCTACCTCTCCTAGGATTTTCGAACATCTACAAAATGGTATAATTACCCATTTTTAACGGATTTTGACCCTAAAAAAGGCCACCTAGAATTTTCGGGAGCCTTTTCCTGGCTGAAATTTTCGAGAAGGTAAGTTTTTATCCCTATAATTTTCGGATCACTAGACTTTCAGCTAGGAAATCCGAACAGATGAAAAGTTTTTAGGGGATAAAAACATGCCTATATCTACCGTTTGAATACTAAAATACATTCAACAATGCTATTTTAAGTGGTTTTGAACTATATCCTCGTTGGGTGCCCCTGTTGTTACTCCTGGTAACAGATGCAGTTGTCAGGAGTTAGTTGAAACTGACACAGCAGAAGATCGTTGTCGGCTCTTTTTTTCCGCGAGTTTTAATCGTGCCTGTACATTGGGGCGATTTCATGGTCATTTGTACCATCCCCGGCGATTTTTTTGTGTGAAAGTTTACAAAGGCAAAGAGTTGAGGTGAAGGGAGATGATAAGGATATATATATTTTTTTCCTCCCCCTTCCGTCTCTCACCCTCCCTCTCTATCTTTTTTCTACTCTACGCTCTTTTTTTTTTCAGTCGCCCGTCACCACTAAGGTTTACACACCCTGTTGCATGTTGTTGGGAGTTGTTGCACAAAATTTGAAACCGGTCAAACTTTTAGCTACGTGCAAAAGGACGCAACAACTCCCAGCAATGTTGTGTCCGTTTGCACGTAGCTTAACAGAGATTCTGGAACACGCTCAACCTCGGCGACTGAGGTGAAGCCAACAGGACATACGGGATATAATTATAGGAATGTCAGAATAACCTTTGAATGCAGAGGTACACTCAACGCGTAAATAATACAGACTGTGGTTCCTCTATATAAGACCATTCCGTATCGGCTAACAAAATTAGCCTATCATGCTATCTATGGTTCTCATTTTTAGGTTATCATTAGCCTCTCATGTCAATTTAAATTCAAATTTTAGTATCCGTTACAGTATTCTTTTTTAGTGCAGCTCTGGCCCTGAGGAAGGAAGCCTGGGACCAGGCTACTTCCGCCCCCTCCCCCCCTCCACTGCGGAGCCTGGTTCCTATGAGGAAGGCTAATTTTGTTAGCTGAAATATTGACCTCAAATAAGTCTTATTGCCAGCCTTGCATTCAGTTTTGTTTTAAAATTAGTCTTCCTCAGAGCCAAAGCTACGTTCTTCTGTTCTTGTAGTAAACGTCCGCTTATGAATATCTCGTCGTCCCTATTAGCTGCCCTTGGGTCTCCGATGATAGAACAGGCTCAAAATTGAAGTTGCTAGGAAGCATCCCAAATATCCTCAAAGGAATGTTTCAGGGGGACCCACCCAATGCATGGCTGCCTGTTGGTCCCCCCGGATGGCATAGGCACGGAAGCATCCCGAACACCTCCACCCGAATGTAAGGGGGGGACCCACCCTAGGCATTATTCCAAGGTTTCTCTCAGGGATTAGAATCAAGTGTTGAAACAAAAGAGAAACGAATGCATGGAAAGTAACTCACCGGCCTCAAAGAGATTTGAAACGCGGACTTTAATGACCGTTATTTTTTTGCCTTGAATTTCAACGAGTATTACTGTTCTATAGGCTAGACACAGAATATCACCCTGGTTCGTCCTTCTAAATTTAAACTAACTAAACAGTGCTTGGTCTCTTTACCCACTTCTATGCATTTGAATTCTAACACATTGTTGTGTTCAATTTATTAGTTATGTCCAAAATCTAAAATATTTTATTTCAATAAGTCTACAAATTATGCATAAATAATTCACTCTGACTAAATGCCAAAAAATAAATTAAGAACTGGAAATATGGCTATACAAAAATCTCCAAGTTCTTTTATCAAATTCACAAAATGTATGAATAGAGGAAGATGCTACAGAAAAAAATAGCAGACAACAATATGAGTAAAAGTATTCTTTTGATGCCAGCAGAGGTATAAATGAGAGAAAGGAGAGAGACCAGCTGATCTCTCCACTTCCTCTCTCCTTTGTCTTGCCGTGAGAGACACTGAATATTGCAATTCTGGTGCATTCTCCAGCTAATACCCAATAATTTGTAGTGTCTTGTAATGAGAGGTCATTATATTGTCAAGTAAGAATGATTGGGATGAGGGTACTTGGGTAAAATTCTGTGGATTTTAATGGGTGTGAAATTGTGTAATGACTCATATTGGTTGAAACTTGATTTCATGCAGAGAATGAAGAGTTAGTTTTTTGTCATTCCCTGAGCCGTGTAGGACTTTATGGGAGATTTGGTTTTAGGCAAACAAAAGGGCCCTTTTTGAGGGGACAGGGTATGGGGGCGGTCACAAGTTAGCACCATTTGCAATTCTCCATCACAAACTGTAAGTTAAATCTGAAAACCCCCTCCTGTGTGTGTATGTTGACAAGTACTTTTAATACTGTTTATGTGCAATATTCTCCTAAATAATAGTATTATATTAAATTTCATTCATTAAAAGCCATTAATAATATTCACAAAGGAAAAAAGGAGACTAAACTTAAATTAATGTCAATAAATAATGACAAAACATGCAGAGCTTTAACAAAAAAAAACAAGGATAGTGAACAGATTTAAGGCAAATTTTTCAGTCTAGCTCATAAACCTACACTTTTATTTTTCATGTTTTATCAAGCCTGAAAGAGATATACTGCACATTTTTAACTTGATAAAACACTCCCACCATGAATAAATAATCTAAAGCAAATTTTGTGGTTCTAGTAAGAGTAGCTAGGCCTCTCAGCTACAAGAAGCTAGTGACATCTAAATTCACACTGTCTTGCACCTTTCACTCAAAAGCCTCCCTGCAGCTTACTAAAATATCATTATATAAATACTGAATTTCATATCTTCATTGAATTCTAAAAAAGTGAAAAATTGATGAAGATTAACAAACCATTGATGATTGTTAACCGGCTTGTATCTTCATATTTAACCCTACAGGTAAAGTGAAAATAATTGTGTAGAGGGATGATTGTGTTCAGGGAAAGGGGAGCTGTTATTTACAAATTAATGATGATCCCAATGGCTGACAACCTGACTCAGCCAGAAAATGAAGTTAAATTCCAAAAGAATGCTGTTCATTCACCTATAATAAATTATTGACTGTTTTGATCACTAGAGGAAACTAATGTTAAGGGATATCGTTCCGTAGCCATAATTATAGCAACACATGGAAACCAGTCTGAGGAGCACTGAAGTCTACCCAGGGATGCAACTAAGGAAAAACTAATCAAGCCTTTTATTAAACAAACTGGCTTTTTTACTCAACTGCACCTTCAAAATTAGTAGCCCATGTCTTTGTTTTCCAGAGCAATTTGAGCCGGAGGTGAGCTCTCTTTCAGCCACTGAAATTAGCTGGCAGCTGGCTCTTAGCGACATCCCTGTCTACCTCAATGATCATTGCTGAGATGATATCACTGTTGATCACTATGTTTGCAAAAAGTGTTGTTTCGACATAATCCCTAAGGCCACTTATCCTTTTTTCACTAATCACAGTGATCATAATAGAAATCAGCCACAATGCTATGTCCTAGAGTTTAATAGCATGAACGCACATGAAATGAATTTCCGTCCCTTATGCTCCTGTCTCTCTGCAGTTACCCCCTAAAAAATTCATCAACAACTGACAAACTCAGAAGCGCAATGGAATATTAAGTATGAATATTAGTTAGTATTAACAAAAACTAGCTGGCATTCATTTTCAATAGTGCGATTTTCGGTCTTGTAAACTCCCTAGTTATGCTTAATAGAATAATCATTATACTTAAGTGACTTGCAGGATATCTTGATTTTGGATCATTTCATTGTTTATGGGTTAGCTGGTTTAGTACGTGGCTTTCTTCGGCGATTTTGTATCTTTGCCTCATTAGCATCTTGTCCCACAAAATGGTCAGCATAATTCATTCTTTTGGTGTCTGCATCCCTTTTGTTACTGCTGCTTATAACTGCAAGAGTCAAAAAAGTACATGTACATACTGAAAATGTTACTCATCACTACATTACGCCTAGAAGAGTCACTCTTTCCTCATATGGATCATGTTCAATTTAATAAAACACTTCAAATAGTTTGTGACTATGGGTAATTTTCCACTGGCTGAGTATAACAAATTAAGTGGAACACCAGACAGCTCTTCCTTTAAGCTCCATATAAACTTCTGTTGTCTTATAGCTAAGAACGTTATCTGGATATGCAGATCAAAAGAATGTTTCCCAATTCACAACAATTTCTTGTTTTATCTGAGACATATATACCAATTAGAAAATAAGACACCGCGCAATACAAAACAATGGAAACCTTTCTTTTCCTCGCTGGGTCTTGTCTCCTCACTCCAAAAACATAAATTAGTAAAATGTGCACCTACTATTAGTATTTATATTACTTTCACCACAAAGAAAGAAAAAAAAAATGTAAAAATTAATTATTGATCATACTAAGTACAGTAACATATGGAATTAGCACTGCTGTAACGTATTTTAATATTTGTAAGTATATTGCCATGTAAGTGTGTAAATTTGCTATTTGTTTTTTTTTTTTGTTACTTTATTTGTTACTTTTTTCTTTTTATTACTTTATTTATTCTGTGTAATTTTTGTTTCTTTTCTGTGTGTGTTTTACTTACAATAAAATAAATAAATAAAAAAATAAATAAAATAAAATAAATTTTAAAAAACGTGTACTATTTTAGCCATATAATAAAACATGTTTTTAAAAAATAACATGTTAAGGGCATATTAATTTTGTACTAACCATGATTTTTATTGCTACCATTTGACATGTCTTCATTTTCTACCATCTTTGGACCATTTATTGTTTTTCTCTTTGGAATTTCTCGTGTGTCTTCCACACTGCGACTCATCCCCGTAACTATTCGAATCAGGAGCCAGACAATGTACTGAAACCACCAAACATTCATGGCAAATAAAATCCACAGCATTGTGTTGAAGAAGAAGTAAAATGGAGCAGTGGGAACATACAGGCGGCAATCAAAACCACAAGAGTAAAGCACTTTGATTGGGTAAATGTACAGGCGACAATAAAACCTAAAAGGGAGACAAAAGCATATTGAGCAGTGCACATAGCCTATTGTAAGGACCGTATAAAATGGTTCTTCGAAAGAAGAGGGTCTTGGAAAATTTTGGCCTGATCTCAAAATCTCAGAAGCGTTTGTAGTAGGTCTTGAAGTGTCATTTTCAGGTGGTGTTGAATTTTGAAATCTGTGTCTCGCGGTCTTGCAAAGTCTCAAATAATATTTACCATTCTATATCCCTTATTGTTAAAAGTGCTCTGATATCATAGATGATGATGATGATGATGTTGATTATTCTTATTACAAAGCAGAGGGATGAAGTCCCAGTTTTGAAGCAGTAGCTTTCATCAGCGTACGCCTTAATGGGCAAATGTTAGATGACTAATTGACCAATCAGATTATGCGCTTTAATTTTGTTTAATGTTAAAAACAGTAGAAACGAAGGCCTACCACAATGATGCAAAGCAAGTAAAGCCAACCATACTGAGAATATCTGGTATGAGGTGGTACTTTCCATTACGGGATTTGAATGCAACACAGAGTTTAGAAAATTCTAGAAAAACATCATTGACATCATGAAGAAACAGGACAAGTAAACCAATTCTGTGGTATCTAAAAGAGAGAAAACAAAAACAGTAACCATTTTGAGTCACAAACTAGTCTGCAACAACAGGAATTGACTAAACGGGCCCCATGGTAAACCTTATTCAAGAAATTATTTCTTTCTGAGAAAATGATTACACGTAAATGTGAAAGTTGAGTAAATGGGCATTGTTTGCAACAAAATTGTGGAAGGAAGTAGGAGGAATGGTGCCACAAAATTCCGCCACATCTGACTAGTGACTGAACTACTTGGGAACCAAACAAATGAGATTTACCAGTTGTCTACAGCGCAATTTAAAAAGCACACTATAATTGTTTCTGACCCTACAGTCTGTATAAGAATGATGTCACCTTATAATTACTCAGTGACACAGACCAATGCTGCTGGAAGTCAGATGGACAATGACACTGGGGTCAACATCCCTTAATTTTCTGGTTGCATGGGTACTTTTGATGTGTAGGGATAATTAACACTTAATGAATGAGGCTGAGTATCTTATGAAGAATTATGGAGATCGAGGAGGGTGCTATCCGTCGAGGCTGTAGGCCAAGGTGGATAACACCCTCCGAGATCTCCATAATTCTTCAAATGATAAGAAAGCCGAATTCAATAACTGTTTTATTATTCATTCAAAATAATTCCTAGTTTAAAAACAAAGCTAAAACATGCTTACAATTCCATCGATCCATCGATGTTCAGTTCATATTCAATAGTGTACGTTTAGGTTTGTCCAGCTCCGCAAATATTCTCCAAATAGCAGATGTCGCCCTTCGAGTTGTTTTCTTGTTGTTCTTGCCATGTTTTTAGCTGTTTTTTCGCCTAGTTCTTACTCTTGAAATGAGTGAAATGTTCGCCATTTTTTCAAGTTCACAACCAAAACAACTCAACCTCGTCCCCAGGTCTTTTCGGTTAACGGTGCCTTAACCTGTGAAAACACTGCATTTTTGACATCATTTCCTCATTAAAGTCAAAATTCCTCCAAATTTGGTCATCAGTAACTGGTTATGGTGAATTAAACGTGTGCTTTTAGCCAATCAGAATTGGGGAAATATTTTGAATGAATAATAACAAGGCTTATAGTTTAAAGTTGCCTCCCAAAGATTAAACACCTAGGGCACTTTTCATTCCACAAAAAAACTGGCTTGAAAATTTCACATGCCCAATAGAACGGTACATTCTGGTGGCATAGACCCAACCCATGGTTATTGTTCTTGTAAGAAGGATACAAATGAGGGGTATTGGGGGAACAATTTTGTCAAATGGAAAGGGACATTTCGGTTGGTCTGGTCAAAGTGGACTACCTTCAAAGCTGGTCCCAAATATTCCAGTCAGACCAAACCGAAATGGTCCGTTCCATTTGATGTACCAACCGAAATTTCCGGAACTTTGGGTTGAATGGAAAGCACCCCTGGATATGAGGACAAAAGCATATAAACTTTTACCAGTTTTCTTGAACAGCTTCATATTTGCGTCTAAATGTTTGATTTGTAAGGGAACAGGGAGCGAGCACTATAGATCCTGGCAGGTAGTCTAGCCCAAGTTTTAAATGCAGTTTCTCAATGCATTATATAGGGCAATTGAAAGCATTCTTTCTCTGGTAGTATGGACGTGGTTTTGCTCGTTTAATTTGCTTCCATTGTGACAATTTTCCTCACAGTTTGAAGGTAAGTTCATAGTAAAAGGGTTATTTGGTGAGACACGCTGTCAGTTGTGTCTTCATGCAGATGGTGTCAGTAATATGTCAGTTAACTGTCGGCTGACAGTTGCCTGACAGTTAGTTTAATATCGGAGTTGTTCTTCAAATTAAATTACCTTCCTTTTCACCAGACCAGTGTCTGGATGGTAGTGTAGCTACTAGTTTCATAAAAAATAGTTAAACGATTCCTGACATACAAATGGCTCTCAGAAGAGGTTCAGATCTCTTAAAGGAATTGAGCTGTATATTTCTTGTGATGCATATAAGTTAATTCTTACCTGACAGCAAATGAGAAAGAAATGAGTGAAATAGTAAGAACATGATGCAAAATCATGAGAATGGAATCTCTCCTCCACTGGTCCATAAAAAATGTGGCATACACTGAGTGAAAGTAAAATCCAGCTTCTACTACATAAAGTACGTAAATATCTTGAGCTACTGGCATTCCTTTGTACCATCCTAGGATTCAAAGAAAATTGATATTACAGTGTTGTTTGGCCGCACAATTTTTTACACCTTAAGACTAAGTTTGTCTGAAGGTTTTGATGCAGGTCCGCGTTATTGTCAAAAAAAGTGTGCAATTTTGCCATCCTTTGCTAAAATGTCAGGGTAAATTTGACAGCCCTTGAGCTTAGTGCCTGGCCACCAAGTAGGTGGTGATTTTCACCATTTGTCTGTTATTTTTGAAAACCCTGTTACTGTGTACCAAGCCAGTCACTTAAAAATTTCAAGTTGTTGTGTATAATCATGCGCAAGGGAGGCAAGGATTTTAACAGCTAGGAGGTTCTTTTAAATTTTTATTTAATCTTTTTTGACCTAAGAAAATACTCAGTGGGATCATACTCGGGAGCATAATCCCTGGTCCCTGACTCTTACCCCTGCCTATCATTATTAATTGTTTAATGTTCAAAAAAAAATTTATTAATTAAAAAATTGTGAAAAGTTTGAACCCAGGACTCATTTTAAAAGTAGGTTGATTTTGATCATCCAGGTGAATGTAGTCCTGAATAGGACAGTTGTTGTTGACAGTGACTGACGTTTCAACAACCTATGCAGTAGTCATCTTCAGAGTCAAGGTGAGTTGTATCACGTCAGCTGATGGTATTATACTCCGGTTATCGACCTGATTGGTCAACTACGTCGCCATGTTATTGGTCGTCTCCGACATGTGTTACGTACACTAGGGACTACTATCAACAACTCACTTTAGAAAGCTGGTTTACTAACTTAGAACAAACGCCACTGAATTGTAGTCAACAGTTACTGGCACCGTACAAACGACTTATTGATAAAATCAAGCAAAACTAACTACAAGAGAACGACTGGACAACTGACAATTTGACTAACAACAGACAACTGTTTAACTGTGACAACAGACAGATCGAAACGCATAGCCAATGACATCACCGCTTAACTGACAGACGACCAATAACATTGCAACATAATTGACCAATCAGGTCAATAACCAGAGTATAATACCATCAACTGACATGATACAAAACACTTTGCAATGAAAGAGTCCTTATACTTTTAGGTGTATAGTGCAATAGTACTGGAAACCACAAAATCAGAACACGATGGAATGCTACAAGTCAGTCACAAATGCATTAACAATCGCGGGAAAAAGAAGAGTTGTTACATTTTTTCTTTTCCTTATCCATGTTTTTTGCACAATGGCAGTTTAATTCTCTTTTGTCATCAGCTGTAAAGATAGATCATTTAAAACTAGAGTGTAAGAGACGATTCAGGGTATCTAGCAACCAAAAATACACAGTTTTATGTTTGAATAACAAGGAGATCAAAGGACTTTACTCTTACAGAACATGTGAACAGTGCTCTCAATAACATGCGCCCATGAACTATGTTTCGTTTCCCTTGCAGGGGCGTAGTTTCAAGCACCAATCATAAAAATGCAGAAAAAACTAAAAACAAAAACAAAAACAGTGAAAACGGCATTTTTTGGTAACTCAAACTTAACTCAACCTCAACTCAAACTCAGCTCTTACTCAATTCAAGCTCATAACTCAATAAATAATCGATCCCATCTCGTACCCATGCAGATCTCTTGTTGACAAAGCCAAAGGCAAGATCTGACCAAGTAAGAAGATTCAGTTTTTTTGATTGGCTAGATTGTGAGCGAATGATGTGAGTGTCGTCATCTGCAAGCACTATGGCGTGTGTTTTTTCATTCGTTGCCAAGTCTTTAGTTCTGTTCAAATAAATATTTTCACTAAAGAAGTAGTTTTCTGTCTCAATTTAACTTGTAAAACCATTTTTATTTTATCTTTTAGGACTTTTTATAAAGCTCTCTCTCGGTGTCAATAAAGACTTTTGAAGGGGGCGGAAAAAATTCTTGCATAGAAGTTGACGCGTACTGCTTTGAAGTTTAAGTGCACGCTATAAAATAATGATCATTATATTCAAACTAACTGTCGAGTTGAATTTGATGTTAAAAAGACCAAAAACAACAAAAAATTAGTTGGTTCAGACTTTTAGACGTGCATATAACCACGTTTTGTTAGAAAAAACTTCATGGCTCTATCAAATTAGTTGTTCAACCCGTTGAAAATAGAGGATTTATCTCCAGCATCCACTCTTTCATCACCTGTCACATTCCCAACAGGCAGTCACATGTACAAAATCTGATTACCGTAAAAACCGCCCTCTGGACCTTAGACCAGATCTTTCACCATTTTTAAAGTGAAGTAAGTTTATTTTGCAACGAAACAATATATGCTAATAACAAAACGCGAAGAAGTAACAAAGCAAGGTTTCTGTAAAATACTCTGAAGAAAACTCTGTCCTCAGGGAAGTCTCTTATTAGAATTTATTCACTCAAGTGGGTGGGGTGGGGATGAGCGCTTATTTGAGTTTGATTGGGAGGAGGAGGTAGACCAGATCTCACCGGAAGTCAGCTTCGTCAATAAAAGATCTGGGTACAAGATTAGCAGTTAAGTTTACCTTTCCAGCAAGTACTTGTGTCATGAAAAAAGTCATATTTGCCACTAAATAGTAGGTAACAGCAGTATCCATATGCTGAAGAATAAAACAAAAGTTTAAAGGCACTTTCTGGACATTTTCCTTGATCTTTCTCAAGAAGCTTACACCACTTGAAAGTCGGCTGCAAGTAAAAAATATTATTTTTTAGTAAATTGCACCTCGTTATTTACTGTCCCAATTTTAGGAAAAATTGCATAATTCCGAGGGTTGGATGAAAATGTTTTAATTGCTGAAACTCTACTCTAGTGAATTCATCAACTGAAAGAAAAGGGTGCTGGCACTAGGAGTTGGGTTCTTGCTGTTCACAGACCAGCTTGCTTAACTACTGATGCAGTAAATGTTTGTCAAAAACAGGATGGAATACGATTGGCTTTCAGGGAACTGCTTAGTAAATTACTTCTTCAGATATGTAGCTATGTTACAGGTCAAAATTGAAGACAGGTTAAAAATTTTATGCTGGTTTGATTCGTAATTCCCTGTGTCTCCTACCCCTAATAATTCATGGAGAGTGTATTAGCTCTCAAGGGCTCTACTCCCTAAGCTCTAGGTAAGTGAAAACATAAACAAAATGTCATAATATTTTAGGGTTGCGTCTGTCAAATTGCCTAAACTGAAGAAAAAGGAAAGCCCTAATTTGTTTGACAGACTACTGGAAGAAGATAATTACCTGAAGTCAATACCTGAGGTTAACGTAAGAGAATCTGCACAACAAACAACCTCCTTGTGCGTTAGCCTGGTTATAGACCTGGGGACGAGGCTGAGTTGTTTTGGTTGTGAAAAGAAAAATGGCTAAACAATCGTGAGAACATTTTACTTGTTTCACAACCAAGTATTGTCTAAAAACATAGCAAGAAGACAACTCGATGGACAACATCTGCTATTTGGAGTATATTTGCAGACCTGAACAGCCCTTTATCTTCTAAACATGCACTAATGAGGTGAACTTAAAATCAACGAAGGTAAGCACGTTTTAGCCTGTTGCTAAACTAGGAATAATTTATTTTGAATGAATAATGACGCAATTAATGAATTCGGCTTTTGTAGGCTATAAGTTGAAAAGCGTTGTTGCCCGTATTACCACCCTTGCACTCGACTTGTTACGCAACAAATTTCGATGTTGCAAGTTGTGGCAATATGTTGCTCAAAGTAGATCTGAGTTCTACTTTTTGCAACAAACTTTCAATTTTATCATTTGCATCACAACTTGCTACACTTCACAACACTTGTGATTGGTCAATTTTCCTGCACCAAAAATGCGGGAAAGATGGTGAGTAAGCGCGCGCTTGACCTCGGGCATTTCCGATTTGGGCAGGAAGTAAACATGGCCGAGGTTGTGGAGGTTGAGAATGCTGAGACCAAAGATTGTGAATTTATTAGTGAAAAAATGTGAGAGGCCCAAAGAAAAGATTTGTGCAAAGAACTTGAAAAGCACCCATGTCTGTAGGAAACTTGTGGACTAGAGTATAAAAACAAGCCACGGAGGTCAAGAGCTCTGGATGAGTTATGTCAAAAATTTAACATGTCACTTAACTGTCTTAAAAAACAACTACAGAGCCTCAGAACAACATTGACAAGGGAAGTACAAAAAGAAACCACAGAAGGTCAACAAGCCATTTTGTTTGCTGACACAAAAACACACTGTTGACCAATCACAACGCATGATTTTCTTTAAGTGCCGCAACTTGCAACATCGAAATTTGTTGCGTTACAAGTTGAGAGCGAAGATGGTAATACGGGCAACAGCCCGCGAAAATGTTGCCCGTATTACTTGACCTTAAGGGAGCTAAAGAAACTCGTTTATAATTCATAAAGAAAAAGAAAGGATCTGATTACTCCAAATAAGAGTCCACCCTATGACCTTCTGGTTACTAGAAGAAAAATTGGAAGAAATGCCCTTCTTTTGCAATTAATTTTGACTTTAAAAGAAATGGTGTCTCTTTTGAATCAAGTTCTCAATCTAATAACACAATTTAGTAATTTAATCAACACATTTAAAGTGACGCTTGATCAACACATAATTTCAGACCAATCATGATAAGCCTCCCTTGTATATTGAGCTCCAAAATCTTCACATGACCTCTGCCACGCAGGCAGCATAACGAAATAAATTTACAGCATCGCACAAGGGAGCACCCAACAAAAATACGATTCATAGAGGGCGAGAAAATAAGCTTACTTTAATTTGAAAACTGACAGTTTCCGACCTAGTCCCGGATGCCGTCCCGGATAAAACTCCGCTATTTTAAGCTCGATATCATAGCCTGGAATAGCGATCGGCCGCAATCACGCAATCCACTATTTGCCACGACAGTGAGAATAACCTGGTTTTTTCGCAGTTGTGAGCAATTTTCTTCGTCTTTTATAGAGCCTTGATCATTTGTTCAGGTCGTTTTATTATTAATTTCTACTTCGATGAGTAAACTTAAATAAAAGAGCCTATCATAGTTAAAAAGAAGCTTAAATAAGATTTTGGTTTAATAAGAATAAAAAGAGTAAACACTTTTGTAATTTAATGATAAAAAATAAGTAGCAGTATTAGGCAGTTAAAATCAAATCTCACCTTAAACACAGCTACCGTCAAGACATGACGTAAAAAAGTGAAAAACACGCCAAGAAGTAGGCATAGAAGAATGTCATGTACTGATACAAATCCATAAACGGAAAGCTCATTTATAAAGTCTTTCAGAAATGTTTTTCTGGGGCCTCGTTCCTTCCATTCAATCCAACAATGGCGCCATATGCTGCAGAAAACCTCAAAGTAACCAACAGCCATATTGAAAACCGCCTTTGTGCGGCACAAAGACAGAGATAATCGATTAAGGGAGGGGAGGGAGAGTCCCCTCCTGTGACACCCCTGTGAGGAGCACTCACCACAGGAACCCCAACTTCTCGAGTGACTTGAAGTATAGTTTTCCCCATGAACTGACATGTGGAAATATTCGTTGCTCTGACAAAGTAAATATTTTTAAGTCTAGAGTTGAAAAATTCCTTAGTGGCTTTTAATTTGTTTATTTGTTTATTTTTTATTAAGTATCTACATTAGTTCATAGGTGATCTGTTTTTATATGGGGTTTAGGACTCCTTTACAGATTATATGATCCTTCGGCCTTTGACCATAGATTGTGATAAATAAATAAATAAATAAATAAATAAATAAAATAAATAAATAACCAATGGACTTCAAACCACAGTTTGCAGTCCGCCTTTTCTCTTATAAGCCGTCTGGTTCCTTTCTCAGTGCGACTGCCAACCATCACCAGGCGCGGATCTATTAGGAAAAATACTGACCGATTCCCTAAATCTTGCGCCGAAGACGCAATCTTATAGCGGGGTCCGGGGGCAGGCTCCCCCAGGAAATGTTTCGGATTTTTACTCCTTGAGTCCCTTTCCCTGTGTTTCCAAGTTATTCAGACAGGATATTGATCAAATCTTAAAGTATTATTTATTTTGAAAAATGTGACCCATTTCCGCAAAACGGTGGAAACCGGTGTGGATCCGCGCCTGACGTTACGTTGCAATGAGGGATTGCGATTTGCGAGTTCTACCGTTGCTCTCTCTTTACCGTAAATCCTCTATTAAGCCCCCTTTTTCTAGTAAGCCCCCCTTTTCAGGGGAAGAAAGCTGCTAAGTCCCCCCTCTAGCCCCCCCTTTCCTTCCTCTCATTCTGATTCTTCACTAATAAATAATAGAGTGTATTAATCAATCACGACTGTAAACCATCATTTGGACCGATCCAGGATGGTTTATTTATCAACTGGAAGTTCGGATTTGTTTTTGAGCCTCCGCTGTATTACCTCCAACCTCTTGTACTTGAGATTTTCCACTTTGCATTCTAGTTGTTTGTGGAAAACTGATACCATTGTCTTCTAAATTTAATAAGCCCCCCTCTCAAATAAGCCCCACACAAATGTGTTTAAAATAAAAGAAAACCCCGGGGGACTTAATAAAGAATCTACGGTATATAGCTGGGAGCAACGGTAGAGCTATAACTCGCTAGAATCTCGCTGAAACGGCCAGAAATGCTAATTTAAACAAATACAACAACACGGTCGATGGGGTTACCTGTGCACTCACGCGAAACCTGTTGCCAGGCGCTCAGATCATGGGGATGGCGCGAAAAGCTGTGAGCAGAAAGAAAAGCAGTCCTCTCTACCTCTCTTCCTCCGTATTTTTTTTCCAGCTATCTTACTGCGTACCGCACTCCACCATCTGAACGCCTGGTACATGCAGCACTCGGTTTCACATCATCTGTGACTTTCTGTTTTGAAGAAATGATCAGGGTGGCGGCGTTTTTCTCCATCTAATGTTCTGTATCAAGAGCCATAATGATTTTGTCTGTATACAACTGAACCAGTACAGAATTAAAACACAAACGGCGGTGATAAACGCTGTAAACTTACGCATTTTATATCAACTTCATGTCTTTTTCAAGATTCTTTTTACTCGGTAGCCCTCCCGGAGACACGTAATGACGATCAATGTAGGACTTTTAACAGATTCTAAGCAGAGCGTCTCTGTTGTTAATCCGTTCTGATAAGCCGCAATAAAGGCGAAACAGCTAACGGCTGAAACCCCTTTCTACTTGGAGTCTATCGATGTGGTGTTGATGTCTTGTAAAGGTAATTCTTACATAGTCCGATCTTTGCATTGGATTTGCAGCTTTATGTTCGTTTTCAAAAGTGACCGTTACAGATTACGGTAAATGAATAAAAAATAGAAAAACTAAACAACACAAGTCCCAACAAGAGTTACTGTAATTAGACTTTCGAAAAAGTCGTTCGTCCTTTGAGATATACGCTCAGGTAAACGTCGAATGTAAAACCCTTTAAATCACTATAATTCTCGTTTTCTACTGCTAAAACGACAATACACAACATTTCAGAAAAAGACGTTTATTTTGATCTCAAGTTATATGTAAGAAATCATCGCATTGAAACATTACGACAATACTCCCTTACCGGATATTCCCACACAGTTCCTCTAAATTCAAGCGTTACAACAGTCACAGTTTGTGTGCTTCCCCTGTGTTTGACCTTTCTTAGCAATGAATAGTTTTTACTAGAGCCCCATGCAAACGGACGCAGCACTAATTGTTGGCCCACAACTCCCAACATTGTAGAATGTTACATGTTGCGTCCGTTTGCACGCCCTGTTGCATGTTGTTGCAACCGTTTGCTCACCACTGCAACAGGGACGCAACAATAAGCAAACATTGTTGGCGCAACAATATGGATTAAGTTACGTGCAAATGAACGCAACAACTCCCAATTTTTTTAGCCCAACAATGTTGGGAGTTGTTGCGTCCGTCTGCACCTGGATAACGTTTGACCGTTTTCAAACTTTGCGTAACAACTACTAACAACACGCAACAACATACAACAACATGCACAAGGTGTGCAAAGGGACGCAACATGTAGCATCTAAAAATGTTTGGAGTTGTTGGCCAACAACGTTGCGTCCGTTTGCATGGGGATTTAAGATGCAAATATAATGGCTATATGCTACAGAGCACGGCTCGCATTTTGCAAACCTCGTTATTGAATTAAAATTAACCTAGTACAACATGATGTATAATTTTAAACGAGAGCCTAATAAATAAATAAACAGAAGAAAAAATGTGTCATTTCAAACCTCAGTATAGATGAGGGTGCAGCGGCAACAGCCAAACAAAAATTAAAGAAACAGTTTCCTCACAATTGTTTTATCACCTCTTTTTTGCCATATTCTTTAGATCAAGGTGCCATGTTTTTTTATATATCAAATCATGAGCTCTACTGTGGTTTCAGTCAGTTGGATCGTGAATTTTGGATGGATGTAATATATCAAACATGAGATGCAGTGTTTCATGTAATATATCAAACATGAGATGCAGTGTTTCATCACCAGATGAAACACCGAGAAGAGAGTTGAAAATACGACGCGCAGCGGAGTATTTTTGACGAACTTCGATGTGTTTCATCTGGTGATGAAACACTGTGTCGAATGTTTGATATTTCTTCTCAAACAAAATCGTTTTGAAGGAGAAATTAAGGATGCAAAAATGAGCAGTTTTTCATCTGATATCCACACACTCATTAAACATTAATTTCCTTTGAATTTTCTTTATGAATTATTAATGAGTTTGAGAAGGCTAGATGAAATTATCGTTTGACTGAAGTTCAGGCATGCCAGGGTTCCAGTGAAGCTTTGGTAACAAGAATAGGTGGAGGTATATAACATTTTGCCTCCCATCTTTAATTGGCGAAAATTTTTCCGAGCTAGAAACTGTCCATCCGTCCAACCATCCATTCATCATTGGTGTTACTGTGTAAATAAAATCGCATTAGAGGCCTACAAAATATTTGCTTTCTACACATAAAAGATGATTGCTTTGGTTTTACTTTAGCACCTGATATTACGATTTGTTCACTAATTTATAGCCACTCAGTTCTCAACGACCCGGCAGCGCCTTAGCGATACAAGCAGCCAGTGCCCTGATCAAATTAGAAAATAATTTTTGAAATTCAGGTTGTTCTGAAGTTTCAGCTTCTGTATAAAACACTAAATTTGGGTTTGTAAATTTTATCACATTACAGGAAAAACACTGAACATTGAACAATCCCTTTGTTGCATTTCCCGAGAAATTTCTGAATTGTTAATTTTACAATGCACTTTGCAAAAAATGTTTATCTACACAATGCATCCTTAATTACCACGTCTTCATAATTGTGACATATTCCATTCCCACTCTATTCAGTCAATTTTACCATCTGCATCTTTAATTTCTGAATCTTCTCGTATGTCTTCCAACTTTTTTCCTGTCACCGCTCGAATCAGCATCCGTAAAATGTACTGGAACCACCACAAGTTCATACCAAAAAGAATCCATAGCATGATATTGCCAGAGAAGTAAAATGGGCGGTTTGGAACAAGCTTACTGAATTCGTAGCTTCCAGCGAAGAGCACTTTGATTGGGTAGAGGTACAGTCGGCAATAAACCCTTAAAAACAGTGATTATTAGAAGGGTAAGATAAGTGCAGAAATTAATGTAAAAAAAAATACCAATTTTAGCATTGAAGCACACGTTCCAACTCCGCGGTATGGCCTTTACCTTATGGCAGCCATGGACAGCTGGCATTGCCGTAGGGTATATGAACGGACGAACCCGTCAACAATCAAAGACCCTTTACTACCGAGGCGAGCGCAAAGAAGCACTCCTTTGAGCGTCAGCTCCACCGCGAAGTTGGTACGTGTGGTTCAGTTCAAAAATTGGTATTTTTTCAAAATTATTTGGGCACACAGGTCAATTTTTCCGTTTCTATCTCCATAAGCATGCCGTGGGAGAACTGTTTTGCGGTTCCCAACTAACAGCTACCACTTGTTTACGGTGGAGCTGGTGTTAAAGCAGTGCTTCTGATCTTTGCACTAGCCTCGGAAATAGAGGGTCTTTGCTACACGGATTCGCCCGTCCATATATAGACACGAGGGACAACTGTCCATTACCACCACTGCTGGGGTAATATGGTTGTGCGCATGCGCAAAGTAATGACCATACCGCGTAGCTGGACGTGCGCTTCAGTGCTAAAACTGCCTGACAGAGCAGCCGTCATCTCGCGACGCCACCTCTGGTTTTCCCTCGAAATGACGTCTGAGAAACGAACGCAGAAAGACCATACTGTTGACGCGTCACTACCCAGATCTGGGTAATGCTTCTGATTGGTTGAAGCAGACTTTCAGCCAATAAGAAGCACTCAGACTCAGATCTGGGTAGTGTCGCATCATTATGGAATTTCTGCGCTCGTTTCTCAGGCGTTTTTTTGCGGTGAAACCAATGGCGACGTCACGAAATGTGGGTCGGCTGTTTTCTTAGGCTATGATAAAAAAGAGACAAGATTTCTTATTGACCAACCCTCGACATTTGTGGCTGTTACTATTGTTATCTTTGCACACTTGTGTTGAATTTACTCTATAATTGTGGAGATCTGTTTCACAAATTTTCGCAGAAAGTTTGGCTATTGCTTAAATGGTTTTAAGTTTGCATATAGGTTCAGAAAGTTATAGAGCGGTATGCTTTGCTAAAGCTTGTTCAAACAATGCGCAATGATTGCGGTAAGGAACCAGCAACTTAAACTGTATTGGCTTTTTTAAGGGTTCTGTCATGATCAGCTGTGGGCAGTGAAGCCTTCGGTTATCTTAACCTGCGTTAGATAGAGAATGAAGGGAAGGGAGAGTATATTAACTAAGCATAGTAAAGAAAGTTCAAACGCCGGCCCACAGTGCCGGCTATTAAAAGTGTTTACTTGAGATGCATTGGATGTTTACCATTTACTCAAACCACCAGGATGGAAATTCGGTGCATAGACATAAAACTATAAAATTTGACGTGGTGGGAAAACGAACCGCTACAAAGTATATCCAAATTAGCTACACACTAGACTACAAAAATTGCATCACCTTAAATCACAGCCCATATTTTCTGAAGTACCAAAATGGAATGGCTAGAACCATTTGATTTCCCAACCGGAACTTCTGGTTTTCCCAAGTAAATGGTAAGTACCCTAGGGTAGTTTTGATTAACAAATACAACATTGCGTACCAGAGTAAAGTAAAGCACAAAAATGTAACAGAACTGAGAATGTCTGGAAGAAGATGGTACTTTCCGTTGCGTATCCTGAATGCCGCACAGAGTTTACCGAATTCTAAAAATACATCATTGACGTCATGAAGAAACAGGACGAGAACACCAATTTTATGGTACCTGAAATGAAAAAAAAAACCGTTTGCTTCGAACTATACCGCATTGAAAAGCTCACTGCAGCTTCAACTTGTAGCTTAACAGTTGATTTAAGTTTAGGATGATTTAAGTTCGAATCCTGGCGTTGACACCATATGTGTCGTTGGTTCTCTCTCTTGCTCCAAAAGGTTTTTCTCCGGCACTCCAGTTTTTCCCTCTCCCTAAAAATACAGCACTTCCAAATTCCAATTCGATATGGAACGCACGGACGCTTTTCAACGAGTTCTTAAGAACTCCTAGGTGATCCGTGAGTAAACAAATAACATGAATTTACAAATTTACAATTTACGTGGAACCTATAAAAACGAAAGGATGCAAGGGCTATTGTAAAAACAGGCCTTTGACACTCGCCTCTGCTATCTGAGGGTCTCTGGTGATATGGCCGTTTCTACGCAAGCCACTTACGTCACTATATATTGTCACGAAAGGTGGTAGGGACACAGTGTAGTTTGCGCTTAGCCAATACAACTTCGACTCAGCATCTAAAGTTGAATAAAGTCGTTGTAAATGTGCCAAACGTACCGTTAAAGGGAATTCAAGAACGCTTTTCAACGAGTTCGATACACACAAAGTTAGATTTCATTAGTAGGTGGAGCGTGATCGTCTAGGTGATCCTAGTCCTGCATGGCAGGAATGTTGGTAACTGTGACGAAACGCACCGATGACATTTCGAGTCTTCGTTGCCAATAACAGCACGGCACGACCAATAACATCGAGACTTATTTGACTAATCAAGTCAATAACCAGAGTTTAATACCATCAACTGACGTGATACAACTCACTTTGACCCGAAGATGACTACCACACAGGTTGCCGAAACGTCAGTCGCTGTCAACAACAACAGTGCTATTCAGGACCTCACCCGTGCGATCACGCTCAAACTACTTATGAGATGACTTCTTAGTTCAAACCATGCTTTCACAAAGTTAGACTTGCTAACACCTCAGATTTTCGTATGCTTTCCATCCTGATTCATTCCAACTTTGTATTATTGCCGTACCTTCTGCGCAAGTAAAAGGAGTCAAAGCCCCCACCCTCGTTTGAAAACATCGTTCCAGGCGTCCCAAGCTGGACCTTAAGTTGGCTAATGACAATCTTTACCTTAGCGAAAATGACAACACAATAAGTGAAATAGTAAGAATGTGATGTGAAAACGTCAGAATGGAGTCCTTCCTCCACACGTCCATAAACAATACGGCATATAAGGCATGAATGTAGTACCCTGCTTGCACAACATAAAGCGTGTAAATGTCTTGAGGAACTGGCATTCCTTTGTGCCATCCTGAAAAAAAAGAGGTAGAGCGTTTTAAAGACAGAGAGTTTTACTTGTATCTGACTTTTGATTATAGCAAAAAGCTGCGTAACGAAGCCAAAGAATGTCTTCTTAGTAGGAAAATACAAAATACAAAATACAAAAATACAAAACAAACTGACTTTTCAATACAAACCCGCGACACAAAAAGGGGTGCACACTTTATCTCGTACCCAGATCTCAGATTGACGAAGCCGCTCGCCTTCGGCCTCGTCGACAAGAGATCTGGGTACGGAATTAGTGTGGACTTGCATACCAAGCCCTGGATGTAGCGCGTTTTTAGCGGGTTTTAACTAGAGATACCAAAAATTCTATATCAAGTTATCGTTGTTAGAGCTGGCTGTCTCGGATAAACCAATCCATTCTGTAAAAAAATCGAACTCTCGATTTTTCATTTAAATTCGTCAAGCGTCCAAATCAGCCTATAAAAGCTAAAGCTTAGAGGAATTTGATTTGAGTTTTTGTGCTTTCCGGACTCAAAACGCTCCAAGTTATTTGCCCTATTCAATCATGGTGAGGTAAAATTAGCTTGGACTTGTATTTCAAATCCGGCAACTCTCCAGTAATAACCGATGGACTCAGCGTGATCGGCACTTATTAAAACTGGCTGACTCGTGTGTTGAAACACTTACCTCTCCAACAGTTCTTTGTCTCATGAAAAAAGTCATATTTGCCGCTAAATAGTAAGTGGAAACAATATCCATATGCTATGGAGTAAAACAAAAGCTTGAAGGCACTTTCAGGGCATTTTTCCTCTTCTTTCGCAAGCAGCTTAAACTTCCTGAAGACGGGCTGCAAATGAAATCAGAGCGTTTCGAAGACTTTAGTGGATGCTGTTATGCTAAATGGAGGGTGTTTTTCATATTTACATTGCTCACACTATTTGGGAAAATAACAGTTTATTTGATTTGAAAATAATTATGTTATGAGTTGACTATGTTATGTTATAGGTGGGTAACAATACAATAATCAAGGAAACGAAAGAAATTCTTGTTGTTATTCTTGCTATATTTGCTGTTTCTTCTATACATTTCTGCAAGCAGTTCCCCTTAGACTTTATTTTGCCAAAATTTCAATAAAATTTTGCTAACACTGAAATTTTTCATAAGTAGCTTGAGTATGATCTTCCGGGTAAACGTAGTCCTGAATAGACTGAATAGGACTGTTGTTGTTGACAGTGACTGACGTTTCGGCAACCTGTGCGGTAGTAATCTTCCGAGTCAAAGTGAGTTGTATCACGTCAGTTGATGGTATTAGAGAGTGCAATCCTGGACATTATAAGTGAAAACTATAACAAGTGTGATAATAAACTAAAATTATGGATACATAAGGAAGGAGAACACTTTAACTGAATAAGAAGTCAGCTCAGGTAGAAACTGGTAATAGCACGACTCATATCAACATAAACCTCCTCAGTCTCCAAAACTTAAGCAGTAACTTATGGAATTTACCCTTTAGGGCCGCATGATCTGATCGAGAGTAAATTGGTACGAGATTTCTATGACTGGCGTTGAACCAAGCCGATGTGATTGGAGGGTTAATTAGTTATATTCTAGAGAAACTTTGGTGTTACATCGAAAGGGGAGTGAAGTACAAAGATTTTTTGTCATCATTTGGGTTGCTAATGTAGATTAACTCAGTAGATTGAAAATTAAATGGTTGCAACCTTTGCAACGGAAGTAACGGAAGTGATAAACCAATCAGAAATGGCGTTCCGAGAGCTTCGTGCCAACTGGTATAGAAAAGGTGATGCACTAGGGGGAGGGAGGGAGGGGCGGGGGGCGGGGGGAGGAGAAAACGCTCTCGCTCCAACGTTCAGGAAATGACACCTACGTCACGTTTTTTTGGCGCGAGGTAACACTTGATTTTTTCTGTCAGAGGCGCAAGCTTTGCATGAATTTTTTTCCCCATACATTTCTTCTTTTATAACTAATCTACGATTTACGTAAGATTTATATCATAATATAATGTTTAAGAGAATCACGCGTTATAGTTTACCACTTGGTTCCTTTTTGCCGTGTGTCTGTTCAGTAATCAGTCACAAATGATGTTAAAATGTGTTTTAGCACATGAACTGCAGACATTTTGACGTTGTCTGTGATCTATTATTACATGAACGACCTACTCAAGACACAAAGGAAAGATTGGTATCATCTAAATATAAAGAAACAGAGGCACTTCAATACATCCATTACTTGCTTTCGTTTTGATGGTTGCTAGTGTTTCATATTAAAGCAAAATTATAGTGTTATTTATCGTTGAAAATTTCAATTTTTAACATACTTGAGAAAACATTATTTTTCTTATAATACTATTGTTCTATTAAAAATATTTTGAAAATACATTTTATATCTGAAGAGAGAGATTTTATAGTATAATTATTTTTGATAGCAGTGAAGCAAGCCATTATTATTTATGTTTTGTTGTATGAAGAAATATCATACATTTGCTTTCAGGGGTACTGAAGCACAAATTAAGAATTTCAATTCTCTTTATCTTTAGACATTGTTTTATGTTTCCTTTTCCCTAGTTCCTTGGCCTCATTGTTATGCGTGGCCTTATCCCATTTTTTCAATAACCGTAAATGCTATGCATTTCGCTTCCTCTGCAAGAATTTGTTTTACGTATCACCCGTCGCAGGATTTTTTTTTAAGACAAGTTTCCCTACCCTGGGTACCAGAGGTTTTTTCTCCCGTGTGACGAGGAGCTTCGTCGGCCGCAGGCCGACACGTCTTCGGCCTTTGGCAGAAGACACGAGCGACGAAACCGGAAACCGCGCATGAAAAGCCTCTGGCACCCAGGGTAAAGTTTCCCTTGCAGGAATTTTTTTGGGGGGAATTGTCGCCCGGCAATGCAATTGGCTTAACGGCCCAATATCTGCCATGACGTGGCGGAGAGATGAGTAGTTTTGAAATTATTCCTACGCATGCATTTAATTTCTTTGTTAAATATGCAATTTTTGAATCAGGCAACAGTTTCATTATGACCATTATATTTCCTTGGTCTAAAATTTTATTTATGAGAAACTTCACACTGTCAAGATTTTGTTTCAAGCTTTTCAGGAGAGCGATGAGGAATAATCATTAGATACTCATGTAAGGAACGTTTTAAGTCAGGTTTATAAAAAGCTAATAAATTTGCAAAGTCAGTATGTGATCGTGATTTAGGCAAATAGTAAGTTACCGGCGATTAAAACAAATGCACTTGGACATAAATGCTAGACTAGCGTTTAGTATGGGATTGTAAGGAGAGATTTCCCATGAATTCTTAATTTGTCTCGAAGTTCGTATCTAGCTTTTAAATATTCCCTTTGAAGTTGTTTCAGCCGTAATTTGCATTGAATTCCCATTTATATGTTTTAATTAGTTCTCTTAATTTATACACATTTTACTTCAATGTTTACATTTAAAAAGATAACTAGTTTCTGAATAATTACACAGCTTAGTCACCGAACAACTGGATCTTTCTCCTGTTCAAATGCCGATCGTTTGTAGTTTTCAAGTTTTGACATTTTAAGGAATCCTGAGCAAAGGAAACTCAGCTAGACTCGAATTCTTTTGCATAGCTTTACTGCTGAATCTTTGTAAGTTTCAGAAATTCATTTCCTTGACTGACATTATTTTAATTTCGAGTCGTTTGGTTTATATCCAGATTTGTTCTCGGTGTTCTGCTGATTTTATTCAGCCTCCTCTCGACTTCTCTCCATTTGTGTTGAAATGTTGTAATGAGTTGATCGGTTAGTATAAATAGAGCACTGTTATCCCTGTTTTACGATTTACATTGCAAATTAATTTACATGCTTGTATGATTTACATTTTGGATGCAGATGCCTGTATGATTCATTTCCACGAACTGAAGATTACACTGTTGAATTCCAAGTTTGAGTGCTGTCCTGTTTTCCAGCTGTAGCAGACCCTGATACCGTGGAACAGCTGTCAGAACAGTGACGAGTTCCTTTCCCGTTAGCCAAGCGAGTTGCAGAGTTTTTCCCCTTGTTGTTCATACGCTGAAGTCGCTCGAATTCTCTTAACGCTTATTTCTCCGATTTGTGCTTGGAAGAGCAAAACCTATCGTCACAGGATATTTTCTGCATAAAAAGCTTGATCAAAGTAACCACGCGAGTACGCACTCGGATGGTGTTTTTACGAGCTCTTCTAGGTGATTTTATTTTAAAACAAGCCACGAACATTTATGTTACACTCTCGGTCACGGAAGATAACTTTCGGAGGAAAACACTCAGCCGGGATAAATAGGGCCAATAGCCTCAGGGGCACCCAACGACCGAATGTTTCCAAATACGCCAGAAGTGTCTCAGATGGTTTCAGTCTCTGTGCTTTAGATGTTGCCCTAAAAACTATATTTATCTGTGCGGATGTGTTGGGGAACTTTGGTCGTCACGAAAGTTTTAGGTGGCTTTTTCGTCTCATCCGAAAGCGTTAGTTACCCTTATGGGTCCGGTTGAAAGTTCGAGGACATGAAGTAGCCTTGCTTTCATTAGAAAATTTTAGGGAACGTTTTGCCTTTATACCGAAAGTTTTAGGAGACCTTTTTATACAATAATCGCAATAACACAACCTCCGAAAATCGTTTAAGCTATGAGAAAACCTACGAGTATTTTAGACGAATGCGGTTATCCAGAAATTTTTAGCTTTTCTCAATCTTTAGAATTTTCTAGGCAATATTTGCTCCTTCGAACACGGTTATTTTACAGAAAAAAGTCGCTGGGTGACCTGGCCAACCTAGTATTAAAATAGGACGAAACAACGTACTTCTGTCCTCTTACCTTAAAAACGGCTTCATTCAAGAAGAAACGCGTTACGGTGAAGAAAATGCCAAGAACTGCACATAGAAAAATATCATTAGCTGATATATAGAAGTCAGTGGAAACATCGTCAATGAAATCTTTCAGAAACGTCTTTGTTAATCCTTTTTCTTTCCACTCAACCCAGTGATTTCTCCATGTTTTGACGAAAGCTTCAAAGTATCCTACCGCCATCCTGATTAAAATCTTTGTTTTTAGTTAGAACGCAGTGATCAAAGGCACATGATAATGATAAACTTTGAAGCTTAATATAAAGATTACGAAACCACACTTCTAGTAACTTAGTCACCGCACCTGAACAAACGGAATTTGTTTAACGGCATAAATTTATATAATAATTTTTTCTGTTCAGCAATAAGCACTCCTTAATTAAGCGAAATCATACCTATAAGAACACCTTTTTTGGAAGCAGCTGACTGCTAAGCGTTTTGGAATTAGCTCTATCTGCACCTTAGCTTTGAGAAAAATGTATTTTAGCAAGCTCATTCTCTCTCAACCGGGACAATTATTTATTAAGTTTAAAAGGCAGTCCCTACTAGTAGCAGAGATAATGATTACGGAGTAAGAGGAAATCGCTTCTTAGCAGTATACACGTACCATCATTTTTTGCAACTAAAGCCAATTCTAGAAAGTTATGAAAGCAACCTAGCTGAGTACCTCTGTAAAACCTTTTCACTATATTTTCAGCGATTCTTATTGATATTGAGGATTCTTTTTTGTTAATGTTACAAAGGCAGTCACATTTATTGTCCACGGTACAGAATACATTTATTTATTTATCTCATGATACATATATTTTCATACATATTTGTCATTAATTTGATTGTATTTTCCACGTCAGTTTCTTTTTGCCCCCAAATTTCCGTGGCTACCCTAATTATATACGCTAGTTATAAGATTTAAGGAGTCATTCTGTTTTCAAAATACGATTTTTCGGGCCGATGTTTCTATCTAAAGAAAAAACCCCGAGACACTGAAAAACCATGCAGATTCCCATAAAATGACCTAAAATCGGTTGCTTTGAAATAGATTTTTTCAAAACCAGGCTGACTTTTGCTTCTACAATTTCGGACCCGTCCTAAGTCTAAGTCATGCCACCAAAAAATCGTAGCCTTCAAGCTATCTCACAATCCCCAGCCGTTGTTTGGAAATGGGCCCAACAAGAGGAACAAGAGCGGCGGAAATCTGCAATCCCGGTCATAATTTGTTGAAACACTTCCTGAAAACACAAGTTAAACTTAGTGGTTCCCGCAATGTTAGTTTCACGCGTTTGTTTAAGCATATACGTCTTCGAAATCAATGAAAATTGAAGGGAAAGGGAAGAAGAACTTCACGAGGGTCTCAACCATTATGATCAGGAATGTGGATCGTAATACGAAGGTCACAGAAGGGGGAAAATGCGCCTTTTCTCATTTCAATCGTTTTCGGTTTAAAGGCTGTTTTCTTCCTTAAAACATTTTTAAAAGCACTGAGTAGAAATTTCAAAAATTCTAATATTATAATAGTATCATAGTATTTGTGAGAGTGAGGGTGCAAATATCGTTCAATCATGGACTAGCGTTCAGATTCCAGAGTCTGCTCCCACAGGTTATCATGGACCGGTTGGGTGGACTTGCTAAATTTCTGCGATTTCATTAAAGTCAATAAAGTTGTTGCATAAGAAGATTCTACCCGTGCGTGCAGCAATTGATTCTTTCGAGTAAACGGCGATCCTTTTGTTCAACGCCACGCATCAAAAACTGGCGCTGTCCAAAAGGATCACGGGTCTGGGAACGAGAATGGCCATTTCCCAAGTGCTTCGATCAGACCTCTTTTTGAAAATGAGGCTTAGTACAAAGCCTTACATTAGAAAAAAAATGTGTATATTTTAGGATGCAAGTTTTTATGTGCGCTGATCAGACTTGTTGGTGTCATTTTTAACCAAGTAACAAATCGTTGAAAAGACTGAAGTGCCATATAACTAGACTTCATTCTTAAGTGAATTACCTCACAGAAAACATTTTTGACACCGGCAAATGATAAAAAAGGGAACTTTTCTCTTAAAACCAGATTTATTGGCAGCAAGGAAATTACAACTCCAAGCTTAGAGATCCTTTATAAACGGTATGCTGACAACGGCTATAAATATTCCATATTATTATAATGATCAGTGACGACAACATTCTGATGCCGCGGCATCTGACATGAAAAAAATAAAAAAGACGAGGATCCTAGACTTTATTCATGATCAATAGGCTGCAGGATTTGCTTTATCTTGCTCTTGTCAAATAATAGGATGAAGATAAACACTTATACAACTGAAACCATGGGTTCTTGTACTTTGCTTCTCTAATATAACTGCCAGGTGACGTCTATCCCCACATTCTTGTTACGCTCTTTTGCCATTTGCCATAGTTTTTTGGTCTTGCTTCTCTCGTATGTCTTCCAAACTCTTCCCAGCAACTGTTCGAATCAGGAGCCATAAAATGATCCTGAACCACCACAAGTTCATAGCGAACAGAATCCACAGCATGATATTGAAGAAGAAGTAAAATGGCCCGGTTGGGACAAGAGGACGAAATTCATAGCCACAAGAATAGAGCACTTTAATTGGGTAGATGTATAGTCGACAGTAAAACCTGGAAATCATAATTCATAGAATTAGACACGTTACTAGTAGAGAGAGCTTCTAAGGCCCAATTTACTAATTCTTAAGGACTTCATTTTAGGCGAAACTCTCGAGATATTAACCCTATTCAGACCTTCGCTCACTACGAACTCGAGTAACTTAAAAACCGTTTTAAGACCCCCAAACCTAGCGACTTTTTCTCAAATTTATCTGGGAATATATGGAGTCCTAAAACAGAGGCGAGCTGATAACAGATCCGTAACTCACAGTAATACATCTTTTTGCCGCAGGTGTTGTCAGGTGCTCTCATGGTTCAATCGATCCAAGTTCCAGCTCTGGATCTGGACGGGACGACCACCGTACCGGCGCGAGAAAAGTTCCAGGGGCGCCTTTCTCATGCAAAAGCCCTGTTTGGGCCAGGAAAGCTATTTTATGTTTGCCTTGTTTGTATTCCAAATCAAGAATTTAATATATCTTTGAAAGTACGAAATGTAATAGAACCAAAACAAGACTAAAACAAAGACAAAATGTAGTAACTGGTTATGGATTAAACTTTGCCTACAACAATTTCGCCCATGGTTAACAGGTCTCTATCAACTGCCTCTGTTCTCCAAGGATTATGGTTAACCGGTCTCTATCAACTGTTCCTGTTCTCCGAGGATTTAGTTACCCGGGGTAACCCCTTCATTCGCCTATAATATGAATTGCATTGAAATTGCGTCGATCACGTCAAAACAAAAGTTACTGTAAAAGATATATTCGGTAAGCGGCTACCAATGAAAACGATCATTTAAGTGGCAAACTGAATACTTGTGATCAAGCTTACCAGAGAAACGTGAAACAAAGGAATCCGACATTACTAAGAATGTCAGGAACGATATGGTACTTTCCGTTACGCGTCTTGAATGCCACACAGAGTTTACAGAATTCTAAAAATACATCATTAACGTCGTGTAGAAACAGGACGAGCACACCAATTCGGTGGTACCTGAAATTAAATTGTAAAACGCTGCAGGCCTGAGGTCCGTTTAGATAGCGTTCTATATATCACTATTAAAGCTAGCTATTGTTAGTACCACTAGGGAATCGTTTCAGCCATCTACTTTTAGGCTGATATTCTGGCACGCCCCCTTCACCCCATCCCCACTGTGGTCTGGCCCACCCATTCTTAAACGTATATCTGACTTATTGAGTAGTTCCTAACGTTACCTTGGACTTTTATATCATTATTAAACAAGGGAAATCTTTGATAATTTGCAAGCTCCGGTAACTTGATAGACAAATCTTAGTCTTAAATAGTGAAATGCACTTGTATCGCTTTCGTTACTTTTAGAGCGACTGTCCCCTAAAAGTAACGAAAGCCATTTGTATGGTAGATATGCTGGCGGTTAAGTCTGATGATATCGATTGTGGTTAGAAAGGATTATTTATGGAGCCCATGTATACCCGGCCTTTCTTTCATGTTAGTCTACAGCTTCCTCATTTGACCTACATAACAGGATAATCAAAGAAATTAAAGGCATCTAGATGATATCTTTACAAGGCAAGGATTCTGAGGAACCCACGGTTGAGAAGCGGGCCATATTGAACTGAGCAGCTACGAAAACTCGTCTCTCGGCGAGAAAAGTATTCAGTAGATAATTCTTTGGATCTTAAAGAAACTGTAGGTAATCTTACCTGACCGCAAATGAAAATAGAATAAGTGAAATAGTTACAATGTGATGCAAAATCATTAGAACGGAGTCTTTTCGCCACACATCCATATACAATACGGCATATAAGGCATGAATGTAGTACCCTGCTTGCACAACGTAGAGCGTGTAAATGTCATCAGGAACTGGCATTCCTTTGTGCCATCCTGAGATAGTGAAAACAAAAGAAATACGTATCATATTGGGTACCTATTAGTAAACGTTTGAGAAAAACGCAAACACAAGCACAAGGATAAAAATCCTTGTTTGAACCATATAAAAAGGCCTAAAGTGGAGGCCCAAAATTCCCAGGGCCTGGGACAGTTTTTGAAAACTGTGACCCTCCTTTCAGCAACGAATACATATCAAACACGCAGATCGAGACTAACAGCCAGGTGTCTTGTGTGTTATTTATCCCATGGAGTGCAAGACAACTTCCCACGTCGCGCGTGTCATACGCTCTACGCTACCTCGTGGTTGCCTTCTCTTGCCTGAAAAACGCGGGAAAATGAGGCATGTTCAAAATGCTTCAACGCTTTCCCTGTCCCTGAAATGCCTGCCACGCGGGCAAGACAGAATAATCAGACAGAGGGGGAAAAGCCAAGCCCAGCCCTTGGGATATGTGAACTGTTTTATCATGTTATTTTTAGACCAATTAAACGCTTGAAATTTATTGGAAATTTGTTTTCGGAGAAGTCGGCAAAACTTAATTCTAGTTTTTCAAGGCTGAATTCAACAGTTGTCATCACAATATATTTCTGAATTGTTTGCTTTGAGGCAGTCGTGCGTGAACTTGGTGACATTTCAAACAATCGATTAAAACTGTGCGGACATTTCAGGAATAAGATTTCCTTTTAATTACAACCTCTGAAAACAACTTAAGTGAAATTCACATATCCTGGTCAACGCTCTAAGATTCTCTCTCTGTATATTCTCTCTAGCTTTGGCGGCTAAAGTTCATCTAAGGCGACCCTGTCACGTGATATCGTTACAGATTATAAGGAAACCACGCTTTAATAGGATGAAAATGCATGTCTTGATCCTCAAAAAATGCATTGCTCTCACCTCTCCAACAATTCTTTGTGTCCTGAAAAAATTTGTATTTGCCAATAAACAGCAAATAGAAGCAATATCCGTATGCTGAAGAGTAAAACAAAAGTTTAAAGGCACTTTCAGGGCATTTTTCCTCTTCTTTTCTATGGAGTCTAAGCTTCCTGAAGATAGGCTGCAAAGAAGTCAAAGTTTTCATAAGTTATCACGCTTTGACTCCCCTGAAATATCATTAAGGAAAAGGTTTCCAATTTACACGATTTAATTTTCCTTGACAAGAAAAACTTCGTGTTCGATCTTGTAAGAAAGGCACCTATTGTCAAGCTCAGAAAACCGTGAATACGTTACACCTTTCTGGTCTTCCTTGACGCTGTCGTTTTTTTAGCGTGGTGACATAACACTCTTCCTCCGCGGGAAAAGAGCGTTGACTCTCCTGAGCGACGTCAAGGTTTTGTGCGCATTAGGTTTTGCGCCTTATAAATAATAAATTATTATTATTATTATTATTATTAGTCACGTTCTCACCCTGAGGGAGACTCAGACCTTTCTCGTGCACAACAAAGATCAGAGCGACAAACAAACAAACACAATGAGATTGCGTGAAGTTTTTAACTTTTGACACGCCTAATTGGCTTTTACCTTATTGCCCAACGGCAAAATTAGGCCAAAGGACAAGGTTGGGGAAAGGGAAGGGGAGGGGAGCCCCGCCCCCTTCGTTGCCCACTCGTTCATCACAAACTACTGCTGCTCTCGCGCGACAAAGAAGACGCTTACATTTGCATGCAGCCTATAATCTGATATTGTTCGCATTATTTTTGATAGAAAAGATGAAAAACAGTTTTTGATGCGCAAAAATGTTTACATAGTTGTACATTTTTTCCGCAAAGTCGTCAGCAACTTGTCAAAGGTTTGCGGTTTTTTGAAAGGATCATATAGGACTGCTTGATTTTCTGTTGAATTCTTTTCTCGTCTCAGTATTGATGTTGATATACCAAATAACTATATCGAAAATAAACCACTTGCTTTTGGTAAACCCGTTTTCAGGCCTAACCCGTTTTTAGCTAACACTAAAAGGTTTTGTAGTTCTCTCCGATCCGTTCCAACAAACCTTTTTGCTTATCAATTTATAACTTTCCACTCAATCGCTTCAGTATTTATATGGTCTGTATATGTATGTTTTCCATCATGCACTTTTTTTTTCGTCTAATCATTTTTGAAATCGTTATTTTAAATTCAAGTAACGGCTCCCACGAATTGTGTCGCCTATTTACTAATAGCTACAACTGATGCAATTAGTTTGCCATTAATTCTAGGATCAGAAACGTGCACATTTTCGCGTTCATTTACAACTGTACTTGACCGTTTGCATCATGAAGGGCAGTGTTAGTCACTGAATATTGATTCAATGATTTTTTTTGATGAACAAATGATACAAAATCAACAACAGAACTCTCTAAATAACACACTGTCCTCCTACCTTAAAAACTGCTCTCGTTAAGAAGAAACGCACTATGGTGAATAGAAAGCCAAGAAACAAGCATAGAAGAATATCATTTGTTGATATGAAGCCGTAAGTACAAAAATCATCAATGAAATCTTTCAAAAATATCTCAGTTTTCAGGTCTCGTTCTTTCCACTCAGTCCAATAACCCTTCCACATATAACCGAAAGCTTCAAAGTAGCCAACCTGCGCCATATTGAAATCTCTGTTTAGAGTTTATTGATATGAAACCGCAATGGTGAAACGCATCAACGGATATAAACTAAAATTTGCATTCTTGAATTTCCGTATGGTTTCGCTGATTATCATTGGCAGTGCATAACACCGTGGAGACCTGTAAGATGTAAATAGTACAGTAAACAGCTTTGACAGCGACTAGCTGCTACTGGCTGAATGATTTATACTTAACTGAGGTATGTTTGCTTTCTTGCCAGTAAAAATGAGTGCGAGGATCAGATGCGTTGAATACCCTATTGAGGTTCAGCTTCGACGAATCTCGCATCGTTGAAACCCTCAAAAAAGAAGTTTTAATGTGGACGCGAGACAGAGTTTTTGGAAACCGTATTGACTTGTGAACAAATTAAAAGACGAAAAGGGAAAAAAAAATACCGCTCTTAATGCAAAGACAATATTTAAAATGTTCTTGTGAGGTGATCGATGAAGCATATAAAACAAACAAATATCAGTGAAGACAGGTGCAAGCATTCTTTGAGATAATGTAAGTCGCGCGCGCGAAAATATCTTGCCACAACTGGAGTTACTGTCTTCCCATGTTTTCGGAGGTTTTCTGTAACGTATTATGTACCAGGGCCGTAATCTGAAGAGTTTACTTACTTTTCCCTTTCTAATGGATATCATGTGAGGCCTGGGGTTTATTAAATAAAGTTTTCAAAAGCATAATTTACCGCTCAGGAGCCTATGACTAATAATCATGGGCTCCTGGCTGGAGCTATTGTTTTCAAGGGCTAGAAAATTGTTACATTCAGAAAATTTTATTGCCTTTTTGACCATTGGCTGTCTCTTGTATTCTTCCAACGCTAAAACTGTCTATACTAAAAACCTGATGACACAAAATGACTGTATTTTGATTATATTTGAAATGATTTCCACAAGACAATTCAGGCAACATTATTACCCCGGCCAGAGTGGTAGACAGGGAACTTTGTGTCCACATAATACTCCACATTTTTTTAAAAAAAAAATGTTTAAAAATCTTGGGGTTGCTCCAAAATTATATCCCTGCTACACGAAGTGGCTAACTACCGAATAGCTTGTGCACAGAACCCCCTTCTCTCAAAAATAGAATAAAATAATAATAATAATAAAACGTCAGGGAGGTTTTTGTGGGGAGGGGGTGGGGGGTGACATCGGGGGAGGGAGCAGCGTCTCTACACAGGCTAATTACCCAAGCAAAGAACCATTTTTCAATATTTCTCTCTCCTGCTAAAACGTTAACCGAAACATCCAGTAATAGATAAAAACGCACTGTGTACTCTGTGAATCTTATCACATGGCATGTTTCTGATGTTTGAACTCCTTGAGTATCAACCAAGCAGGCAGACACATTTGGACCCACCGTGATTCTTTTCTGACAGTTTTCTGCGGAGTTCAGTGGTTTGAACTTAATTTTTCTTTGACGGGAAATGCTACGCAGTCTGGTCCCGCTGTGGAGCTGCTCTTCCTTGAGGATTTTCCACGATCTGGTGAAGAGCTAATGGCAACTCAGTCTCAAGAGTCTTCTGGCTTTTAGGTCAGCGGGGAAAAGATTGTTGTCAACTTTTTTTGCTCGCACCGCTGATCGTGACCAGCTGAATTGCCTTTCAAACAGACCCACAGGCAAGGCAAGACTACAAGAGTTGCACGTGAACAAGCGTTACTAACTTGTACAAAATAGGACCGAAAAAAATAAACAATAACAACAGCGACAATCTAGTGAGGAGATCTTATGGAGACCTGCGTCAGTGAAAAGTTTGAAAATTAAGTAGAAAAACATTAAACTGATTATTATCTTATGGTAAGAAGAATGAGGACAAAAATGGTTAATTAAGTTTATTTGTACGCCCAATTAGGGTCTGTAATCTTCTACGGGGGACTAACAAAGAAATACCAGAGAAAAAACAAAACAAAAACAGAAACAAATAAAACGGGCCTGGGAGCGAATGTTGTGTTTGCTTTGTGTAGTCATCCAGTGAAAACCTCTGACCAGGAGCTGTACAAGAAGACAAAAAGGTCTAGTGTGGTAGATGAGACGAAAAGTCGACGTCTGTTTGATTCAGTGTGTCTAGAAGGGATTCTATAGGTTGCCATGAGGTCGGACGCCATCTGGAATCCTCGGCGTGCTAGAAAAAGTTTGTTTCATTTGATTCTGACGCAGTGGCAACAGCGGGTCACGGTATCAAAGGGATCACTGGCAGCGTCTGGGACTAAAATTGTCACAGCCCCGCCGCGGTAAACACGCGGATTCAAACTCCGCAGATGGCCAGTCTTTCACTCACGCGCACAGTCACGGCTAACTAGTCCTGGTCCGTATCTTTCTGTCACGTGCCCCTGACGTTTCGTACCCAGAATATTTAACTAATTGATCCGGCAGGGATTTTTAGGGAGTCAACTCATTTCTTCTCCTGGCCTGCTAGCGAGCTCTCGTGCCTCCCCCAAAAAGGAAGGCTTGCTGGCAAGCTACTCCTCTCTCTCTGAGCTGTTTCTCTATACTCTGTGTGAGTGTGCACAGTGATATGAACACCAAGCCTGGCTGCCGGCTGTCTGTTACCACAGGCAGACCACTCTCTGTTGGTGGGGCCTTTGTTGATTGAAATCTGAGCATTGATCAAAAAGAAATACAGAAATACAGATGAACAATACGGTGGCTATAATTTGCTACAAAATGTAGAATTTAAAGTAAATTTTTCAACAAAAGTTTGAAGAAAATGTGACAAACTTAAAGCAAAGGGCACACATACACCAACCCACGGCCTGAAGAAAATGTGTATAAAAAAAAGACCGTTGCTCAGATCAACATCGACCCCACTAACAGAGGGTGGTCTGCCTGTGCAATTACTAAGACAACCTCTTTGACCAGCAAATAGGATCACGTTCCCTTCTTTTCCCGATCATCAATCAATCAATCAATCTTTATTTGCCCTTTCACATACTAATTACAGAATTATATAAGATAATTTTATACCTGGGCAGGAGCTCTCAGCAAACCCTTTTGGGCTTAACAAGGAGAGCCCCCGAACAGGTTATTATAAAAAGGATGTAGCTGTGTTACGAGGATTACAGTAACTGGCCAACTTATTTAGAATAATCATTTATGTAAAAATTCTACGTTTGTACAGTGAATTTCTAATTTTAATTTTTTCACTGAACAAACTGAACGTCTTGATTTGTTTTATAGATTTGGCAAGTTATTCCATATTGAAACTCCTTCATATTTTACTGAGAGTTTTTGGTAGTTAGCCAGTCGTGCTTGGATTTTGTGAACGTTAGAGGATGATCTTGTGTTGTGTTGATGAACATCTTTGTTCAGAAAAAAGAAATCATTGAAAGATGATGGTAGATTCAGGGACCGCGGAGGGGGAGGGGCTGGTAGGGCCGCGGCCCCACCACTTTTTTGCGCCCCCGCCCCCACTTTTTGAAAATCAAATACTATGATTTTATTCCTTTTTTCGATTTTCAATATGAAAAAATTATTTTCAATTGTCAGCCCTCCCACTTTTCACCTTGCTCCGCGGCCCCTGAGATTGTTATTGAAGTATCGAAACATGAACAAAGCAATGGCTTCCTTGTTTATATCATCTAAAGGTGAAATTAATAGTTCTTTGAAGAGAGGACCAGTATGTTCTTTAAATTTCAAAAAAAGGAATGAGCCTTAAAACTTTCTTTTGTAGCCTTCTTATTGGTTCTAGCATGCCATTGGACAGTCCTAAAACCGCTTGACAGAGGATGTGGGGGTAGCTAAGTCATCCAGGGCAGAAATCATGGAAATGCTCCACAGAAAATCGGCCACGTATCAAAATGCTGCAATACGCTTCATGCTGCTACGACTACTGCTACAAAGCCGATATCTTCCGCTGGCCGGCATGAACGCATCAACTGTAATTAAAAGCGCAACCGAGTCAGTCTGGGAGACAGTGTATGTTTGCGCATCTCTGCGAGTGCCTTACGTAAATTTTTATTTAATGAGTTTTTTCTGTCCTCATTTTTGTCTAAAAGACGAAAATGCTTATTGCAAGGTATAACAAAGGACTTTACAAACTTGGTGCTAGAGCTTTCAGCACATCTATTCAAAGGCAAGCCAAGCAAAGGCATCAATTTCTCATAGTTGGTGGAGGAGCTGGAGGCCTATCCATTTCGTCAACTCTTTGTCGAAAATTTCCCCATGCTACAGCTATTATTGAGCCATCAGAGGTAAGATTGATAAGGGTTAGTTATTCTTCTTTTGGCATTTAAAATAAGTATTTTTAGTTTGACAATGTCACCGTGTGCAACATTATTCGGCTTTGGACTCCCGTGGCCATCATACACAGTCTACAGTCTGGGATGTTTTCTTGCACCTCAAGATGATTTCGAGTCTTTTCACGTGTGTACTTTTTATTATTGTCACTTTCTACCTCATATTCTCGCGTTCTGTAAACTTTTCGTTAGGGGACAAGAAAGCTGTTGATGATGACGAGGTAGAGAAGAGATTGAGGCCTAGTTTCCTGTATTCGACTTACGTGTCTTATTTTGTGCACGCGTGAGGGTTGTCACGCACAGACGTTTTTTGACTTCGCCGATTTTTATTATGAAATAATAATAGCCGATTTTTCAACGTTTCGTTTGCCTTTTACCTGTTTTTGTCAAAACTGATATTGCTAGCCCTCTGATCCCTCTTATACTTGAGTTGCGTCATCTAACCGGCCTCTTGTTTTAGAAACAGATTATAAACAGACTGGAAAAATATTTTTTGGTAGTCGACTCAAGGTATAATTACATGCTCGATTTATTGTAAGCTTAGTGGTAAATTAAATCATTAACGCTGTGACTAAAAAGGTCATTCCATAGCACTTGTTAGTTAATACAGCTGTAAGAAAATCTGGAGGAAGATTCTAGTTTTTTACACTGTATATTTTAGACTTTAATTATACTCTCTCCTTGTGGGACTTTTCAGCGATAATGAAACAAATAGTTTAAATGAAACATAACGTAAGGATAAGAATTCCATCTGGTACGAGGTGTGGCCGTGGATTTGAAGTCGGGACTACCGAACAAATCTAGCTATCGGTCAGGGTAGAACTTGAACTCAGGGCCTCCAATTACAAATTAAGCTCTCTTACCACTCGGCCAAGCTGCTATGCACCTGGCTAATATACAGCTATTTCAAGAAAGGTTGTCGAAAAAAGTGCACGCGACAATCCCGAAAGGTATTGTGGGTGGTTTTGAGTTTGCTGTTCTTCAAAGAAATTTGAAAGAATGGCACAAGAGGGACCACAAGAGACCATGGACGTATGTTTGCGCGTGCTAAAGGAAAGCAGGAAAAGAAATTTTGACAGCTACAGTGTCTGGAACAGTGTATTGGTCATATCTCACATTACCTTTCGGGATCGTCGCGTGCACATTTTTGCCGACAACCTTTCTCGAAATAGCGGTATATGCCCTTATCATTAGTGATCCCAGGTTTGGCGGCATGGCTCGGGATGGAGGTGGGTGATGATGGAAAACTTTTAGCCCAGGAAGGGGTATTGAGGCTTTCATGGATATTTCCAACCAAATCAAAGTTCCAATGATCTTTATTGATGAAATGGCAATCTTACATATTAAAGCAACCATTGCATTGCCATTCCAATTACATGCACATTTAAGTTTGACAATGCAAGATGAGCGATGAAGGCCAAGAAGTCTGCCAATTAAAGTGTGCAAATAATGCTGCAGCTTTTTTATTTTCTCATTTTCTTTGTCAATGTCATGGTAGCCTGAGCTTGCTAGTAGTGTTACCAAACAAAGCAATTCTTCATTTGTGATGATTTCATTGAAAAACCAACAATGTAATGGAAAGTGCACAACAATAACAACATCCCTGGGGTCAACCTCCTTGGATAACCATTGTTATTATTCATTCAAAATATTTCCCCAATTCTGATTGGCTAAAAGAACGCGCATAATTCATCATAACCAGTTACTGATGACCAAATTTGGAAGAATTTTGTGTTTAACGAGGAAATGATGTCAAAAATGCAGCCTGTTACAAGTTAAGGAACCGTTACCGAGAAGACCTGGGGATGAGGTTGAGTTGTTTGGGTTGTGAGAAAAAAATGGCAGACATTTCACTTGTTTCAAGAGCAAGAACTACGACTGAAACTGCTATTTAAGTGAGCTCCCTACTACTTTTTAGAACCATTATTATCAACCCCTGTGGACTTTAGTGGGTGGTGGAATTGAACGCTTGGAGGATTCTGTTCGGCCTACAGGGAGTCTCATCCCTCCTGGCTGTACATGGTATCAAACAAGTGTTGGAGAATTCAAGCCGGACCAAAATCTTGTTGTGACAGCTGATGGACAGGAGGTACAGATAGAATGTAATTTTTGTTTATAGAGGCTTGAGCCCAATGATTTTTTTGGGATCTGGAATTTCCTCGTTTTAATTTCGGGATTAGAGATATTTTTAAGCAAAATCAGGGCGAGATTTGGGATTGAAAGTATGCTCGGGAGGTGGGAGGCCAAAAATAACCCTCAGGATTACAGGATTACACAAAGTTTTGGGTCAGGATTACTTGATTGAAAAACCTTGTAGGGGACCCTCTTTATAATTGTCTTTAAAATACACTGTACGACCCATACAAAATGAGCAGCGCTGTTGCAGTGCTGCAGTCAACGACTTCAAGAAGCACTGCAAAAGAGCTGCAAAAGAGCTGGTCTAGTGCAGTTGCAAATTTGTACTAATGTATTGTTCAATGCAAGCATGTTTTTATAATAAGAATTGTTTGAAGTGAATAATAAAACAATTTTTGTATTAATTTTGGCCTTTGTTTGATCTGAGGAATTATGCAAATCTCTGGGGTGTTTTTCATATCCATCTGGGCCAATAACACCCTCCTCGTTCAGATCATCCAATAAGAATGTTGCTTATTATTCAACTTGTTGTTGTGACATCCAGTAAGCTTATCTCAAAGATTAATGTGGATGTACTATAATAATGTCACTTTTGCTAAATTGTTGCACTGTTTCATATTTCAGATTGCCTATGAGTTTCTCTTTGTTGCTGTTGGTCTTAAATTGAGGTTTGACAAGGTACGTCAAAAATTATGACCCTCTCGGGACTAGAGTAAATCCCAGTGAGTACATTAATTAGCTCAACATACTCCCTAACCATGCAATTACAATTTACACTGTAAGGAAGATTTAGTGTTATAGACAAGGGATTCTCCAAATAGAGGAGTATAGCAGCAAAGAAATCAATGTTGAGCCATAAACTCTTAAGATTACTTTTATTATGTAGAATAGATGAAAATGGCTTATTGGCGGTCTTGTCTGATTTGTTAATGTATCTTTGATTCAATTCCTTAATTCAAATCTTGTTAAATGAGGAATAATAAAGGGAGGAATAAAGTACTGTACACAATCAACTCCCTGACCCTGCTTTGTTTGTAGTTTAGTAATATTTAAAAAAACGAAACGAAAGCAAACAAAAAACAATGCAAGAGAAGTAAAAAGAAGCGGATGAAAGAAAGTGAAAGGGTGAAAGGTAAAAGTCAAAATTTTACTTTCTGCACATGCTCAAACTTCACAAGGTTGCAAAGTGCTTGACTTTTAAACAGTCTTTTGGGCAGTTTTGGTTCTTTTTGGCCAGATAGTGACTAGCAACCAGCTTGACTACATTTGCTTGTACTAATTAAGGCCCAGTTCATATAAATGTATGCCAAACTTTTCATGTACCAAACCTAAACCCTTCAATTAATTGCATGGAAAGACCAACATTTGAATCAAATTAAGTCTGACATTTAATTTCGGTCGACGCATGAATTAAGTGTCAGTGACCCACATGGAAATTTCGACTGTGGAGCAACACCAATTTGGGTCGACCCAAGTAGGTATTGAGTTCAGTACATGAATTGATCGACGTTTGAACTGGGTGTAGGCCTCAAGAAAATGGTGTTTTTTGGCAAAATTTCTAAGAGCAAATGGGCTGCAGCTTAAATTCCTTGGAAACAGTAATTGTTTTTGGTTACGGTATATTACAGGTTATCGGGCTGCCACAAGCATTAGGAACTCCTGGTGTTGGAAGTAACTACTCACACTTAACAGTTAATGACACATGGAAGGCCATACAGAATTTTAAGGGTGGAAATGCAATCTTCACTGTGCCAAATTCACCCATTAAATGTTTGGGTGCTCCACAGAAAATCATGTACTTAGCAGAAGCATACTTCAGAGAAGTAAGATTTGCTATTTTGTTTTTTATCATCATTTGTCTTTTCATTTATCATCTAGCTCTATTAATTAATAAACTATTTACTTACTTTTAATTGTTAGTATCTTTGTACACTCTCTCCCTTTAATGTTTGTCAATTGTGTGAGCTTTGTAATTAGTTTTGCAAATGAAACTGCTTCCCATCAGTAACTGCACTGTGGTAGTGGTCAAGTCAAAAGCTCTGCTCTTTTGGCCACTGTCCACTCTTCTTCTGTAATGCTCACTTTTGAATGAGTGTGAATAAAATGAACTTGCACTTGAACTTTCATTTAAAATTGAAAACTAAATAAATATACAGAAGAGGAAAAAATAATATCATTTACATGAACAATAATAATTGTACAGCGTATGTTAGCCTGCGAACAACAGACACATTTCCGGTTGTCGCCTCTCTCCCTCCGAAAAATAGCTATTTTTGGAGGGAGAGAAAAATAGCTATTTTTCGGAGGGAGAGACCGGAAATGCGTCTGCTGTTCGCAGGCTAAGTGTACATAGGACTGCAGGCAGAATGAACTTGTGAAAAGTGTGTAAGGTACATGTATAGTATTGATTCACTGTGTGCAGTCTTCTTTCTTTCCTGTAACAAACATCAATCCTTTTCTGCCTGTCATTCAAGATAATGATACATTTTTTAAGAGACTTAGTTGTCAATTTATAGTATTGTTTTCTTTTTTTCAGAACAATGTACGTGATAAAGCAAATGTCATGTTCAACACATCACTGGAGAGAATATTTGGTGTGAAGAAATATGCTGATTCATTGACAAAAATTGTGGAGGAAAGAGACATAAAGATAAACTTCAAGAGAAACTTGATTGCGATCAATTCTGATACACAGGAAGCTACCTTTGAGATCTTAGATGGTTCACAGCCAAAGCGACTGGAAACCTATGAGGTAGGCTGCCCAGCTGCCATAATATTAAAATTTAATTAATCCTCTGTGCTTAAAATTGGGTAGAACATGTAGGTAAAATTCAAAAGACTTGTTGATTAACAAGTGCCTGGTATTAGCAACAAACAGGTCTTGTTGGTACATTATGGTGTATGTGTTGAAGGTGAAATGAATTTGAGTTCAAATCAGTATTTTACCCAGTTTGATTCAGAATTTCCTCTTGGTTTCCAGCCTTAATTATTCGCAGGAGTCCGAGACAGATAAAAATTAAATTCTGTTTTCTCCTGATAACAAACTTTTATAGCTACATTTGCAGCTGTGTAACATAGTTATAGTCTTTTGTATACAAGTAGAGTAGCTGGCAAAGTAAGGACACTGTTGAGTTAACTTCTTAATATGAACAAAGAATTTTTTTTAATATTAAATACATTTACATGAATTTAACCCGTTAAGCCCCAATATCTACCGACAAATTCTCCAAACTAATCCCCATACTTTTCCTCAAAGAATCAGTTGAGAGAATTTTGCTCAAAGATCAAAGCATGAATTTCTTTATGTGATCATTTTCTTAATTCTCATAAATGTTTCTTTATGTATTGATATTGTTGGGAGAGAATTGAAGTTGGTCACTCTTGGGACTTGATAGTTGTGAGTTTAATAGATGTAGTTGTCTTTTTTTTCTCTCTTTGGGGGGGAGTAAGAACAGTGAAATACCAAATTTTTAATACAGTTGAACCTCCGCTAACTCCCACCTCTTTATAACGGCCACTTTTTTTCATCCCTAAGCGGACAAAAAATCCTTACATTGACTCTTGTTTAAAACCTTTCTACTACGGCCACTTTCTTCTGTCCCCAAGGTGGCCATTGTAGAGAGGTTCAACTGTAATGCAATTATTTAATGAGTGTTTGAAGCTCATAATCAGCGGCTGTGATAAACAAACACTACGGTAAGTCTACTGACAGGGAATAGTTTTGCGTTCAAGGATTGAATTATTCATAAAATTGTTGTGAACCTAATAAATAATATAGCTTACAGCTGTAGTTAGACTGTTTAAGGAATGAGTATAATGTATGTGATGATTGTAGAATAACATGTATGTTTCGATGCGTTGCAGTATGACATGATTCATGTGACACCTCCCATGGGACCACCAGATTGCCTAGTTGGAAGCCCCATCTCAGATGAGACTGGATTTGTTGATGTTGACAAGATTACAATGAGACACAAAAAATATTCCAACATATTTGCCATTGGTGACTGTGCTAATTCACCCAATGGTAAAACTGCTGCTGCTGTGGCTGGACAGACTGGTGTAATCAAGGCAAACGTGATGGCATTAATTGAGGGACGAGCTATGCCCGCTCAGGTATAATATTTATTTTGCTTACACTACCCAGAAAGATGCACACACAGAGTAGATAGATAGATGTAGATTGATACTGAGTAGATACATGTAGATAGGTCAGCAAGGACCTCAAAGCCAGGTTATTGCAAACCTACTGTAAGATACATGATGTAATATAAAGACCGCACTTACAAAGTTACAAAACCCACTATCAACCTCCAAACCAACTAAGTATGACGCCACCAGATATTATTAAACCCAAAACCACTTTGTGGAATAAAGGGAACGTATACCCTGCCTGCTTATTCAGAAGTGGTGCCGACAACTCAGAGGTAGAGGTGCATGGAAACTAACAACTGCTAAATGCCTACAAACAAATATAACAAGTAAATAAAATAAAATTTTGGAGCTTGAATGAATGCTGACTAGACTTATTCCAATTTGCAACAAACAACCAAACATATCTTGGGAAAAGCTGCCCATCCTCCCAGCCGAACCAGTCCTCTGGTTTGTGCTAGCAAAAAAGCTGTTTCTGGCTGTTCCGTGATACTTCACTGTCAGAAATATCATGATAGACAGTTGAAGGCAGTTACTTGAGTTTCTGGTGTATTTTGTTATAATCATGGATCCAAGTAACTATTTTTGAATGTGTGTTTTCTCTGCATGTACCAGTATTTGAATGGAACACTCACAAATCTAATTACTTGATTAAACAATATATTTACTTGACTGTATATTTATCCCTGGGGCTCAGTCAATCGTAAGGTGATTCACAGATTGAACTGCATTATTAAATCTCCTACTCTACACTGTAAGTTTGTTGTTGGCATCATGTACTCAGATGTCTTGCACGCCACAGAATTTAAATCTAGTTATACATTGTAAATATTCAACAATTTAGCTGAAGGAATTATTAATTTTTTTCAACCACAGTATGATGGATACACATCATGTCCGCTTGTCACTGGTTACAATAAACTAATTCTTGCTGAATTTGACTACAATGGCAACCCTTTGGAAACATTTCCCTTTGATCAGTCAAAGGTAAGTGTGAACAGTACGTGGCAATGCAACAAAGTTAAGAGTTGCGAAGTTGGCTTTAATAGGGGGTTGAGGGGGTGGGGCAGAACATCTGTGACCTGCAATCGGCAACAAAATTGTTGAGACATTGTTTCAAATAGAGTAACTACAGAGACAACAAAAGAATCCACACCCCTCCCCCCTCTTCTTCATTCAAGGTTGGGGTGTTTGTTGTTTTCTATAGGTAGCTTGAACAGTGGCACTACATTGCGTGGAGGGGATGGGGGAGGAAAAGCCTTATTTTCTGCTCTGCAAGTCAGTAAAGTGTCAGAAAGCCCCTTTAGGGCATAGTGTCTCAACTAATTTTGTCGCGGATTGTGGTTCTGGTACAGCACCTTCTTTTTGGAATTCTGCCTGTATTTTGGACTCCTAGAGCCTTCCTTTGTAAGTTACTTGTACTTCTAAAGGCTTCTAAACCCATGTTTATGATGTACATGTACAGAAAAGCAAGGGAATACATTTAATTTGTTTCATTCAAATTATTAAGCCACTTGTTCACTGCCTTGGAGGTCTAGCTGACAATAAATTATGCAAGGCAAATAACATTGCAGGCCTCATTATCTACCTTATTGTAATTATTAGTCTCCTGATTCTTACAGTCATGAGAAATTGATTAAAGAGACCATAAACACACAAATGCAAATTTGGTATATTTTTTCCTTTTTTTCCAGGAGAGATACACAATGTATTACATGAAAAAAGATATTCTCCCTGAAGTCTACTGGAATGGATTAGTCAGGTAGGCAGTGCCATCCAAAAAGCTTGACCCCAGTGCTAAACAAAATAGTTGCTTTTGTGATTGAAATAGTGTACAGTGTATGAAGTAAAATAGTGGAGCAGTCATTGTAGTTCACTGCCCTTTCAGTAGGCTCAAGCGAATAAGTTGAATTTGATTACAATAATGCCTACAGAACACATTAATGTTATGTTTTAAATGTTTTCGTTTTCTAATTAAAGTCAAGTTGAAATAGATGTACATCTCCTTGTCTAAAAACTCTTTTCTTGGTTCTGGTTTCTATTTCAGGGGCCTGTGGCCAGGTGTATCACCACTAAGAAGAACTCTTCATTTGGGAATGAGAGGATAATTCTTTACTTGCACCCTGCACTGGATGGAATTGATCTATGATAAAGAACTTGGTCTATCAAGGAGCCCGTGTATTGTTAGCACTGATCAAAAATTTAAAAAAAGCACAAGACAAGTCAAGCAAGATGCAAGATCATTGTTCCACATTTTAGTGGGGCAGAGGACATTTTTGCATTGTGTCAGTCACTTGTGTCTTGTTCTCATAATAATATTTTCCCATAATATATTTCTTGTATAGGCTAGTAAGTTATTTGTGAATGGTCAGAGTATTGATTTAACTTTGTGCGACTTAATTTTAACCTGCTGAATGAAAACTTGCTAAATTAAAGTTCCAAATGGTGTGATTTTAATGCATTTGATGATAAAGTTATATTGAGTGTGATTATTAATTTTTTTGAAAACACTCATCTGTAGAGAGCCTTTAGTAGTGTAAAATAGCTACAGTCATGTAAAGCATAAAAGTGGCAACCAAAAAATTGGATTGTGCTTTAATGTACTAGCATAAAAACGGACCAGTATAAATTTACTGAATTAATGATTAAATAATTTTCTATTTTTAAAATAATGTATGTAGCTTAAATTTTTTTTAAAGTACTTACACGCTGTATATTTGTAGTTTATAGTTAGTATGGGAATTAATGCATTTCTCACAACTTAATAGATTATTTAGTATAGTCATCATAAAGTAACAATGGCTAATCTTTGTAAGGGAATTAGTTTACATTAACCTTCAGAAGCTGCTACAGCATTTGTTTTTCTTAATAGTATACAGGGGAGCTGAGTATTTTTTAAAAGCCTCTTGTCCTCATAGATCTGATTCTTAGACATTATTATTTGTCACTAAGAGCATTTCCGCCTTTGCAACAGACATTCCTTGTAAGTAGGACAAAATTTAGTTAGCTAGTAGTTTAAGCAGACTATTATTGCCAGTGCAACTTGAATTAGCACGATTGCACTGCAGCTACCAAACCCTTGCCATTCTCTGTGTTTTGGACGTCACCTTAAATTATTAACATTATTTAGAATAACTGTGAAACTCACAAAACCGTGATCACCAGAAATATTTATGTAATGTTATTGTGTTGCAAGAAATAAGCCAATAAGGTGCAAGATACAGAAATGGTAATTAGTTTGTGAATTTGAGGTTTGCTTGTGTATTGTGAACTTTATTGTGATTGGCCAGTACACAATCAACATTCCTGAAATTTTTCAGGTTTTCATGGTTTTTTGAGTTTGACAGTAGTTATTTAGGGCTCTAGTTACAGTGTATGGATAGACAAAAAAAATCAATAAAAAATTTAAAAGCTCTCAAAAACAAACAAAAAATGGAAGTGATGTATTGTGCATTATTTTGTTTTACGGTTAAAGCCACAATCAAATTTGTTTGAGTACAGTACTTTAGGTACAGTACCAGTTAGCTGGATGGAATGCATATCAGGGAATTTAAGTGACCACAATGGCAATGGCAATGAGTTAAAAAAAGCAATGAGCAAAATAACTCTGCATGCATCACACTGCTTGACTGTAACTGCTCGTAACTGATTGACTACGAGATGAAATTCTCCAATGTGACATTCTTGGGATGGATGTAAAGAACAATCCATGGTTAATTTTTTCTTTTTTACGTGGACTCCAAGAATGCAGCTCCAGGAAAATTCACCTGCATTTGACAAATTTGCATGAGATAGAGTCATACAGTTTGGAAGAATACACATACACTTATTAATATTTAAAAAAAAAGCCACTTAACTTTTTGCTTTTGCTGCCATGTGGTTGCACAAGCTTTGGAAGGGGATTTTACTCAACAGACATGTGAAGTATGGAGAAAACAAAACAAAAACAAAACAAAACGAAAGAACAACGTGCAAAGAAATACCTTTGCACTTCCTGTCGCTTTCCCAGTGTGACACACAGGCTGCCAAAGCTCAATAGGCCACTTCCTAGTTCCAAAAACCCTCACTTTCAAAATAAGGCTAGGTGCACAACCTTTCTTGTGAAAATGAGTTTTATTTGCATGAGAATGAAAAATGATTTCCATATCAAAGGCTGAGCACCTACCCCCCTTGTTTTGAAACAGAGGCCCGGGGGAACTCGGAAATGGCCTTTTGGAGTATAATTATGTATAAATATATTATTGACAATAAAATAAAATCACATACGGGAGCTACAGTGTCACAACAGATGGTTCCAAAAGTATGAGGGTTTTATGGAAAAGCAACTTCGAATTCCTTTTGTATTAATAATAGTACATTTTACTCAAAATATGCATAGCTTTGAACCAAGTATAGTTTTTGTGGGTTCTTCAATATGCAAATTTGTTGGTGCGTTTAGGCTTCTTCTTGTTGTTTTTGACATTTTGTTACATTTTAAGAGAGTTAGTTAAAATTCTTGCAGATCAGGAAAGATCAGGACAGAGCCATAACCGAGGATGGGTCACTGGTTGAGGTTCCTGCGTGGAAGATAATTCATTGATACATGTAGATATCACAAACAAAACTGGGAAGTTCAAAGGAGAAGTTGATGTAGTAATTTTGAAACTGCAAGTTAAGGTTTAGGGTTAAGATTCAGTGAGAATAGGGATGTGTTCCAAATCAAGAAGTTTAACATGTATGTAGCAATAGCTTTGAGGTTGTTATCAAAAGATATTTATAGTGAACAAAAGGCTAGTGCAAATCCAGAGGCAAATATTATGTGGAACTTTTCTGAAAGCTGAGATTGACATAATAGTCACACTTCTGAAAGCTGTTGTTTATTAAGAACTAAAAGAAATTTTATGAAATTGTTTTCATTAAATTGTCCAACCACATGACTTTAAAGTGTAATATATGTATATACAGTAGTTTAAAACATGTTTACATCCCATTTATAAAACTATTATTTTCTTTTAGCTTTCAAGTAGAAACTGCTGCAGTGGCATTACTTCTGGAAGGAGTGGATACTGTAAAACACAGCAAAATGGTAGTGGCTGTGATAGTAATATTACAATACAATAATATTACAGTTTTTAATCTTTAAAAATAACACACTCAAAAATAAAATTAAAGGGAAATGATACATCAAATACCAATCCAGTAATAAGCTCCTCGTTTTAATACTATTAAGCCCCCCAAATTTGAAATGCAAAGGCCCCCTTAGCTCCTGAGAGCTCATACAGTGGAAGTTCTCATAAGTGAACACCCTCAGGACCCGAAAAAGGGGTCTATAAAATGGAGATGGCCGCTTATGGAAACTTGTTCTAATCCAGAACAAAGAACAATTATTATATCACTTCATTCCACTCATGCTTACTTAGTAAACAACAAATTATTAAAAGATTTATAAAACCTCTTTTCTGCAGTTTGTGTCATAAAAAATGAAAATAAAAATTTAATATTAAATATTTGCGAGTGATAAAAAATTTACACCATCAGCACATATTACTGTTGTCAAGACACAGTTGTAACATCATCAGTCTTCTCATCAGCGATATCACAGTTAGCTTGATCATCATCAACAGCTCCATCAGGTTGGAGTGAAGAGAGTTTCTTTATAAGAGCTTCTCCAAATGATTGAGAATATCCAGGACTAACTGAATCTAATAAGGCATACATTGTCTCAAAATACTTAGATGCCTTTGCTTCTTGATTCTCATCAAAGTTATCACCAACAACCTGAAATGTTGAATAATGTTTCAAATAAGCATTAAATGGCAACACTGAACATGTTACAGGTAAAAATGAAATTCAGGTCAAAATTTTTTTAACCTATGTTGATTCTCAACTTCTTTTGTCTTTGATTCTGACCATAATTCATAAATAATTTAGATCTAGGAGACAAAAGAAAATTACAAAAATCAAACTACAATCATGGACAAAAGTCTTGGGGCACTTTTGCATTTCTTGGTTGCTTCCAATTCACAAAGGGCCAACCCCTTCCCTCACCCCACAAACAACATTTGACGCATGCAGAATTTTTAACTTTTTAACTTTTTTTAATTTTCAACTTTGTATAGGATGGGGGGAGGGAGTACTGCAAGAAAATTTTGTTTAATGAGGGAACCAAGAAATTACAGGAAGGTTATAGGTTACAAAATTTTAACCTGAATTTAATTTTGACCTGTAACAAATACAAACAATATTGATTTTTAGGTCTTGACGCAGGGAGTACAAGGACAGGATAAATCAGTGTATTATTATTATTGCTGGAAAACAAATTTTGAAGGAGTGGCCTAAAGTTATTATTATATTACATTATATATACAACACAACAAACATATTAACGTCGTTGAAATAAAATTGCCTTGGAATGTCCATACTACTTTGTTCAATTCTGTGATGGTAGCTGTAGAAGATCGTAAACACGCATGCAGTCTTGAAAAATAAGTGAAAGCTTTAATGCAGTGATAGTATTGATTTATTTATTTATTGCAGCGGTGAAAGCGGTTTTTCAGTAGAAAAATTATAATAATGAGTCGCACGTGAGGTGAAATTACCGCCGGGTTTTGTTTTTGCGACTCACTTTATCGCAAACAACTCATTTTCATATATTCATAATTTCAAACAACTCATTGTACCACAGAGCGATGAATAACTAAGGCATGGAGAAAAAAAAAACATAACTTACCCGAAATCCTAAGACACTAAGTTCAATGCACAGGCTTTTACATTCCTTAGTCAGCACATTCAAGTAAACACACTCGCGAGAAGAGGGAAGCTTCCTTGAAATGCTGATCGATTTGACGGTGAAACCAATGTCCTCTATCACAGCTTCTGCTTCAACTTTGAAGTCAATCTCTTCCTCATCCATTTTCGGGAGACAGAAAAACAAACTTGAAAGTTTTTCCTTGTCCTTCCACAAAATGGGCATTGATTGGTCTTTTACATGATCATTTATATGCACAGGAAACAAAACCCAACAGACGAATGAAAACAAAACAAAACGAAAACAAAACCAAAAAAAACCAGCCGCGACCAGCAGTATTTGGTATGCTGTCATGCGTATGTGACTTTGAGCCCACGTCATTACTGGTCTTCAGCAATTTTTTTTTCGATAAGTCCTCTATGTAAGAATTGGCGTGCAGTTTGGGTCAAACAGCTGAGTGGTGAAAATCAGAAGGCTTATAGGACCCTTCAGGGTTATATCTTTGAAAATTCAAGATGAACTCTTTCAATAACAAAACACCGGCTTGTATGTGTAGGTAATATTTATGCTGATTGTTGCAGGGAGATATTAGCTTAAGTCTATAAAATTCTATATAATAATCCTCATTTTTTTGAGATTTGAATTTCCTGCCTTTATTTAGATGCCAAGGGGTTCAAGCTTGACAAATTTCTTGGTAATTTACAGGTAAGAAGCTTATTAACTTTATTCTATTATGAGCTTAATCAAGCTTAGTTATTTCCAATATAGTATTTTTGGAACTAGATCATGGCTGCTTTGGAGAGTGTGGCATATTTACCATTTACAAAAGAAAGTTAAATATTAAATAATAATGATAATGATAATGATGATGATAATGATAATAATAATAATGATTAAAAAAAACTTGCATTCTGTGCTAAAGCTGGAATTCTCCAGTCTTTTGTCAGCACCTCTGGCAGGAATCAAAATAATTTTTTAACTGACTGGCCAAAGAAATTTCAGCTCAGTCAAGTCTCTTTTTTCACTGGTCATGTTTAAAGTAATAAAGATAATACAAGAAAGATTTAAACCAAGAGCTTAAAACTTAACAGTTTAACAAGCAAAAATCCATAAAGAACATTCTTGTCTGTTCAAAATGAGCGGCAAACCGAAAACTTTTGAACAAAATAATCAATGATCATCTTGGCCGAACTTTGTCCATATGCATTGACCATCCATTTTTCTGCTCTTGTGTTTTACAGAGAAACATGATCCACTTAAAACTTGGATTCCTTGTTGCCATACGCCTGTTTAGCAGTAGATCACGGATGAGGTCAAAATGTGCGAGTGAAAGCAAAGAAAGTGACACAAGCTGCTTGCCAGCATGTCACTGGTGTTCTTACCAATTTTTTTGTCTTCTTCGATCTACTATGAACAGATGCTATGATAACATGGAATCTATTGGTTTCATACAATGAAAAGAAAATAAAAAATGAAAAAACTTGCCCCGCACCACTTGAGTGTTTGAGGATTTGTGCCTGCAGTTAAGTCATTTTCCAAGGCACAAGATGGTAGAGGGTCATATGTAATAGAATATATAGAGATCGTATCTGTATAGACGGGGACATGGGTATTGCGGTATTGAGCTTTTTTTTCAAGTGGTATTTTGGTAATCTTGATTTTAATGTGCGGTATTGCGGTATCATCTAGCCTTGCCATATGTGGTTTTTCATCTTTTTCGTTAAATGGTATTCAGTAAAAGAAGATCTTTCATGGTATTGTGGCACTGTTCATTTGCGCTCTCCTCTGGTCAATGGACTATTAAGAAAAAGGAGAGACTGCTGGTAGTCTAAATTGGAGGTCTTCTCATGTTTTCTTGCAATGGCTGAGGTTGATTGCTGGTGCATACACCTGTATGTGCTTGAGATAACCAAACACACAAGATGGATAGAACTTTAAGTAAGCGTAACTGATCATAAATGTACAGTAGTATCTGTATTTTGACACTGTATTTCGGTATTTGCCAATTTTTCTTAAGGTATTGCATTATTGGGTACCCCCCAATTTCCCCCTCTGTATAACTTGGACAATTTGTGATTGATATCAAGTATGCTCCATAGGGTTATAAAATTGCCACCGGTCAAGTGAGTGAGGATGAGTTTAGAAGAATATCTGATAAATATGGTGAGTTCACTGAATATACAGTTTTCAAAACCTGTTGGAACTGGGGGTACACATGTAAGATACGCAAAATATGAAATATTGAGCTTTATGGTTGATTTTTCAGACTGGTGGAGGGTTGCCCTGGGGTTGCTACCCACTTTTTCCCAATGAACCTTAAGTAGCAGTTATTGAACAATTGTACTGAAAGTGAAATTGTTGACTGCCACAAAAGGATTGCACATATCATTCACCAGCAGCTTAACAAAAATACAATGAAACTAATGACTTGGAAACACTTTGCCTACTAATGGTAAATGTAGGATGCTAGTGGCCAAGGCACTGCTGGGAGCACATGACATTTTTAAGCTGTGAATCACTACATGGCCCTGTTGAGGAAGAATGTAAAGTTATTATTATCCAGATTAAAATAAACCAATTTCAACCTTGGATTATGACAAGCTTGAACCAGGTCAAAGTTCTTTGATAAGTATCAAGCATTAATCTACAGCAGTATTTAATAATTTTTATGTTTTATAGGTTCTGATGAAGGTGCTGTGTTTGGTTCACTTATTACAAATGCCTCTGGCAGTTACAAGAATAAAGGTATAAACTTTTTGTTTTTTGCTAAGTCATGCTTCCTTCTGTCAAAGGCAGCTTTCTCCTCTAAAATTAGTTATCCAGCTGATCTTTCAAGAGGCAATTTTCTTTATAGCTGATTAAAAACCTCCATCAATTACCTGATACCCTGGCAGTCTCTGAAGGTCTTTAATACTACTAATAATAATTCATTATTTATATAGTGCTTTACAAATAGCTCTGCATGTGCTAAAAGACAAGTAAATATTGGAACACTGTAAAAAATGAAAGAAATAGAAAATCTGATAAACATCAAAGATCCTAAAAGCTAGAAACAGAGAATATTATAATAACAATAAAAAAGTGTGCAATAATGTTTAGGTCCAAAGAAACTTATTTAAATAAGCAAATACAAAATAAACAGGTTTTCAGTTTAGATTAAATTTGGCTTCTTTGTAAGATTGTGTTTGAGTGCAGTTTTATGCATCAGCTTCAAGTTCTCTTAATAGGTCTTCTTAGTCATGTCTGCACATTATGACATATGTAGCTGGGGATGATATGTCTATAAGTGCCATTTTGATATAAAACAGCTGAGTTTATTTATTTAACAAATACATTAAAATTGGCAAAGGTTCCCTATTTTAATAGTGCATGGGGGGTTATTCTGGGTGTTGTTTTTTACAGGCATCCAGCAGGAAGAACAAGACATGGAAACCAGAACAAGGCGAAAAAGAAGGAGAAGAAGAAGGCGAGACAACAGTGGAAAAGAAGATGAAACAGTGTCAGAAGAGACTGCTGTGCCAAAGTTAAATTCTCATCCGTTGTTGACTGATGAGCCACTCACTATTCCACCAGCCTTGCTAGGTAACACAGCCACAGAGTCAGATAAAATTATTTGATCTGTTTAATACTGTTTCCTTTTTTTTTAGTATAATAACTCAATGTAGCTGATCAGAAATGAGGTATTATAAGCAATACCAATGTAATCACACCTGACTTGTAAGGACACCAACATATTTCCTGAAGGTTTTTTTAAATTTTTTATTGGACACTATGCAAGTCTCCCTTAGACCTACAATTAATTCATTTCATTCATTGTACATAATACAATGTAAGCTCTTAGTTATCAGTACTAATCTGTTTTTGTTGTTTTCGCTGTAATTATATAACTTATAATTTTGCATTTTTTGGGAAGATGTTGTTATGTTAATAATATTATTTATTCTAGCTTTCAATGACTATGGCTCATCAGATGATAACAGTACCAAAAGCGATAAAGATGGAAACTGTTCAACAACTTCAAACTCAGAGACTGATGATACCGATGATCAAGATTTTTTTGGACTAAGCTGTAAAATAAAGGTCAAAGTTTGTTTATTGTAAAAATAGGTTGTTCCTCCCTGATCATTATGGCTGCATGTGCAATGTGTTAGCACTATCAAGATGGTGATTGCAGCTGTCCTGTTTTTGTAGGGGTGCATGGGGAAAAGAGACTTCTTATAATGTTTTCTTATTCTCTGCTAAATGATCAAACATGTTCATCCATCATTGTGTTGAAAGAGCATGTGAGAGTTTTGTGATACTACAAAAACTGAAACTAATAGTATTGTTTTACTATACATTGCTTTCAAACAGCATTGCTTGGGACACAGCTTGACATTTGCTCTTGGAAATCATGCATTGTGTGGGCAACCTATAGATTTGTCACTAGCAGATAACTAACTAGTCTGTAGGTTGCGCTGATTTCCAACGGTAACTGTAGACTCCTAATAGCCAATGAGTAGAGAGATAGAGAGTACAAAGTGTAATACTGTTTAGCTGCCTCTCTCATTCAACATATTGCATTACAATCAAGCATTTCCTTGTTTAGCCACCCTGTGCCGTGCATGACATACAATGCTGGAGGAAAATGTATGTTCATTACTGTGGCCTCCCGTGAAGGTGCCCACAAACCCAGTTGTAGGGGGGAGGGGAGGAAATATAATTACTGGTACTGTTGAATTGAATGAAGTGACCGTTCACCAACACCAACATTAAGGCAGTGTATTTAAACACAACTATTTGCCCCTCAATAAAGCCAACTTTTTCCGCCTTTTTTATAGAGGTCTAAATCTGATCGATCTACCCTGAAAACATCTAGTGAAAAGCCAAACAAGACTTCTGCAAGTATTGTCAGCCTTAACAACCAAGAGAGGTACTCTGAATATCACATGTATATAGCTGAAAATTTTTAATAATTGTTGAAGTTTTTTGTTCAAGAGGTGCACATTTTTTATTTTAATTTCAAGAGTTTAGAAGCTTCAAACCCCGTCCCTTTAATGAAAGATTTTAGGTAGTCTCAGGTTAAATGAATTTGTCTTTGGATTATGTTTTGGAAGATGTTAAAGATGCATTAGACATTTCTGTGAATTAGTAGTAGTAGTCCACTTCAATAGGACTGATATCATGTTTTAATCGTTTTTAGAATGCAGACCAATCATCTCAATCTTCCAGAAAAACAGCAAGCGATCTGGGACCATGCAAAGCTTAAATATAAAGATCCAGTTAACCCTCTGTCAAGCTATAAATGGTACTATGAGTAGACATTTTACCAGCTGTATAATATAGCTCAAGGACAATTCAGGGAAAACAGGCTTTGCACTGACTCAACTACTGTATCTTATCTGCTTTAGGTTTGGCTTAATATCGTTAGATCTAGGTTACGGTCAGGGGTAGGCTCAGTCGACCCGGGTGGGTCATATCCCCGAAAAATTTTCTTCCTGTGCCACTTGCGTTTACTGTCAAAAATAATATGGGCATTTTCCGTAAACTGTTAAATCCTGTCTTAATCTATGCTGGTCAACCGACATTACTTTTAAACTCCTTTAATACATATGCCTTCATGACGATATGACCTACAGTTTTGTAGAAATGCTAAAGATCGGTGTGTGAAGCGTGTTGTGTGGTGATTTCTTTGATTTCTTTTTAGCTGGAAGTGTAAGCGTGTAGGACATCTTCCAGAAGACTGCACCATAAAAAGCAGAAACCTTGTAACAGGTACTAACACGTGTTTATTACCAGAAAATGCCCTGTTTAAATTCAAAGTGCGCTCAAACTCAGACTGTAGCTGTTCCAGCTAGTTTATACACCCCTTAATCAAATAGTCACAAATGGAATGTAATCGCAAGAAAACATAACATGATAAACCCATCTGAATGAAAGCAATAACGCGGTCAAATCAGTTCAGAGTTGGCCATTTTTAGACGTGGCGATTCATTTCTTATCCCTTCGTGATATCTTTTTGTAAGAAGTTTGGGAAAGTCAGTACACTTGCAATTGCAAATTGTCCAACAATCCCTAAATTTTTCAGAAAGCGATAACTTGGGTCCTTTTTTTCATGTTATATTATGGGTGACCAGTCGTTTCGCCAACGAGTCGTTTCTCATACGTCCTGTTCGCTATCGCCGTTAGTCGTTTCGCCTACGTGTTAGATCGTTTCGCTAAAGAGCTATAACTTGTTTCGCGGGCGTCCAATACGTCGTTTTACCAACGAGTTTCACTCATGGTATACTGACATGAATGAAATGATTGGGTGTTTGCTTTTCAAGCAACTATAACATTTGTGTGAAAAATTTATCAGCTTTGTTCTGTTTTATTTCGCTTTTTTGTTTGTAAACATTTAGAATCAGCGTCTGATGTTGGGCAGTTCAGTGGAGTTCGTAGTCAGCAGGTGGGTTTAATCGGTTTATGGTCATCTCGCCACCAAACCGTCTCGCCACAAACCAAATCGCCGCCAAGAGGTCGACTCGTCACCAACCACCTCGCCACTAATCACTTACTACTTGTGAAAACTGCCTTTCGTGTTTTAAGAAATCAAACACTTAGTCAGATTGGGTTGTTTACTTTGTAGAGTTTTCACAGATTTGCCTGTATAAGAAAAAAAAAACCTTTAGCCGTGGGTTGACGAAAGTGCCATGAAAAAACATTATGAAGCAAAAGATTTTCGGAAGAGACTTGCCATTCGTTTTTATTCCACACAGCACGCCCTTCTTTGACACAGTTTAGCTGGATCGTTTTTATGAACAGTCTCAACACTTCACACATTCACTGTACGTACGTCTGATAACAGTGGCTGGCTTTCGAATCTCAAAGACAGCACTTGATCTTCGCGAAAGTCGCGCGTAGCCTGCGTTGCCGACGTTTGAGAACGCGAAGGGCTCCTAATGTCTTCTCTCTTTTTCGAGCACATTGTTTACAGGCTACCGTTATCGAGGATAAAGTATGAAGTCGAGGAACAAGACTAGACTATAACTGACTGACTATCGAGAAACGAGAATCCGGGAAATCGAGAAATGCCGGGAATCGATTTCTTTTTTAAGATTACTTTTAATTTTTTGTTACAAATTGTGGTCAGTATTCATCCTCGGAAGATGACTATGATTACTAAACAAAAATAGCCAGTTTGGACGGAATTTAAACTCCTGACCGTCTGGATGTTAGTTAAACTTTGTTGGTACAGCGTGATGTCTGTTTCTTTGAACTTGATGTTATATTATTTCTCTCTAGACTAATTCAAAAGGATCATTTTACTCCAGCATATTGAAAGACTATTACAAAAGGTAAGTGGTCCGGCTGCTACGGTCAAACGTCGAGCTTCACATGGAATAAACCTAATGCTAGTGAGCAAGAACAATTTCGTCACATTTGAAGATCTAAAGAGAAGAGGACTGGGCCTCCTTAACTTTCGCAAAAAATTCTGGGACCATTACTAGGGACATGGAAAAACTGGCCAATAGCTGACCGGCGCTTCCCCAATAACGATCCTAGAAATAATTGCGATACGCATTTCGGCTCCAATTCCTTTCTTGTTTTAGACTGCAAAATAGTCCGTATTTTTGCCTATTCAAGTACGCGCGAGCAGTCAAACAAAAGGTCTGGAACGAGGCTGAAAACAGAGAGCGAGACTGGGGAGAGACGCTAATTTTTTGTTACAAATTGTGGTCAGTATTCATCCTCGGAAGATGACTATGATTACTAAACAAAAATAGCCAGTTTGGACGGAATTTAAACTCCTGACCGTCTGGATGTTAGCTAAACTTTGTTGATACAGCGTGATGTCTGATGTCGGTTGGCTCAGTTGGGAGAGCTCCTGTCTGCTGTAATGACATCTGCAAACGGTTAGACTTTCTAGTCTTCACGGATAAGGACGAAAAATTGTAGGTCCCGTCTCACAACACTTACACTTACCTGGTTCTTGTGGGACGTAAAAGAACCCTCACCACTGTTCGAAAAGAGTAGGGGACGTAGACCCCGGTGGTGTGGCCAACCTTCACACATAACATCATTCACATCATGGGGTGGGCGGGTACAGTAAGCTCATAAATGGACTGAGAGCGGCTGCCAGTGGCGCCTTTGTATGCTGACGTCCGAGCTTACTGTTCACATGTTAAAAATGTATTGTAAAGAGGGCACGTCTGTTGCCCTCTCATCCACGGCTCTTCTTCTTCTTCTTCTTCTTCTAAAAATGCTACTACGGGCGTGTGAGGCTCGCGCGCTTCGCGCGCGTAAGACTCTTACGCCACGCTTTACCGATTTCTTTGCTGATGTTGAGAAAAAAACCGACTGTTTTGCAGTCTGTTCTTGTTTCAAAAGTGGCCAATTTAATTTGCCCCACAAGCTGCGCTTGTACTTTCTTTTTTGATTGAGTTTGTTTCAGAGTTGCTATGAGACGATGAGGGTTTTTATTTTTTTAGCTAAAGTGCCACATTTCCAGGCATCTAAAGTTCGAAATATATTGGCACGCAAAGTTTTCTTTTACTTATGTGGTCGATTTTTGTGTAAAAATGAGTTACTTTAGCTTGTTCCCAGACCATCGCTGAAGAAAATAAAAGTATAGGCTAATGACCAACTTGTTTGCAGCTGTGTTTTAATTGTTTTTTCTCCAGGATTGAGAACCCATTTTAAGAACCTAAATAGCCTAAAATTCTGTTAACTATCATTTATACAAGAACCTGTTTAGGCTAACTCCTAAAAATGTAGGTTCTTAGTTGCGAGTTTTTACTGTAGTTGTTACGTTTGGAATATAGTACTCGAAAACATGCCAATGTGATCTCTTGTGAATGCTCGTAGTAGTCCGTTTCGTTCTGTCTCTCCATTTTTCTTACAGCTTGGTTTATTTATTTTTTGACCACAGATGTCAAAAGCTTCGTAATGCCAAAGATGCAAAGTGCAGTGATTGTGGTTTGAGGTCCAATCTAGCTTACTGTTTTGAGTGTGGGTAAGTCATGAAAAAGCCACCCTTTCAGTTGCGAATCCGTATGGAGCTTATTTACTTGTATCGAGTTTTGATCCTAAAAAAGTCTTAGTATGAATGGGTATAAGCCGCCGGCCCAACAGGGCAAGGTGTTTTTGGACCTTGGGTGTAATTTCAGTGTTTAGCATCTTGAACAGGGTATCTTTCTGTACCGAATGGCAATGGTGTTTTATGTTTGTAGCTCAAAAATCTTATTGACTCCAAAGCTGATTTAACAAAATTACATTTTCTAGGTAAATAAAAAAACGATGTTCTCAGTCTTGAGTAGGGTGTTGTATTTGCGAGTCACAAAAAAGGCACTGCCCCACCCATACCTCCCCCAAATGCCCGACCCCGGACATTAAATAACTTTCCTGAAGACTACATTTGTACTTTATCTGCTTTTGCGTGAAAGAAGCCGGCTGTTTTTGTTTCGTTGTTTCAGGTTAACTTTATGCGATGGCCGTGGACACCTTATAAATCATCTTTTAGAATATCCCAGTCACACTAAACTCTTCTCATACAAACTACAGCGGCAGGTGAGATAAAAAGTCAAGCGTATGCAATCTTCTTGCGATAAACCGCAAGTAGTCGTTTTTTTCCTGTCAATAAAAGAAAAAATAAAATAAAATAAAATAAAATAAAAAAACCTGAAAGTAAACGTTTACTCAACTTACAATATTAAAAACCAAGGCCTAGGCTAAACGTCGAACTTTTCATGAGACAAACCAAACTTAGTGAGTTAAGTCCATGAAAGTTCGACGTCTGGCTCAGTTAAGTTCGTCTGAATGAGTTTGAATCGTCCAACACGTTCTATTCGTCCGCTTCAGGCGGACAGAACGTCTGAAGATCATCTTTGGGACAATCGTCGATCTTCTCATGCGACGAGCTAAACTAATGAATAAATTAAAAACTTGTATGATAATGTATATTTAGAGTCGTTCGGGAAAAAAGTTATTATTAGCTGGCTAAATTTGCTTTTTGGTCTGATTCAGTTGATTGGTTCGACGCGTCCTAAGTTCGACGTCTGACCCAACAGATGATCTTAACTTAATTTAGGTCGACCCAAATTAGAGTTTGGTTCGTCTCACTAAGGTTTCACATTTCGGTTGGTCGCTTACGGTAGGTTCAACTGGAAATACCGCGGGATCTGCCTTCCATTTTGTTAAATCAATTTTGATGCTGGCATTTTCAGATAAAGTGCTGTAAATCGACTTGTGAAGTTGTGGACTGCACGGAACTTTTAATGTGCTCTTCGTGCCTGGGCAGAGCTTTCACCAGCCATTACTCCATGATAAACGCAACCTGGTAAGCTCATAATTCTTATAACTTGGGAACTTAAGACTAGAACTGAAACAAGTCGGGTTGGCCATCTACTGAGACCCCATGCAGGGGCAGCTGATCGGGAGAGAATATTCACGGGCAAATCTTTGCAAAACAAAAAGAAAACGTTTACACGAGAAACAAGATTAATAGTGCTCCTGGGTGCCAGAACTAGCTGCAGAAGGTGGTCAAATCCCTGCTTTTGATTGGCCAGAAAATATTTTCCGGCCACTAAGATCAAAATGCCCAGGGACGCACTCTGCTAGGGGGCGGTGGGACGGGTTTTAGGGAGGCGAGCGAGAAAAATATGTTTATTGCTTCCCGCCTTCCACGGCTATGAACTAAAGATGGCTGTCCCTACAGTAAGCGCTCGATCTTGATGATCTTACTTAAAACTGGGTACTGTAAACACTCTAAGCAAACAGATACTTGCGGCATAGTGCTGTGGACTTGTATCCCATCTAGGGAGGGTGGTAATATTACTAGAACATAAACCGGAATATGGTCCGGTCATATAGGTCTTCTTGTCTCATAGTGCCCTATTATTTAGCTCCTCCGTGGTCGCGCACAAAACCCACGACGGCGCACCCAGTCACGCAACTAAAAATAAAGACGGGCTCACAGACCTAAACTAAACCTAAATTGTGACGCGCTCAAAGTACAGCCAGACTTACGCTTATAAATGTATGCCTTTGGAAAGACGTGGAGCCAGTTGCATAAATTTCAACTTCGGACTTGAACCGCGTTAAAATCTGACAATCAACCTAGTCGAACTCCTTGTTTTACCGCAGGCGTTAGAACTTACATTAGACGCTACGTCTTATCCAACTTGTCCCTGGCCTGCTTATTTACTACCGCTTATTATTGAAGATTTTTTAGTTTCAATAAAAGTCTCTTAAGATCTACAGCTTTTGGCTTGTTTGAATCTGCATGATTTCTTTCAGTTCTCTGAGTTGTCCTTCATATTTAAATGATACTTTGTCTCCCCTTTGCGCTCTGCTTTCAGGTCCAGGACCGGACTAAAGTTGATTCCAAACGCTTTGGCCTGTGAACAACATTTCCACTGGTAAGAAAATTATCTTTCTTAGCGTTGCGCATAAAATTCGTTAGCCGTTTGTCAGATGCAATTGTCTCGAATGATTGGTGCTAAAAACGCCGCACCAGTTGTCAAAAACATATAGATAGATAACTCCTTGAGTGATGGGGGATCATGAGAAAGATCTTTACGTATCACTACAGACAACTTACAGGGCTTTGTACTGTTCTTTTAGGCATCGAATGAACTGTGCGAACTCTGCCGGAGAAATCCTGGTAACCAGGGAGAAGTTGGAGAAAAGTCGAACACGAGGCGAAGGACTTTTGAGTGAATTTTATTTTTAAATAAAGTCGTTCTTTCATCAAACGCTCTGGACATTCTTATTTCAATAATTCAGCCATCGGTTTTTTGCATATCGCCTTGTTTACGCGGAAAGGGGCCGAGGGCAAGTTTCGAGCAAGTTGGAAGACGTTCACCCCAGATTTTGTTTGTTGCAGCCGAAAGTATTTTTGTCAGATAAACATGTTGTACTTTAGAAAACACAACACAGGTTTTTTTGGTTTGTGAAGCTAACTGGCCTTCATACAACTGTTCGGATCCACACTCACCTCGCAACGCATAAGCTTAAGCAACCGGCGCAGACTCTAGCTTTTTGATCAGTATGATGACAAAGACACCAGCTATAAGCATGTTATTGAGATTGCGCTGATTCTTTAGCTCATGCTTACGTTCCCAGAATAAACATCCTTTCATATCCACGGCGCGTCATATGAATGGGCAAGCTATCACTGTCACAAATTTTACTCGTATCTTATGTGCATTGTTTAATTTATTGATTAATTTATTATTGAGACTCAATCGTATGTATATTTACATTTTATCATTACGAACTCTTATTCAGTTATTCATTTCTATCATATAGTGATATTGAATATTAGCGGTTTAATTTTCTTCACCACTAGTCTTTAGTTTTAAGTATCCAGTCCTTATAAGACTTCGTCGCTGCCATTCTTCATTTAGTCAATCACTAATATGCGTCGTTATTAGATAGTTTTTATGCATATCTAACGGGAGGTGGATGAACTCAAACAGTACACATTACTGCGTACTCAATAAATAATAACTACAGTGAATGACAGATATAGACAATCAATTGAAAAAACACGTTTCTAACGTTAACAGCAAAAGGCCTTTTGTTCACACTGAAAAGGCGTAAACGATAATAGTAAGCGAATGCTATTGTAAACGGTCTCCTAGGTAGACGAGTTCGCAACACAGGTAAAATAGTGACGATGGAATTGCTAGATTATCAACTTCATTTCTCAGCTGCCTCATCTGAAGCCTAAGAGAACTGTTCCACTTTCGTTTTTGTTCGCGTATAAGAACCTGGATTTTTTAATTTAGCCTTAACAGGTTCTTATATAAATGGTACTTAAAGCAAATTTAGACTACCAAGGTTCTTAAAATAGGTTCTTATATTTTCATATGAATTTCATTTAAATATATTATAAATATCATTTCATAATACAATATAAATCATTTATACCAGGTATGTCCTTAACAAAACATAAAAAACAAACTCGTAGTGAGTTCTCTGAAATGCCATTTCAAAGTTGATACCAAGAAAATCTTGGGACAAATACAGTACATTCATAACCAGTTCCACTGATAAAAACCTAACTTAAAATTTTAGCCTTAATAGTTTCTTATGTGGAGGGGGCTTAAAATGAAAATTTTAGCCTAACAGGTTCTTGAAACCCAGGTTTCTTATACGCAGGGTTTTATTGTACTTGTTTTTGGCCTCCGTGTTACAACGATTTGATCAGGATCAATACACTTAAAACTGTTCAACGGAAAAAAAAAACATACCGTATGCATTCACCACGTGTAGGAACACGTTTTTAATGGTGTAACCTCAGTGTATCTAAACACGCCTCACTTGTTGAAAAGCTGGACAGTTTTATGCGATGGATTGCATTGTCCACCTTTTGTGCAACTGAGGCCAGATAATTAATTAATCCTACGTAATCCTTATGCTTTACCCACGCACTTTTAACTCTAGAATCTAAAGCAAGACATTGTGAAGCAATGTTATTGACAGTTATTTTTAAAGCATTTTTTCCGTATAAAACAAAAGGAAATAAAAGTCTCGGAACGCTTGTGTCTCAAATTCAGTAGCGTCTTTTGCGAAAGTAGTATACTTTGTTTTGCTTTGTCTTTCATTTTAATAAGTTATTGGTAGAAGAAAAACCTTCTTCACAATTCCTCGTTTTTCTGTAGAGAGATACGTAGTACACATAAAACCCTTATCCTCTCTTTCAAATATACTAGTATACTTTCTAATAACCTATGATTAGTCTTCACAGCAAACTGTTCTTTTTTCAATTCAGTTAGATTTGAAACAATACTCGCAGGAAATTTCTATCAATGTCATTGGTTGTTTTGAGGCACGCGCAGTCGGGAACGCCTTGTGTTAACATTAGGCTAGGAAATTTCTCTTACGCGGAGGACTGGGGAGATTAGAACTAGACTCCAGCTCTTGGAAATACTCTCGCCCATTGTTTCATTTACATAGTAGCATAACTGGGCCGCTGTAAAAAGATGAGCGACGTTGATATCGCAACTGTTGCGATGAAAAGTAGCAGGAACAACCGATCTATAACTTTAGCCACTGATTCCCACTCTTCCTTCATTTCATCTTGTTTTTCCTGTTCTTTTGCACGCTCAGTAAGTACGTTGATTCCTTCGAGTAGTTTTTCCTGAGTAGAATTTCCCCTGTGTCGGATGTTATTTTCATGCACAGAATTGATGAAATCTCGGGACGTTAGGACCTTGTCACCCACCTTTGGTGCCACAACTAGAACATCTTTTGCACCACATTCCATTTCCATATTATTTCCGTTGTGTTCGGTCAAGATTGGGCTGTACGAATGGTTACTCCGATTGGTCTCCGACGGATTGAATTTTCGTTTTGGCTTCGGCTTTGGCCTTCCAACTAGAAGTAACGGCGCGAAAATATCGATTAGTAATACACGAATCCATCGCGGGACTTCAGAACTTGGTCCCGTAGCCTCGTAGAGGTTCAAAACAAAACAGGTTGCAATCAGAGCCAGTCCTATCTCCACCATAGAAGCCACGAAGAATTTTCCGATTAATGGAGTCACATCGGACGTGGTCGGAGTGTTTTCGGCAATCATCAGCATAAACACAGTCATGGCGAGGAGCGTGGTGATCACCAGGGTTACCCTTTCTCCGGTGTTTGGCGGCAAAACGAAGGTCAAAAGTGCGAAAGCCGTGATGAGAAAACAGGGAACAATCAGATTGTTAAAGTAGAACAGAACTTTTCTTCTGATGTGAAGCGTAAAAATCACGTTTGGGTAAGGTTCAGGGCAGCAGCTAGTGAAAATTAAAAAGATTAAAGGTTAGGTGCTGGATCACTTAACAGAGAAACGAGAGCAAGCAGGCATTGTATCTAAGAAAGGATAGCGGGGGATATTTATAATGAAAGGGGGAGGGTGGGGGAGCAGGGTACTAGTGACTGACCTTAGAAAATACAGTGGAAACCTCTCTAAAAAACCTTAGTGACTATCATATTCTTTCGGTCCAAACTTGAAGGAAGACACTCTTGTAATCATTTTTTTTAAAAAAATTATGTATTTTATTAAGCAAGAACCTCTTTCGTAGGAACACTCCATAAATTCAACAAGATTGTAATGAAGTCCCGAATTCAACTACTGGCCGGGCCAAACATCAAAATAAATAATTAGCCAACTGTTGGTTTACTTACTGCCATTTGGGGTTCTTAACACCGATATGTTTGATATGGAATTGAATTATTGTTTCGTTATCCAGGGCGAGCCATTATGCGGAGAGGATAATTATGTACTTATAAGTTTTTGTTATTATTCTCGTTAATAAAAGCCTTTTATGACCCATTATGAGGTTTCTCAGTAGAATTGACCTTACCTATATTGGACAATAGTTCGTTTAACGGGTGCCTCAACCATTTCAAACTCGCCGCTGGCCATGTAAGAAGCCAGGTCGACACCAGTGCTGGCATTTATCAAATCCACTCTGAGTCCATCATACGTCCACGAACCAAAATGGAGATCGCATTTCTGATCATCAAACGGAAAGAACTTGATATCAATGGCACAGCGACTTCGAAGAATGGTGGGAGCAAACCTAAAACAGATATTGAATCAGATTCAGATTCTAAATTCTTATTACCGAGGTTGAATTACATACACTGTTTACAGGTAGCCATTACGACACCTGAAGGAGGATCATGAAAGGTTATCCTTGTATTAAGATCTTTCCTTAATACAGATAACCTACCCAGCCCAGGAAAGGCTGGCAACACAACTGGGGTCTACGTCCCCTCCCTCCTACCATTTCTCCTGTTTGAACTAAAATACAAAGGTGGTCTTAACGAGCAGGATCTGACTCATTCCAACCCCGATCGGGAAAGGGACTAAACTCGATTACAAGCCGTTGATGAAGAAAATGAGCCTCCACTTATCTTTCTGGGTTCGAGGAGGATCAAAGACCGGACTTCGGAGACCGAAAAGAAAAGCGGCTTAGAAAAGGACTCCGGCAGCAAGAACGATTATACAGCTTCCTAAAACAAGAGGTGTTTCCGCCAGTGTCCAAGTCTTCGCAAGTACCTCCTGGCACTAGTGCTACGGAAAAAACATTTTTATCGCCCCACAACTAAGTAGCATTAACAAACTCTGAGACATTAACAGAGGAAAGTCACCAGTCATGAAAAATCAGAGAAAAGCCACAAGTAGGAGTTCTTTTTTCACTTTAGTTGAGTATTCTAAAGATGCAGTTAAAACTCTTTAATTTTAGTTTTTAGAATTATTGCCGCATATCGTAGAATGTTTGTTACTTTCATTGCTAGATTCCCATATTAAACGCTTACCATTGGTTAGTCCCATCAGAAGTGAGAATCACTCTGGTCTTGAACTGGTCCATGTTACCGCTTGTTATTCCTGTATTCGCACTGAAAATGGTGGAACACATGTTACTTTATGTCAGAGCTCTTGTTTTCGTAGAGAATCTAGTGTAGCTGATTCCTTGCTCACAAAAACTCTCCAATATCTATGTAAATATTTGTCTAATTCGTTGCTTATCAGTATCTCTTCCCCCGCCCCCGGCAGATGACTCTTCGTATTCGATCAACTAGTTCTTGCATGGAGACCTTGTGGCTGGGTAGAATATGACTTGTAAGCAATTCAACTCTATTCGAATAGTCTCCGGCTTATCTTTTACACTCAGGGAGTCTAAATCGGCCTTAATGTGGTTGCTTTCGGAAAGCGAAGTGTGTTTGTTGTGCCAATCAAGTCATAACCAAAGCAGGAGCCTATATCTATGGTCTCCTGCCAAAGCAATGACTCAGACCAACACGAGCATGCGCATACAACATAGCCTGTGGACAGGTGAACAGGCTAGTGCTGGTACCAAGCTCGAGAACGCGAACGGAGATAAGCATATCTACACCAGGCCCCAGTTGTTCAAAAGGTAGATTACTATACGCTATCCAATGGATATATCTCTATCCAGGGGATAACGCAAATGTTTTCTCTAATACCTATCCACTAGCTAGTGATTTATCTGGTGGATGGTGTATTCCAACATTTGAACAATCGGGACCAGTACTATATGGCGCTCTGGTTAGACCCCTTTTTTGCGCGGAATATTTTACCGACGATGACGTCATACTTTATCTCATGAATAAAATGTGGGGGAATATTATTAAGGTCATGTGCTATTATTTAAGTGGCTTAACTCGTAGGAGGGCGAATTAGCTAAGATATAACCGAACTAAAACCTACCACACCGTTTAAACCACCGAACATGGGTGCGTGACCTATGCTACTGTCACCGTTGAATTTATCTTTTCGGATCAATTAATCTCACTTAAGGCAAAAGCTTGGCTTAGGGGAGAGGTAGGTGGGCAGTTTCCCAGAAACCTAAATTGGTCCATTTTTTTTACCCCTTAAGCAAACCCTTGTCTTTCGAAATCGAGAGAAACGAGGGGTCACGAGTAATTTGCAATTGGAGAACTTCCTCGAAGGCTGTAATTTTCCTGATTCATTTATGTCCCGCAGTTACGTTTTTTCCCCATTCCTTCTCCCCGTCTGTTTTGATTTTCTAGCCTTCTAATCAATTCTTTTTATTCGTTAAATCTCCAAACGTAGAGCCGTTTTTTCACAGGCTGCCGCAGGGTTAGCTAAATAAGGACAGCGCTGAAATGCAGAACAGGTACTTCGCATTCCGTGCTGGATAAAGACTGAAAGTGTATTTTATTATAACTGAGTAATAAGGTTCAAGCCTTTCACTACCAGCAGGTAGACTACATGCTGTTCCCTCTCCAGAAGGGATCTTCGTATTAATTAACTAGTACTTCGTGCGCAGCATCCCGTTGAGAGACGGGGAAATAGCCTAACAGTACAATGCCTATGCAAAGGTAGAACTATTGTTGGTTTTCAGTGTCACGCCATTTAAAATAGATCAGAATAAAATCAAAACCGTTCAATAGATGAAGTCCAGAATCTGGAAAATGAAAGGAGGTAGATATACAAAGACCCTCGCCAAGATTCAGTTCAGAGGAATATTTCGTATACGAGATATCCGAAGAAATCACAGGGTCCAGAGGAGATGTGTTTGTCGTTAGAACATCAAAACCCGTCGAAAACCTCTGAAAAAATGGGTTATTTTGATCGTGTTACAGTTTCGTTACACATTCTTTAGCCAAGAGACTGCGGGCTCGCGAGATCGGCTTACAGTATTTTTTACTCGGCACTTCGTGCCTCGGTCGCCCTTCGGGCGACGTGCTGTGCGCCAGCGAGGATACGACTTGCGGTTATTGATTTTCAAAATGGCGAACAACAAAGTCGATCTGGGTCAGATAAAAAGCGAAGAAATCTTTTACAGTAGATTCATAAAGATCCCATTGGGCTAATTAATCGTGCTAAGCGACAGGTATAGACATTTTTCAAGGTGAGACTTTAAATAAGTAATTCATTTATTCACACGTAACTCCTCTGGACCCTGTGAACAAATGTTTTACCCAAACTTTATAGAGATTTGTATGGAGACGCCATGCTGGTACTCACCTGGATGAGCTCCAACATGGCGGACGGAAACCAACAGAAACATCTGTTACCGAGTTTTGCTACAAAAGCGTGAATTTATTCTTCGAGAAACTCATAAACATTGAAGTAATTCTTTTTCTAATACATGAACTGTTTATGCACCAGTCAATTCCACCTGCGCCCAGCACCCCCCCAGGCTGACCCCCGGGCATTAGCATTTTTTTGCCTTGGATGGCAAATTCCCGGGGGTGGGGACTCTTGAGCTGTCAAATACCCCGGGGTGGGGGCGAAAAAAGAGGGCAAATGTCCCGTCCTCCGTCAACGCGCCTCAGTTGCCCGGGGCCTGAAATAAGTCTTTTTTTTTAACCTACATGACAGCTCTCTTAGCCGTCATGTAAATTCCGCGTCACGCAAAAGCTTAGAAATTCAAGCGTACTCTATCACAAAACCAAGAACCCTTTTGAAGCGAAAATTTATGTGAAACTTAGTTTTCAGCTGTTCTAATGCATCGTGAAAGTAAAATCTGGGTAGGATCAATAGTTTTTTAGTTTGAATTTTAGTGACGTCATGTGAAAACCAACAATTGTCGATAGCTGAATGAAGATAATCTTCACTTACTTGTTGTACAGAACTATGTCTGGAAGCCAGATGAGTTTGGGATCCACGTTGATGGACTTTATTCCCCCATAATTAGATGCATTCCAACGTAACAAATGATTGTTCCATTTCTGTCGAATACGTATTTCAAAAAAATTTACGCTGGTTAACTCTTGTGGGGTAGAAATGGAAAAAAAAATTAAGCCCAGAGGAACGAAATCTGAACATACGATTTAGTGATTTCATGAATGCGTGTGGCCTTGCTAGCTCAATCAAAAGACCTTAAAGGAGTTTATTCCTAGTGATATATCCGTGGGCTTTCGTACTCATTCACCGAGAGTGCGAGCCCTCAGGTGCACCACGCCCGGGCTTTGGTGCTCAGCAATTCAATCTTTAGGAAATTTCTGTCATTAAATAGAGTGGAGCTTTTCTATTAATTATCAGAGAAGGGTGTTGATTTATACGTTGCCTCTTTGATGGATGTTTGAATAGATCGATGGATGAAAGGATAATGTAGACTGATAAATTAAATACCGCCTGTGGATAGATGGATGACTTAGGACTTGAATGAAAGATTAAGCCAACAGTTATTCATTGGTTGGTGAGAGATTGATTTAGATGTTGTTGGTATGATCGAGATTGACTGATTGATGGGTTGATTGTTAGAACGAAACTGAATCTTTATTGAGCTTTGTACGGAAAATTAGACCCAAATTCTCACGTTCCATATAAATTAACTTCTATAGAAAAGTCACTTATATACTCACTTGTCTTATCCACACATTACTCACAAGAACCTGATTCTTTTCATCCTGTTTATGAAGAATAACGCGTAAATTAAAAGATGTCATTTAGCCGGCGAGCAAGCCCTCCACTTGGGAGAGTCACGAGAATTTACGCGAGAGCCCGGAACGCGGAAGAAGACGCGAGCACGAGGGATGAGTTCTTTCACGGCTTGCTTCGCTCGCCATTTGTCTGTACAAGCTGAATGGAAGAAATGGTGCTCAAAATGGTCTCTAGGTCGGCTCAGGGGTCTGAGGACATGGTCTTTACATTTCTGGGCCCAGTTGTTCGAAGGCCGATTAGCACTTAACCCGGGTTTATTTTTCTTATGTTCAAAAGCATTTTCTCGGATAATTTTCTCTGTAATTTTTAGAACTTCCAACCATTTACTTGTGGACAAAAAGAATTAAAACTAAAATGCTTTTTAAGCTTTCAAATCTGAATTCAAATCTCGCACTAACCCTGGGTTATCTTAACCATCGTGGGGTGCACGAACTTGCCTCCCACCATACAAACGTCTGTAAAATTGGGCGACAACAACTGATCGCTTTCAAACTTGGCTTCAAACTTGACTTCAACTTCAAACTTGAACACAAACAGTTTTGAATGTACTTACCAGTTCAACAAGTTGCGTGTAAGCGATTCCAAATATCACTTTGATTGCAGCCTTTTTGTTCTTTACTGGCCTGACCTCCTTGCTGTAGTTATTAAATAGGTCTTTTACTAGTCTTAGTTCATCATCGTCACTTTTTTTGACGGCATCTAGGATAAAAACGAAACTACTTAGTTTTTACACTTAGTTAAATGTTTTTAACTGAAATTACAATTATTATAAAGGATAGAAGAACTGTAATGATATTCTACAACATAACATAGATTTTATTAGCTCAAAAATTGGTAATTTCTTGGAGATACAAGACAAATATATAGAGTCCGTTAGAACTATGCTGCAAGTGAATGACTGGTCTGGCGATTTGGCTCAAAACGTGGCCATTTTCGCAAAGGTGCTTAAGCCATGATTCTAACCATGGTGCTACATTCATGGACTTTGTTACGTGTCCAGAAAATCTACTTTCATAAAATTTCTTTTGAAGAGTTTGTATGCTGTCGTGTTTGAACATTGGGATGAGGAGAACTCCGTGACATGCACGCTTAGCCTTAACAACGGTGATTCATTCCAAGCAATTGCGCGGCAATGATAAATGGGATTCTCTATGTTTTGGAAAGTTCTTGAATTAATTTTTATGTATGGAAACCTTTGATACTGCTTTCAGATTTCCTTAAAAAAAAGCCATCCGAAGGACGACATAATGAGGTAAATTCGAACAATTTTATCTCTTAAGGCATTTGCATGACATGCTTACGCCAGTATCCACGCGTAAGACGTCAGTTTTATCGCCTTCCAAACGCTTGTTTTTGTGAGAATTTCATTGACCATGAGGTGAACCAAAGATAAAGTTTTAAAAAATGATAAATGTTTAACTGTTTGGCAAAAACTGTTTCATTTTGGCCTGAATTTGAAATTAATTCTTGGCTTTTAAATTGATGAGACCCTCGTAATATCGTTTTAGCAAATGGCGCCATCAAATCCATATCTTTTCTTCTAACCAAGGAACTGTTTAATTGCATGAAAGTCCAAGATTATCGAACTTGGAACAGTAAAAATATACTCTTAATTTAAGAAATTTTTTTTACGTGCTTAATTTCCCTCTCTGCAACTCTGGTCCTGAAACATCTGCCACATTCAGATATCGTTTTTCACTGACTGACACGGGTTTCTTTACCAAAGAAGTGCATTATATAGGATAGTTCTATTGTCTTTTAAAAACCACGATGTGCGCAAATTAGAGTTGAACATTCAGTGACCAATTTTTAACTACTGAGACAATATTGTCGTTAAGTTTTAATCCCTGTCGATTTACAGGCAGGGGTTTCAAATTTTAGTTTCATATTTTAGCAAGAATATGAAAAGAAATCTAATGCCAGTGAATAGAAATTATATTGATTTGCATTTTATCAATAAACTAGCAAGAAAAATAAAAATAAACATGTTCAAGACGTTCTGAAGTCTCATTATGTTTGTTGTGATAAAACAAATATTGAAAAACAGCAATAGTCCGATCTATTTAATGTATAGTTATGGTAATTCTTCCTTTGGGTGGTTTCAACAACGCTAAACAATGAAACGTTTTGAAAACGATGAGTTATCCCCGTTTTTAGAACACTAAGCTATCTTGAATCTGAATGTGCACTAACAGGAATTTCCAAGTTGTTCTTCGTGTGTGATTAAATTTGATACAAAAATACACTGAAGCTTTAAATGCTGGATTAAAACGTAACAGTAAAACCGAATAAATTTGCGGTAGCAACATATCAAAACACGCGTAAATTTACGCCTTTTTTGTAAACTTAATTTTTTCCCAAGATAAGCTGAAATAAAATTGGCGCTTTGGTCAGTCTCTTGCGATTTAGCGAAAAAAGGCAAGCTTAGTTATCTAGAAGATCTCCGATTCTTATGTTGCCTGGTAAAAATTATGAAAATGGGGATGTAATTGAAAGACCTCAAACTTGGTCATAACAAGAAAATATTATTAACAGGAAAATTTTAAAAGTAATAAATTCGTGGAAAGTATACCTAACTGTGACAACAAAGGCTAAGATGGCAATATTTACGTAAAGATAGAAATTTATACCTAGAATAATTGTCAAGCAACGCCAAATCAACAGTTCTGGTGTATCACATTTTTTTTGTCAAAGTTTTCAGTTTTTGAGAAAAAAAAATTGTTGAAAATGCTCCTCACCTGTTGTCGTTGTGAAATTAATTACAGCTAAGTTGCACAACAAGAGAAATCGCCAATACCGATACATTTAGATCCTTCTGTAAAGTTTTTTTCTTTACGAATTGTTTATGTTTGCTTGAAATATTGCAGAGTATTCAGCGCGCGTATGTTAGCTTCATAATAGAGTGTTGAGTCGCTTTCTCAAGAAGCCTAATTCGTTGCTCGGCAGTGACAGATGATATTCCCACTAAGTTCTTCTTTGATCGTGGCAGGAGTCGAAAGAAACATAATGGATAAACCGCGGGGGTTAATCCAGTGACGTCATACAGTAATAATAATGGCGGTATGTGAGTATACAGAGAAGAATTTATGGTTTTATAAATTTCACTCATGAATCGTCTCACACGGTTGTGCTGTAAGTACAAAGGTCGCCGTAAAATAATAAAAAAATTTTGTCCCACTTACTTTTTGGGGACGAAACGCTCAACACAAGCATAAAGTAATAAAATATTAAAAAGGTTATATTTTAGTTTTGTGGTTGAAAGCCTTGTCGACGTCAATTTGATGTCAAAACTGAAGATTTTTTAGACCTATGATTTTGATGGATTGAAACAAAATGAAGACAAGGGTAATTATGATATAAAACTAACATTTTGCGTTTTTTTTCTCAAGTTATTCGATCTTAAGTCACAATGACCAAGCTCATTGATGAATGTTTTCTATTCTCATAGAAAGAGGTGTTTACAGAAGGAAGACTGGGAGACAAAACACTGCCTCTCCAGGTATGTTATGAATAGTTATCTCCCGTTTCATAAAAGAAATTACCTCAGTTTTATTGTCGCGAGCAAGGTTTGCTTGTCAAACCTTAGCACTAATATTTTAAAAGTGCTAATCGAATGGAATACCTTCTTCTCTGCATTTCTGTCCAAATGCAAGATCATCTTAGGTCCAAAGTAATGCCTATTATTTAGTGTCAAACTGAATTTATTGACTATATTTTATGTTGTAGTAATAGTTTAAATGTTGGAAAAAGGCTTCTTCTTCACTTCTCAGATTTAGACATTAATCGGTTTCGACTTTCTATCGACTTTGTGAATATATCTTGGTTTTAAAACATTAGACAACTGATGAGATAGGTATTATTTGGAAATAAGTCCAGGTTTTAGGACTCAATATTCAAATTTAGTTCTAGTTTCATATTAGCGGAGCTCCACGCGCGCGCGCGAGCAGAGCCCCATAGCGAAGAAAATCTATCCATCCTAGAAAATTTGGTAATCACGTGACCGTACACCGACTGCCGACCGGTGGCTGCACCACAGGGAAATCAATATTAAATCTCACATTTTCTTGCTACAGTTAGTAGTTTGGGAGCCCAGGTGCAACCTGATATTGCACATCCACGTTGTCTGCGTTAACCGAGGTAGTCCAGTGGATAGAGGCGTTAACTCTTAGTTGTAATTGATTCTGAGGGTCCGGATTCGAATCCCCTTGAAGGAAATTTTTCCTAAGCTTATTATTTTTCCTTTTTTAAAATGTCTCTTTTACTCTTTTTTTACCTGTGTGGTGCATATGGCTAGGAACATAATGTGGTAATTTGAAAGCAAAGTTTAGAGGAAAATAAAAATTGCGGTATGTATCATAGAGTATCTACCGGCAATTTTAGTAATACTGGACACTGTTATCATTACCCAGCTCAATCGTCGATTTTCACATTTACCTAATTTAATTCGAGAGATAACTTCTTTGAGATGGGACGTCTGAGGATAAAAAAAAAATTTTAGACTGGAAATATTTTCAACAAGCGGAGCTAAAGTCGACAGCATCTTACCGACGTCTAAATCAACTGCCGTATTTAATTACTTTCATCGACTAAACTAGTTGTTCGGCACTCATAAGAAATTCCTCGTTTGAAAGGGGCCTAAGTGTCAGCTTAGTGGTTTGCAGCTGTTATTAAGTTGCTGTTTTCTTTTCAGTAAGAACAGTTCTTATCTCTCTTTGTAAATGCATTTTATTGATCGGCTTGTGCCGCGACTTAAGAATCAGCTGTAATAGTTGATTTTACTTTCTCTTTGACATAATTTGTATATCAAAAAGAGCGATCAATTTTCAATTCATCCATCCATTTCAATAAAAACAAATGGAATCACTTCTTACTACAGCGGACAACCTCGAGCCGTGACTTCGTCGTATGAATACCCGGCACTGAAGAAAGACGAAAAGCCAAGTGAAACCCTTTTTGACCAAATTATTTGAAGGTTTAAACTCGAAGCTTTATATATATTAGTATAAAATAATTATGATTTACTTTTACCTGTATGAAAGAACTACAAAAGGGGTCTAATGTAGAAAATACCAAAGCTGACAAGATCAAGACGAAATTTGGCATAAAAAACCAAGATAACACGGCCAAAACAAAAGAGTCTCTAAAACAAGAAGTCCAGGCCAAAGGCGATACACAAAAAGGACGATCTTCTTCCGACAAAACAAGACCTTCAGGGACAATGCCAGAAAGCTCTACAGAGAGCTGGGAAAGAAAGCCATCACTATCCACAACCCTCCCTCCCTCGTGGAGGTCGAGACATTCTGGAGCAAAATATGGGAGAACAGCAAGACCCATAATGATGCTGCTCACTGGATCCAAGACCGAGCCAAAGAAAACCAGCATTTCCCAACTCAGGAATGGTCCATCCACCAGACCAGTAATTGGAAATCCACGGGATGCGACGGCGTGGCTAACTTCTGGCTCAAACAAGTGATCAGCTTACACCACCAATTTACCAATGCCTACAACAATATCCTCAAGAACCCAAAACAGTCCCCAGAGTGGCTGACCGAGGGTGTGACTTTCCTGATACCAAACTTCGAAGACACCAGGAACTCTAAAATCTACAGGCTTATCACATGCTTACCATCTATGTACAAGGCCCTGACCTCCATCATTACAGAAAGGGCCTACATATTTGTCGAAAGTGACAACTTGCTCCCCAAAGTTCAAAAAGGATGCCGCCGCAGGAGCTATGGCTGCAAAGACCAACTCCTCATCAACAAAGCCATCCTTGAGAAGGTGAGATCCAAGAGCCGTAAGCACTCCACGACGTAGATTGACTACAAGAAGGCCTTCGATAGGGTGCCCCACATCTGGATCGTCAAGAGCCTCGAACTCTACAAGATCTGCCCCACTATCACCCTCTTCATGCGGGAAAACATGAAGTCGTGGAAGACGATCCTCCGCCTAAACCACGATAAGGGCATGATGACATCCAGACGTATCAAAATCAAAAGTGGCATCTATCAGGGAGACTCTCTGTCACCTCTACTCTTTTGTCTTGCTCTTGCTCCTGTAAGCTCCTTCCTGAACTAAAGTGGCTATGGGTACAACACCTCCCACGGAAAGATCAGCCACCTCTTCTACATGGATGACCTGGAGACCTACGCAAAAAATGACGACGAACAAACGGGCCTGTTGAAAACCATCAAATCGTTCAGTGACGACATAGACATGGAGTTCGTTTGGACAAGTGCGCCTAGGCCACCTTCAAGAAAGGCCGACTAGCCGACTCCAGTAATATCGAGCTCGACGTCAACACCTTCATCCAGGACTTACAACAGGAAGGTACCTATAAGTATCTCGGAGTCAGCGAGGGAGACGGAGTCCAGCACTCTCAGATGAAACAGAAGATCCGGAAAGAGTACTACTGCAGGATGCGGATGGTACTCAAGTCTGAGCTGAACTCCGCAAACAAACTGGAAGCCATCAACACCTCGGCAGTACCAGTGGTGACTTATAGTTTTAACATCATAAACTGGACGTTACAAGAGCTGGCCAAACTTGATACAAAGACTAGGAAGTTCCTGACCACGTACAAGATACACCACCCAAAATCTGACGTGGGCAGGCTGTACCTTCCCAGAACTGAAGGAGGTAGAGGGCTCATACAACTGGAGCTTTCCTACAAGTCAACCACTAACGGTCTTGATAAATGCCTCCAGGAGACGCAGGACACCCTCCTCCACTTTGTCAAAGACCATGACGACAGGAAATCGTTGTAGTCCATCAGCAGATAGTCAATGAAGTTCAGTCGGGAACTGGGAGTGCCTGCAATACCACCTGCAGAGGATGAGGCGAACACCACCTATGCCCGCAGAACAAAGGCCATGGCCAAACACCAGGGTCGCCAACAGCTTAGGTCCAAATGGGAATCAAAAGCGCTCCACGGCAAATACCCACAACGGGTGAAACAGGCTGACGTGGACCAAGACAAGACCCACAGATGGCTAAAAGCAGCCGGCCTTAAGGCAGAAATCGAGGGCTTTATCATCGCAGCTCAAGATCAAAGCCTCGCAACAAGCTGCTGGTACCAACACAACATCCTTAAGAAGCCTGACGTAGACCCAAAATGTAGATTATGTGGCCGTTTCGACCACACTATTGACCACCTGGTCTCTGGCTGCCCTGAACTGGCTAAAACTGAATACATCCACCGCTTCAACAAGGCAGCTGCACACATGCACTGGAAGATCTGCAAGGAATTTGTCATTGAGGTGAAGGAACGATGGTATGAGCATGAACCCAAGACTGTCACCGAGAATGACAGCGTCACTATTCTGTGAGACATGCCCATCCACAGTGACAGGACCATAGCAGCTAATAGGACGGACATTGTGCTAAAGAACAAGAAGGATAAAACCTGCCTTGTCACTGACATGACTGTATACCCCACGACACCAACACCTCATTCAAAACCACGGAAAAGCTTACCAAATACAAAGACTTGGAAATCGAGGTTGAGCGAATGTGGAGGCTCAAAACAACAACAGTCCAGGTGGTTATGGAAGCCCTTGGTACCATCAAGAAGGACATAGAAAACTACTCCAACAAAATCCCTGGCAACATCAACATACATGAACTCCAGAACATAACTCTCCTTTCTACAGCCTACCTTCTCAGGCGGGTCCTCTCCATCAAGTAGAAACCCTCTTTGCCTCCCAAAGTCCATAGTTTAGACTCGGATGTTGAGAGAGAAATTCAATCCCCTATTACACTAGTATATCTTGTATAATAGTAATAATAACAATAACAATAAATAGAGACCGATACGGCAACTTTACACTTGCATCAAATAGTACATTGCGCTACATCTACCGACCTCTGCACAAAACATCACGTGCCACAACTAGAAATGCTTAAATTTTTAACTTATTTACGAAAATAAAGGCACCCTAGTAAATTTTATTTACCAATGTATCTGAACTCCTACGTGGTTCCCTGTCAATTTTGCCCTAGCACAAAGTATATTGACATGTGAAAAATTAAGGGGCTGGCAGAATGGCGTCAAAGATGTGAAGTTACCTCTTGGAATGTTTTTAAAACATAACATATACGGAAAAATGGATCTTACGCAGAAAAGACTATTTAAATTCACTGGGCGATATTTTAAGCAAAGAAAAATGTATGGTGCTAAACAGAAATTTTACCTTTGTAGAGCAAATACTGTATGAAATACCATGATACTTTAATGTATATGTAAAAACTAACTGTAGTACCAAAGACCACTTTCACAATTGATGTGCTGACTAGTTGTTTTCTCTTTGTTTCGAGACTTACAACCATGACTGAGTTTGTTCTACATACTTTGCTAAATGACTTTTGAAGATCTTTTCATACGTACGGAACCGTTAACTTTCAGTAAACGCTTGGCTAAAAACAACGCTATTGTTCTCACAGATCTTGAATAAGTATGTCAGGTGTTTTGACTTGAATCATATTGACGCGATATTTATACAATTTTTCCATCTTTGTTGAGACAAAGTTGATAGCGATGATAGGTCAACTATCTTAATTTCCTTATCCCATGGAAATCTATTTTGTTTGTTTGTAGGAAGAACTCTCACCCAACCTTCCTCGCCAGTCAAATATAACAGCCTATACAGCACTATATAAAGTCCGTCCACATGACCTTATTGCTTCTGTGCTTCTTTACTAGTAACAATTTACTAGCGAGTTCAAACTTAAGCAGAAGTTGATAATTAGCCATGAAAATCAGTATTGCCGTATTAAAATACCTCCCGGTGACAGACTTCAACGAAACAGTGTGCCACACAAAGAAGATACACCAACCGCAAACCCAACCTGCACGCACAGTCACACGCAAAATGCGTTTACCAAAATTTCTGTTAGAGCGAACTCAGACAATTTCATAAGATATTGAAACCACACAGAGAACAGCTACTAAAGAGTAGGTGACTCGGCTTTATGCTCATACTGGCGAAGTCGACCCTGAGTGTAGCTATTGTAGTAACCAATTGTAACCTGACAATAAAATGCAACACAAGCCTTTAACCAATCAGATGCATGCTAACTCTAGCCCCTAACCCCAGCCCTCACTGAATTTCTCGGAGATGTTGGCAGGAATCTCATCCAGTTTGGGTAGAAAGAATAAGAAGTTAGAAAATTAGCTAAGCAAATTACATACAGAAAACACACTAATCATGCCAGATTCCTGATAAAGTTGTTTTGAGGTAAACAGCTTGACTTTAAATAAGTTATCAAAAAATCCACTTTGCGGCTTATGCTGTTTGTATAAATGTTTTTTTCTAGGCTAAAAGGAGTCATTCTGAACAAGTATCCTCCTCCCGAGCTGTTTTAAACTCTAATATTTTGCGGTTTCGGAAAGAGAGGATTCCGTATGTAGTAGTTTAAATATATAATCATTGCAATAATAAACATCATGTATGAACGACTTGCAAAACCTCTGCCTCATTACAGAAATTCGGTGAATTCAATGGCTATCTTAAATTAGCGATAAGCGTTTAATTCTCTTAAGACAATTTAACTTTTTAGTGAAGAGATTTTGTTGTCAACAGTATATACTCTGATAACATGAAATTTGTCTCATGAAATTATTTACCTTTTAATCATGCGCCATGCATTCAAACGTTTTATATTATCTATATCTATATAGGATACTGTATAACTTCGTCTGTATTTTTTCTCATAGGAAAGTGACATGTTATTAAACATTCATTAGGCTGCTTAAACGACAGCTTATCTTAAAAGCATAAATTAAAACTTCTAAAGGTCTGCTTTTCTGACTTGGAGTTTTGAAAGTAAGCATAAATGAAACAAAACTATTTCAACAGAACGCAAACAAATTCAAGTGCATAATAGTGTTAAATAGAATTTCGTACCCGCCAATGTAAAGTTGTCGGTATCCTTGGTGGGGTCTGCTAGCAACTCCTTTGGTTGTTTCGTAGTCGATGCTTTGGTAGAGTTAATATCACCAAATAGCTGATCGGTGGTCGGCTCTACACCGGCTCCTTTTCCTTGTAGAGCGAGCCACGTTATAGCAAGGAGGGAATGGAAGGTATAGACGCCGTGAAACACACGAAAATTTGCCAGAATCATTTTGTATCATGTATGCAGCCCTCACAGTTGGCTTTGCAGTGGCAAATATGAAAGACTGTCTCACAATACAAAGACCCCAAGGGGAATCGGAAAGATAACACCTGTTCACTGGTAAACGGACCGAACGAAATTGCTTTTAGCTAGTCGAGAGTTCACAGGTTTTGTAATTTTGGTCCGATAAGGGTACATTCCCAGCCAATGAAAAGGTTCCTTTTTATTGATGGGTTAATGTTATTATTTATTGCGATAACCATGCGGATAGCACTCGCCAAAAGACAACCAAAACCCGTAAGGGACAAAAGTAAACAAAACAACAAGTAAAAGAAAATTCGTCTGCCAGAAGCAAGCGAGGCAATAGAGTGATTAGACCAAGTATAATTTTTCTGCTATCGAATAATTAATAGCTTGTTTTAATGATGATTGATTGTGAATTACAGCAATTTTTCTTTGCTTATAAAAAGCGGTCAGTTCGAACAGTCCAGAACACATGTTTGCATGTAAATTAGTAGTTAAACCCCAGGAAACCCCTGCCACAAAATAGTGTTGTTAGAAGCAAGAGAATTTACTGCGACGGAAACCCCGACGAGTCAACATTTGTGATTATTTCTTGTTATGTTTTACCTTTGCTTTTCTTTCGGCTAATAGTCTAATTGTCTACTAAGATCAGTCTTGATGTTTGTTGTCTATGACGTGTAGTATTTGAAGTTGTGAAGCAGAATGGTACATTTTAGAAGACTGCAAAAACATACCAGTATGTATGACAAAGGTCTTATTTTTAAATGAGTTGGGTTGCGTATAAACGGGAATATTTTGGTCTCCTCGAAAACAGCATTTCAGCCGTGCTGTAGCCAGTTGATTCAAGTTAATTGCAATCTGAATCAAGCAGCGTCCATGAAAATATTTGGACCCCAACAACAACGCATATTTCTTTGGTTAAGTCGCTGCGAATTTGAAAACGCACTAGATGATTGCTAAGTTCTATTTTAGCGTTTGCGCTCTGGGAAAGGCTAAACTCAAACGCATTTTGAATTAATCCTTTTCACAATGGATATTATGTTTGATTTGCCAATCATAAAATGTTACATTCCCTTCCGATTCCCCTTCAGTGTGAGATACTCTATTCACGGCGTCTATGAGACATTGTACAAAGGCAAAGCAAAGAAAAGCAAAGAAATAGTTTTAAACTGAAAAATGAAATGCGGATAGAATAGGGTTACCTGCATGTAAAACCAAGATTACCGCGACACATGCAAGAATATACCAGCCCGCCATTTTCTTTCCGGACGTAGGTGTATTCTTCAAGGGCCTCAATCACCTGTTTTTAAAGATAGCAATTAATATTTAACGAAGTGTGTGGTGCGATCTTGACAAATTTCACTAAGCCTTCTATTTTCTTTAATTTGAATACATTGTGAACAAGGGGCTAAGTCTGAACTCGCGTTTAATAACAAGTCAGGAAAGTCGAGTCGCTCATTGTTAGCTTAGCAGCCTTTGTTAGTGAACCATAGGGTTCAAGCAACGTACTTTAAGGATCTCGGTTTAATTTTAGGCGAAATCGCTTCTGCACGTTGTTAACGACTAATAACAGAGTTCTTTGTTCATAGCCGTTGAATTAAAAACTTGAGTTGTATGCAATTTTTTATTGTTAGGCCACTGTCTCCGGGGAGAATTAATTGCAGAGCGGGCTCTGTTTTTTTCTTGTGTCTGATTAGCGCAGAGCTGAAAGTATAGCTTAAATGCAAATCGTCTTTGTCAAGCGCCTGATTGGTTTCATACGTACACTGATTTCAACAAGAACGAAAACTTCTCTGAGATTAAATGTTGTCTCAACCATTTTCTTTGTGCCAGGAGCAGGAAATTAAAATACTTCTAACAATTACATTGTATCACTTCTTTTAATTATTTTTTTTTTTCAGGCGGAAATATTCAACACTTATATAGATTTTGACCAATCCATTACTCAGCGATAGTCTTAGCAAACAAAATTTTTGGTTTGTTATGAAAATAATTAAGTCCGCTGGGAAGCATTAGTTCTATTTTTTGTTCCAGCTCTATAATTTTATAACCCCTT